ATTACTGAGTTACCGTGATGTGATTACGGTTGTTTCCATTTTCTATGCAAATAATCTGATCAGTGTTCATAATCACATTGTGTTTAGCGCACCGGGTTATATATGCGTGTATCGTGTATATTTCAAATTTACTCGAAGAATTCAATTTTTAATATCGCTGCACATATCGAAAACTGAAGAGAGAAACAAACATATTTGTATCCCAATGGCTATCGTATATGCAATCGAAATGACTTACACGAAAAATGTATCAATTTATTCACAAAAGATATAATTGTGATTAGCATGCAATTGAAATAATTTAATTTTTTTTTTTGAAATATATATACACCAGGGGCCAAAAGCTTGAATACAAATATAGAATTATTTTCGTTTTTCGATGCAGAACATTTTCTATTCCCGAGCACCGAACCCAATTAATTTTCGCACGTTTTATCTTCACCAAAATGCCAAAGCTTTGGAACACCTATGGCCTGCAAAATGATTAGTTAGTTAAATTTTGGCCTGTAGTGTATCGTAACAATTGATTCGTTTCACATGACATCACTTATTCAGTTTCTTATTCGATAGTAATAGACAATCTTCGAGGTTGATCTCGACAAAATATTGTATTTAGTTCTCAATTCGTTGCAAAAATCTTCGGTATTCAATCGTTTTTGTATGGAACGACCAACGATGTAACAAACATTAGCGATACAAAAACGATCCCATCTCAATACTGCATAAAAAGATATTAATCAATAATAATTTGTTTACACAGAAAATTTGTAATCTCAATCATTCGTTCATTCAAACATATATATGCGTGTGTGTGTGTGCGTTTTTTGTAATTAAGAGGAATTACCAGATGAATTGCAGCATAATAATTCAATAACGGTGTTGTCTTCTCTTTCTATCTCTTGCACACGGCCAACATCTCTTACATTTGTAATAACAAATGTTCGTGCTCGACAATATTAACGCACACGCTCCTTTCAGAATAATCTCTCTATAAATGTATGTATATATAATTTTGTTTCTTCTGATTTGTTTTTTCTTTTGTTTGTGTGTGTGTGTGTGTGTGTGTATGTTTTTCACGGTGGCTGTTCTTTAGTTGCATTCGATTTTCGTATATGTGCAGAAATCTTTGACGTTGCATCAATTGCACTGTCGTCGATTTCTAGTCACGTAGATATATGCGTATATCCACTGTCTTTGTACACCGAATGGAACGTGAGCCCATAAACATACGCACATAAATTCACATCTTCTTTATAAAAAAATGTGTCGAGCTGCATTTTTGAAATTATTCGCGCCAAAGAAAACATAAAATATTCTCTTGTTGATGTTCTTCTGGGCAATTGATCAAAATTTTCGTTCGAATGATCGAGTGCACATCACATACAAACGTTTACTCATCATCGTCATCATAATCTTTAATGCTTGCGACAGGAATCCGTTGTCAAGAGAAAAAAACGAATATTTGCTGACATTCTCTTTTATTAACACTTCTAAAAGAAATCCAGAACTAATTGTCTCATTAATATAAGTATGAATTGGACGACTTTTTTTCTATTGCGTTTAACCGTTTTTGTATTGTGCGGGAATTTTATTCGCATCGATATGAATTTCGCATAGCAAAATTCCATATTTGGCATCGTCATGATCAGAAATTGCCCATGTATGTGAAAATATTCCGAAAGAATTTTGAATCGATTGTTTTAAATGTTTTCACTGACTTTTTTTTTTGCTATTTGAGTTTTCATTATTTGAAATTCCATTTCTTTACTTTGCTTGAGTGGTGTTTTAGCGATTCCAAAATCGTGCCAGATCAAAACAACAAGTTCAAACAAATAACATTGCATGAAATGCACGATATACACTATAACTAATCCAAATATGCAAGCACTCTTTTTTCATCCATGCTCTTTCTTTCTTTTTTATTAAAACTAGTTTCTGGGTCGTTTCCTCTTTTTAATTGAACGAGAAAAAAATGAACCAACAAAGAAAAAGAAGAGAGTGGATAACACAAAATGAATTTTACCCACATAGTCTATGTATTGGTACCAATCGAAAATACTTCAATGTTGCTTGGCCAATGTTTCCGGTGTTGTTGTCGTGGTTAAAAAGCGTCGGCGATTCATGTCTATATCATCTTCGTGAGGTGTGAATGCATTTGCTTGCTCATTCAACGTTCACATTCGATTTGACTTATTGTACTCAATTAATGTTGCTTAATTAAATTCAAAGCATATTTGTGCACAGGTGTGTAATGGTGATAATCCAATGGTTCAGTCTTACTGATCAAAAACTCAATACCGGTTCGTAAGCATAGAACAAGAACATCAGATTCTCTCTTGTGCTGTGTGTGTGCTGCACGCAAACATTTCATTCGGTTATATCGAAAATCATGTAACCGATCGGCAAATCGACGCAATTTAATTAATTTTTTTGATAAATGTTTTCACTGTTGTTTCTTGTGCAGCTTTCGACAATCACATGATGCAAACCTGTACACAAATCAATTAATTTTCTATTCAGAACTTAAAGCCATTTAATAAATTCAATTTAATTTTACGATTATTTTGACATTACATTCAAAAGTGTTGTTCTATTGAAATAACGACATCTTAAAAGTACTTTATTATTATTATTGTTATACACACTCACACGCATTCAACTCGATCGGAGACAATATTCGGGAGGCCAATTTTTACGGTTCGACTTCATATCCGTGGTATCTCATAATGGTGTTATGCAATAATATTTCACATATGTAGAGATATCTACGATCTAAATGAAGTGTACACAACTCTGGTGTTTCTTATTGGTACACTTTTCGTGTGCCGTTTTAATATCGAATTATGAACGGTAGCAGTAGAAAAACAATTAGATTGATTTGAATCTCAATCGAAATCTGATTGAAAACGCACGTGAATTGTGGCCGAAATGGAAAACGACAACCATTGCGCTCCGAGTCGTGCAACCATTGACAATTGCTACAGTCGCAAAATTTCAAAAACTGTCACTAAAAGATCAATACAAACTGATAGTAACATAATTACAAGCAATTCCAAACGTGCAAATAAAATATGAGAGCGAATAATCGCCGTTCATGCGAAGTGTTTTCAATTATATTGTTAAAGAAGTTGTTTTCCCTTTGCACCGAATTAAATCCTTTTTTTTTTTTTAAAAAAAGAGAAAAAAATTAAATTTCGCGTACGCGGTAAGCTTTGCGGTAAATGGTGTTAATCGGCATGAGAAAACGAAGCTAATCAAGCTATTGGGGATAAAAGTCAATTTCGTGTTTATTTGAGGTTTAATGTTCGACAAAGCTTGTACACTTCAAAATTTACATTCAACGACATGTTGCCATTTTTCTCAATCTCGAATCGATCGTCGAATACATCGAATCGAATGTTTATAGATTTGGCGATATTTATGCATGTTAAAATAATTCATTTTTTACATAGTCATTTCATGAATACATCTCGATTAGGTGGGTGCATTCGCAAGTAATTTATTTGAGAAAAGAATGAGACGGTTGTATCTTATGATGAAGCATTAAATGTCGGTAACGTTCAATTTATGAATGAACACAAAACGAAACACGGAATGGCAATAAATTGTCATTAAAATGTGAGAACAAAGAATTTTAATAATGCAGAATCGACACACCAAATCAAGATATATTCCAAACGCTGTGTATGCGTAGAGCGCACAAATAAACCGAATAAACAAGCTGGTTCGTACACATTGCAATTCAATATTCTTCGATAGCACGACGGGTTAAACAAAGCACGTACACACGCGCACAAAATCGAAACGGCACAAGAAGACTCAAGACATTCAATTTCGCAGCTAAATGACATTTTATTTAGATTTATACATTCTATTCCATATTGACCGTATTTGAAGTGTAATCTCTTCCACCTTTTTCAGCTAAACAAGTCATTATAAATCCATTTCGAATGGAAGAGCAAACGCATCTGCAATTGCACTGCAATAACTACTGACCGTTGCACACACGGTTTTGTGCACAACGAACGTATCACTCGTTGAATCAACTACTGTATAATTGTTCTTGAATTTTCTATTTAATTCTCTGCCTTCGCTTTGCGCTTTCAGCTTATTATTTGGATTCATTTCTTCCGACAATGTGCGTGCTATTTTTTTTTATTTCTTTCTTCTGTTTTTTAACATCGTTCCTTCAATATCTCTCTATATGGTCATATCTCCTTCGTTTGCGAACAGTTTTTTTTTTCGCTCCTCTTTTTGCAATAATCATCGTGGCAACAGCATTCATGTGCACTAACGATATAAAAGGCTCATTTGCTGTGTTTTCCATGTCTTGTAAGCGCCTTCAGAATTCACTCCTGGTGTACATTTTAAATGATACTGCTTTATGCTTTGACAAGAATCAGCAAACACAAATATTCTTTTTGAAAAATCAAGTGATACACTGCGTCGCCCGAAGACGAAAGAAGCGAAGATGAAGAGAGAAAAAAAATGATTCGTCAAATGTTGTACACGCTCATCTCTGTTTTGATTCCTGTCTTCTTGTGGCGCGTCTTCATAATGTTAACGATGTATAAACATTATTTTCTGCAATGAATTCGATTTAAAATTGAATCGGTCGGCAAACTACTATAGAGATTTTTCTTTTACATCAAATTATGGCCACCTAACACTTCACTCTCACCTCAAAGTCGCACCGATTCTCTTTTTCAACTTCTTTCGCAGCATATTTTTCGGTTCTAATTTTGGTCGTTTATCAATCAATGCCATCGCCAAGCCTGATGCCCTTTTTTGCCATAGAAAATGCATCGTGTGAAAATCACTCGATTCGATTTTTGTGTGCAATGAGTGTGAACTGGATCACGGACTCAAATTCAAATTGAATAAAATCGATAAACCAATAATGTCATCTCTCCATGGATTTTTCTATAGCTTTTTTTTTTTTACTTTCTGCAATATTTTCAATTAATTTTCTCATTCATGTTTTTCTTTTCCTTTTCTAGCCGTTTTTGTTGAATTTTTTCAAACTATTTGATGTCGAAGACTGCGAACATTTGCCACAAGATAAATGGATTGAACATCTCAAGGGACGTTTAACGTAAGTATGCGCTTAAGAAATTAACATTTTTCAATCATTTTCTCTATATATTTTTTGTTTGTGTTTCAACGTTTGCAGAGACGAAAAAGAGATTGACTTTGCTGAGCAGTTGGAATCTGTTGCCTATGTACTGTGCGGTGAAGGAACAATTACTTTTGACAAATTCATTAGTATTTGGAATGCTAGAGGCGTAAGTATAATTTTTTAGCTTTGCAATTGGACATTTTTCAGAGCTCCCTCATTTCAAATTGTATAATTTTCTTTCTATCCAAACATAATCTCCACTTTTTGTAATGCATAACAAATCATCTTTAATTTAGATTTCCGAAAAATTATATCGCCTGATTGACTCGGAAGTGAATAATATTGTTTCAACCAATCAAATTATGGAATTTTTATCAAATCTAACAAATGCCCGGTAAGTTGATTCAAACCAAACAGTATCAATTGATAAAATGAACTTTGAAGTGGAAGACAGAAAGAGAGAGACGACTCGCAAAACATTCAGTCAAAATCAATTGAAGCAAATTTGATTGAAAATAATAAAATTTAAATAATATCAAACGACATATCAAAATTTAATAGTTGTCACAAACTACTGTATTTCATTTATAATTTAATTTCAATTTAATCATTAAGTATGATTATAATTTCAGCATATATACACAGATATTCAAAAATGGTTTAGCCAATTTGTCCCAAATTAGTCGGTTTAATAGTTAATCACTTGTTTTTCAAGCATAGAGGGTACCATTTGTAGCGTGCATTGGAAAATGGTTGTGTAAATTTTAATTCTAAAATCAAACATGCCTGAGTCGTTCATGTTAAGAAAAAGCACCAGCACCATATAGAAAATTTCCGGTTTCGCATGTTCTCTGTTACACAAATTCAGTGCAATAACAAAACAAATGTTAACTATATTTACATTTTTTCGTGTGAATGTTCATTTTGTTTGTCCGATTGGCAAGCCAAAAAAAATGTGTCCAGTTTAAAAGTGTATATCAACAGTGTGGTCGTTGAACTGATTTATGTCTGGATGTACGCACGCAAAATGCGTTGTTGCGGTTGTATGAATTCTCGTCGAGAGATCTTTTGCCAGTGTACCTGCCAAAATTAACAAGACACGACAAGCAATTTATTATCCATTTCGTTCAATTTTATTTAACATCGGTGAAAAATGCTACGGAACGTTAATTACAAATCCAATCAATATTAATGAATAGTCCGTCGGCGATCTGTTGCTCTGCGTACATTTCATTGTGAGCATGCAGAATAAGAATAGCAGCTATAACACAAAAAATGTTGAAACACTTCGGGGCTTTCTCCAATGCAACCAATTATAGCGATCTTTAAAGTTACCACTTTGGCAGTCTTCTTCTCGGACTTTTCTTTTTTGTCGTCGAGAGTGTTGGGAAAATGAGCAATTTATTACATTTGCCGATAATACTAATTTATTTGTGACCGGAAAATGTTATTCGCAATGATACGTTCTTTAAAAACAAAAACGCATTCTATTTCAAAAATGTATCGCAATTGTTGAACATTTATAAATAAATGTTAAAATGCTGTGGTTACAGAAGATATGAAATATATGCTGCCGTGTGTGTGTGTTTTTTTCACTACCGTATTGAAAATTGAGTACCGCGACCAATTTCAATGTATTATTCCGACGGCATTACAATGTACACATACAAATTATTATGAAAATGCGTGTCCATTGATTAGTTTCAAATCGAATGGACTATAGATGGAATCGCTGATCATGTGCGCGAGCGCAACTTGAAATTTGTATTTTATTACATGTGCGTGGGCCGTCTTTTCAACTATTTCACCAATGGCCATTTCATTCAATTTGTATTTGTAATCGCAATTATCTTACAGTGATCTAGATGCACCGCATGTGGTGCAATTGCTTCATTTTTATTACAGTCGTTTTAGCGTTATTTTTTTGTTCACTCTGCTTGCTGGAATTCATGCAATTCTCATTCGATGTGCAGCAGTGTTCATGACCACATTTCAATGCACCATTTGAAGAAATAAAAAAAAATGAAATGCATTCGTTGTTTTTCTATATCATTTGCATTCGCCTGAAGTTCCGACATAAACAGCGCTACAGCTTTATAAATGACAAAATTGTAACAAAACAATTATTATTTGTTTTCTTTTATGTTTTGTCATCATTTGCGCGTGTACAGGCCACGAACTGGATTCGATAAGAGCTCTCTGGAGCGACTGGAGCAACTATTTCGTAAAACGGTGGGCAATGAAAAGGAAATACGACGCGAAGACTTTAAGAAAATTGTTACCTCGAAAAATGTAAGTTGTACGCGGCATCGATTCAAATCGACTAATTCATCATTTAACCCCCGCATAATTGCTTTTTTGTTTCTTTTTTTGTTTTTGCATTTCAAAATTTAGCCATTCTTCACAAATCGAGTCTTTCAAATTTTCGACAAAGACAATTCCGGTTCGATATCACTGCAGGAATTCATCGATGCCATTCATCAATTTGCTGGCCAATCACCTGAAGATAAGATAAAATTTCTCTTCAAAGTATATGATATTGATGGTAAGCTAATTTTACGGCCAATATTGCAATTCGATGTTTAAACCAAAGAAATGTTCAATTTGTGTTGCTTTGTGTGCGATGAATGATAATTTATTTAATTCTCTTATATATATGTTTTTTTTTTTCGTGAAATGATCATAATAATCATAGGTGATGGTTTGATTCAACATCGTGAGTTACAGCACGTAATGCGAGCTTGTATGGAAGAAAATGGAATGCAATTCTCTGAAGATCAGGTAAGTGGTCACATTTATCTGAAAATTTAGAAAAACAGTCGCGTTTGGAGTGAAAAAAAATTGAACACACAAAATACAATAAAAAGAAAAGGAAATCGACACACGCGCGGTCGTTCGATATATTAGAATGCTGCACTCGTTTCCTCATCATTCCACAACATAATGGCAGGTTAAACTGTATATGACAGGTAATGCTGTTAAAACAAATTTCATGCATAGTTTTCATAAAACAACATTCTAAGATAATAGATGAAACTATTTGGTTGTTTTTGTCTGTGAGTCGCTCTATTCAAAGTCTTTCCACCAATGCATTGATTGAATAAAGAGAGACAGAAAAAATGTAGAATAATTTACTTGTGAATTTAAAGTCACAACGGGGAATGTAATGGGCCTGGTGTATACGCATTCTGATCGGATGAAGTAAAGAAAAGGCTCACATACACACACAGAGAGACGCATTTTGTCTATTGCTTGAAAAAAAAACTGAATAAAAGCGTTCGACGTTTGGCGGCCGGAATGTGCGTACGAAAAATAATTTTATGATGAACATTTTTTTTACTTTCATACTACACAGAGAAACATAGTATTTTTATGTGTTTGTCTTGAGAGAGTTACTGTTGTTATTGGTGTTTTTTTTTCTAGATATATCGACGGTATACTTCAGTTTTCGTAACGTTTAATGGTACATAGCAGTTTGAAGAAAAAAATGGTTTAAACTGATGCCAGACAGCCGATCGTATAATATATGAGGGGGAAAAATTGCACGGATAAAATTGAGCGACTAAAGAAATAGATATGTAATCAAAACATATTACTATATGCGATTTTTTTTCTCTCTGCTACGTCTTAACTCGTCTGTATCCAATCAAACTCACAAACGAAAGAGAAAAACAAGAAAAAAAAATCAAATTATACCGAATGAGAACTTAATAAAATTGCAAAAGGCCATTCAGGGTATTTTAAGGTATCCAAAGAAATATGCATTAGGATTGTTTTAACTGTTTGTCTCTTTTTTGTGCCGTCGCGTTGTTTTTCTTTTTCTCTCTCTCCAAAATGTATGTGTATGTTTTATGCACTGATCAAAATAAAAACCGAGCAACGGCCAGTGTAAAATTAAAAATCACAAAGAGGAAAACCGTAAATCGATTGATTCGATTATATCAGTACATTCGATTTATATATACTATAGATAATATTGATAAATCTACTACTTGTCGCATTCAATTCAAATGCATAAATTCATTTTGGCTTCTTTTCCTTTTCTACACACAAACACACACACAAATGAGTGGTGAATGTGAACGCGACAAACATACGGATTATCTCAAATCAAGTCGACAGCATGATGGCATTCGTGGTCGGCATGTGTGTGTGTATCTCTTTTTTTTTATCGTTCATTTTTCTATTTGTTCATTTCTTCATCAACGGTCACTCTGCTGCAGTCCATTTCCTCTATTTGAAATCGAATTGCAATTGCAATCGAAAAATCAAGTAAATATAAAACGTAATAGGTATAACATATAATTCAATGGACAAGAATATTTGTGTGTTCGATTTTTTTATTTGTAATTTGTGCTCTCTCAGTTCATTTTGTTCGCTCAATCAGCCATTTGTGATTGCAAGAGAACATGAATTGCAAATAAAATCGAAGAAAAAAAAGGAAGAGAAAAAAAAACAGCGAAGAAATGGTTTACACACTCGGAACACCGCGCCGATTGAATATGTACAGAGAGAATGATAGAGAAAGAGAGAGAAAAAAAGTGATATGATAAATGAACAGCGTCGCAGATTTTGTGCAATCAATAATTTTAATGTTATTCCCATTTTATGCTCTCTATGAACATTGGCATTAAGATTGAAATATCTGTGCATCGTTCGAATAGAGCAATAGAGTGAAGATGTGGTGTCGGTTGGCCTCGTGTCGATGCCATTATCGGCACCCATGTCTCGATTGGTTTAAGTCGTCTTGCACAGTTTTGATTAATGGGCGAGAATCGTTTACATTAGTCTAATTTTATATATTTAAGAGAAGAGAAAAGCACGATGCACAACGCAAAAATATACGAAGAAAAGTCAATTTCAAGACAAGTTTTCTCTATTAATTTAGATTGAAGATCTGACAATGGCAATGTTTGAAGATGCCGATCCATATAATCGTGGTACGATTACATACGAAGCGCTTAAAGATCAACTTGAAAAACATGGCGGTCTTTTAGAAAATCTAAGCATTAGGTAAATTGTTCGAAAAGAAGAGGAAGAAGAAAAATTGTCATCAAAAACATATTTTCATCATTGGCATGGCATGCAAAATGAATATACATATTTTCTCAATGTTATTTTTTCGTAGTATCGATCGTTGGCTGGTCCCATTACCCATCGAACCAGCAAAAAAGATATCAATGCAAACTCGTATGCCGCATCAATTAACCGCACCATATCTTAAAAACAATTATGTTTTCTTATCATTTCTTACGATTTTTTTTGTCATCAATGCGGCACTGTTTATATCACGTGCTATTCAATATCGTGAAAGCAATATCTATGTAATATTTGCACGTGCCTGTGGTATGTATATTTATCATATTAAAAAATAATAATAATCGATAAATGGCTACAGAGACACATTTTTTTAATCCGTTTTCCATTGTTTTGTAGGTCAATGTTTGAATTTTAATTGCGCATTCGTGCTTGTGGTGATGTTACGTCAGTGCATTACATTTCTTCGGACTCGGGGTTTTGGTGCATTTTTACCATTGGACAATCACATTTATATGCATAAAGTGACCGGCATTCTTATCGCTATTTATAGTTTGGTGCACACCATTATGCATCTCATCAATTTCTCCGTAATTGTTGTGCATGACCGAAAATTGAATTGTAAACATTACACCTTGACGGAATGGTTGTTAACAACGAAACCCGGATTATTTGGATTATGTGGCGGTTGTGCAAATCCAACCGGAATCGCACTATTTTTTGTACTCGTCATTATGTTTCTTTGCTCACAGCCATTCGTTCGACGCGGTGGCAGTTTTGAAATATTTTATTGGACACATTTACTTTACGTTCCATTTTGGGTGTTGCTCGTTTTTCATGGACCAAACTTCTGGAAATGGTTCATCATTCCATTTATCATTTACATGGTTGAACGTGCTTTGAAGTAAGTGCTTATTTTTTTTTTTTTTGATTACTATAAGTTAAAACGATTTTGAAAATTGCTCGAAAAATAAAGTTGTTATAAGCAACACTTCTTCAGTACCACTAACAACTCTGCCTGAATAATTTGTTTAAACAATAAATTTTCAATAGGATAATTTGGTTGCGTAATGGTCATGGCAAAACCTATATTTCATCTGGTATTTTATTGCCATCAAAAGTAACACATTTGGTGATCAAGCGTCCATCTCACTTCTATTTTCGGCCGGGCGATTATGTTTTTGTCAATATACCAGCCATCGCAAAGTATGAATGGCATCCGTTTACATTGAGCAGTGCACCAGAACAAGAAGATTACATGTGGCTACATATTCGTGGTGTTGGAGAATGGACAAATCGCCTCTATGCGTATTTTGAAAAAGAACAAGCTCGTTTACACAATGGTGAAGTGATGCCAATAATGGATAAAAAATCATCAAGTATCATTCCAATGAAAGATACAACGACAAACAAGGCCATTTCAAATACACCACAAAAGGATTTCTTAGCCAAAAATCTATTACAAATGCGACAATCACCAATGGCAACCGCTAAAGCTCAAGCAACATCAAGTGAAACATTAAAACAAACAACAGTTACCAACGAAAATGAAATTGATAAGAAGGATAATCCATTCAAATTTGATGCGGCAACAATTGCAAGCAGTACCGAAAATGCAACGACCAAAATGTCCAGCAATACAAAGGCCCCCGGTCAGGGTGCAAAAATTGAACGGCAATTGTCCGAAACGAATTCAGCAATAAAAAAGATTCAGGCAACACTTCAACGGACATTCTCTCGAAAAGGTACACAACCACAAGACGGATATTCAAACGATGGATTCATTGCAGACGACCTGGCGGTCACAGAAGTTGAAACTAAAGTAAGTCAATTACATTTTGTCTTTTTTGAATAACACACTAAAAATGTTGATGCTTTTTTCAGTCTCCAATGCGTCGCAAATTGGCCACAGAACGACGTGGCACAGAAATGGGCTTCAAAAATAAAACACCACTGGAAAAATCATTATCAATGCCTGATATGGAGAATCGAATGCGAAAAAGGGATCGCATTATGGCACTACGGGAATACAATCGATCCGAATCGGAAAGATCGTTTGACGAGACTCAAATGAAGAAAGCCCGTATGAAATCATTGGGATTAGCATATCTTAGCCCACAAAATCGATCGCTCGCACAGAGTTTTCGATATATGAGAAATAAACCAACAATTATTGCATTCAAAACACCGAGCATGGAAAATTGCGAACAAAGCCCATCACCAAGTCCAACGAGTAAGCTAATTATATTATATTAATTCAAGAACTTTATTCTATTTATATCGATCACAAATATTTTTTTTCAGCAGTCTTCTCACCGAATGATGCAGAAGAAGGAAAAGTAGTACGAGCCACAAATTCACCGAAAAACGGTATTATTAATATACATTCAGTTTTTGTTTCAAGCAAAATTGTACAAAAATATTTTAAATGTTTGATATAAAAAATTATGTAGGTGAAAGTGATCGACCCATAAATTATCCAGTTGGGAAACCATTAGAGGTAATACATTTTTTTAAAAATAAAAACTCATATTTCTTCTTCCTCTTACATCTCACCGTTTTGCATAACCAAAACTAAAGTATATTTTTTTTTGTTGTTTCATATGATTTTGTTATCTTTATCGTTAATTCTGTACGTTTTAATTGGTTTGGATTGATTTTCAATTTAATATATAATAATATTGACAAAAATTATAATAAAATGTTTTTTGCACCAAACTAGACTAATTATAAAACTCCCCTCTCAGCACGTCTGTCGAATCGACTGGCGCAAAAGTTACATGTTAGTACGGTAATACTATAAGTAGTAGCACTGAATGGTGAATTGGAGGTTTGGTTACGGTTTTTTTTTTTTTGTTATTTTTTATTTTTCTAAACCGTTGCAGTATTAACTAATTAATTTTTTGTATTAATTTGCACTTGACATATTTTTTTATCTAATTGTTTGAGCACAGTAGATATTTTGTTATTTTAGATTTTAGATCACACTGAACATAATCGATGAATACACACCTTCACATCACAATACAGTGACACAACTACATATTCTGTATTTTGCATATTTTCACATTAGGAATTCAGGAATTGAATATGAAATGATAGTTTTTTTTTTAATTTTTCTTCAATTATGTGACATATAATAAATAGATTTATATTGATGGACCGTATGGAGCACCATCGAGTCACATATTCCGCGCTCAGCATGCTGTTTTGATAGCAACCGGTATCGGTGTCACGCCATTCGCTTCGATTCTTCAATCGATAATGCATCGCTATTGGAAGGCTCGTCACACTTGTCCGCGTTGCAATTTCGAATGGTCCAGCGAAATACCACAAAGTATTATGCATCTACGCAAGGTTGACTTTTTCTGGATTAATCGTGATCAACGATCATTTGAATGGTTCGTGAATCTACTGTCACAATTGGAAATCGAACAAGCCGAACTTGGTGGCGCCATGGAAAGGTTAAACATAAAAAAAATCAATAGAAATTCTTTTTGACAAACATTCATTTTCATATTTAATTTAATTGTAGATTTTTGGATATGCATATGTACATTACAAGTGCACTACAGAAAACTGACATGAAAGCCGTTGGTTTGCAGCTTGCACTCGATCTCCTTCACGAAAAAGTTAGTAACTTAATTTTTTAAAAATTTAATTTAAATGAAAAAAAAAAAACAATTTATTTATTTCGATTTTTATTCGCAGGAAAAACGTGATTTAATTACTGGTTTGAAAACGCGTACAAATGCCGGCCGTCCCAATTGGGATAAAGTTTTTAAGCAAATTCAAGTGCAGAAAAAAGGAAAAGTGACCGTTTTCTACTGCGGACCACCTCAGCTAGCAAAAACACTACGTGTTAAATGTGATCAATATGGTTTCGCTTTTCGAAAGGAGATTTTCTAAAAAAAAAAGATACTAAATTTGTTATCACCATCGATTTTGCTATTTTCATTAGGTTACCATTAAAAAATTTTTTTATTTAAAGACAAAATCCGTTTTATCTATGCCTTGTTTAATTTTAGTTATTTATTCATTAATCTTTAAAGTGTGTTTGAAAAGTTATCGAGTCATTTATAGTTCGACGTAATATGAACAATTCATCTGTATTTTTTTCGTTAAGAGTTACCTACAACTGTGTGAGTTATAGAACAAAGGACAATTTTGTGATCTACCTCCTCGCTGGAAACAGCCAAACAATTAACTGCCAAAATAAATCCTTTTCCATAAATCACAAAAAAAAATTTTTACGAGAAATGCTGTTTTGACTATTTTTTAAAAGAGACATATAGATCAATTGACATGAAAGGGATTAAGTAGTTGAAAAAGTTATCAATTTCATATATTCAAAGTCGTTTTATGTTACCACATACCATGAATGTTAATGCTTAACTTGGTGCTCGGGCTGTAAATTTTAATTCATTTCGAAAATTGTAGTTTTTGCAACCACCATTGTGCATATATTTCTTTACATTTAGTTTCTGAAAAAAATATTTCTTTTTTTAAATATGTATTATTATTTTTTTACTAAATATTTATAATTGTACATTATATAAATAAAATATTTAATTGAATTCATAGCCGTTTTTATTTGAATTTTTTTCGAAGCGTTTGTAGTTAGAAAAAATAAATATTTAATTTATATTATATTTTTTGACAACTTCAAAATATTTTCGCCGTCTCCAAATTGATGACTATTTTTTTAATTTTTGACGCTCTTATTTCTATTGAACTGCTAACCAACGATTAAATATTTCACTAACTAATTCTACATTTTCTACTAATCATTTTCTTTTTTAACTAACTGGTTTACATAATTCCCTTTTCAAATTATGGAATAGCAACAAAAAAATCAGTGACAGCTTATTTTATGCTCTGACTTAAACTTCAATTTTAAATGAATGGCCCTTCCCACATATTTCAGGTAAATTTGGCGATTGTCATTCTGATATCATATTTTAACTAAAAATTCAAATTCAGAAAAAAGTGAAAAAAAAATAAGAAATTGATATTTAATACAAACCCAAAGTACGTTTTTTTTTAATTTCATTTTTTCAATATTCCGAAACGATGTATTTTTATTTAAAATGTATGTTGTCTAACCTCAAAATGTGCCCAAATTCTAATGGTCTGTATACATTACCGATTTATCTGTCAAATTTGAATAAAAACACTGCCCGTTCAGTTTTGGTTGTGATTCAAATGATATTTACGAAATACGCTTAGCGGTACATTTTGATGCACACATCATTTGAATGACATCGAGTCGGTGTTGATGAATTTCACAACTGAACTATTCAGCCATACATTTGATGTAGAACAAGAGTGTTCTCTGTTGTATTCCAAGAATTGTCGGTGCAATTTTTTTCGATAAAAACGCAAACATGAACGTTTCATTGGGTAAATATAATACAATTCTTTTTATCGAAAATATTGTTTGAATCATTCCAATAATTGACATCCATGGAAATGCACATTTTTGATTTGATTGCGTTCATACTTAATTTGGAATACAGACGACTACATTCGTGACCAAAATGATGGATCCAAAATGGACTATCAGAATATGTCACTGGGTAAGCACACTGCTTGCAAATCAAAATATATTTTTTCCAACAACAAAAAAAAAATTATAGAATTAACCAATGTCGAATTTTTGCATGAAATTTTATCCGAATTCTATCGATGAACAAATGCTGAAATTGAATATTTTGCAATGCAAGATGAAATCATTCACATGAGAAGAATGAATGTGGCGGCTAATGCGAAAAATGAACAGAATGGCTTGAATGGTGTATCAAAATTTGATCGGTACGCGAAGCAAGATGACCATGAAATGGACGACGAAGACGATTTGGACAATAGTAATTTATTTTCTTTGATCTAAAATATGCTTTATATCGAAATTGTATTTTAATTGTAGATGGTTACCCAAAAGATATGCCAAAATTGGTGCCATTTGAAGCGGCCACATTGCCAAAAAGAAAACCAATCTATGAACGATTGGGCCAACGTGGTGGTGAACGTGCTTCAATTTGCGAGAGCATCCACACAAGGTATCGTCCTTTATTTTCTTGATTGACGCAAATTGAAATATTCCATTTGTTTGCAGCCAATTGAAATTGTACCGGGAAAAAAAATTCAAAGCCAAAAATAGTGTGCAAAACCGTTTGAACAAATCATTCGTAAGTCCGGCTGTAAAGGAACGCAATCGCATAACATTGCACGGATTGAATACGTTGGCAAAAAGTGTCGGAAAAAATGTTCTACCAATGATCGAAGACATAAGCAATCAAATTATGTTGAATGCAGTGAGTCGCCTTCAAGGTCAACAACAATTGGCTATACAAGCGGCTCCACAACCACAACAAAAGTACGATATGCAGCTTCAGAAGGATATCGCAAGCTTGCAAGTAAGTGTCATTAAAGTTGCCGGAATTTTGTTGCAATTTTGAAAATAATATTTTTTTGCAGGGAAAAGAATTATACTACGCGTGTCCTGGTGGATTTGTGGTCAGCAGCGATGGTCCAGGTTTGTAGATACATTCGTCATTTGATTTGTTTTCAAAACTAAATCGATCACATTTTCTTGTTCGCAAAACGTTCAGGTTTACGGGGTCAATTGAATGTTCCAACGCATCAAACCGGCATTTCGTTGAATCAACGCTTTGCGTAGACAAAGCTCGATGATCATCGTGACGGACATCAAGTGATAATAATTAAAATATCTACATTAAGTATTAAACAGTATTTGGCAGTGGAGCCATCATAATACAATTATTTTTCTCATTATTTGTTTACAAAAAAAAAAAATCAAGTAAATTTTGTTGTTTGTAACAACCAAAAATGGATAATCTGTAGGTTAATGAAACGAATACCTCGTTGATAAAAGATGAAATAAAAATTTGAATAAAAATTAAAATGAAAAATGTGAACAGAAAAAAAATGTGTGTGGTATTGAAATGAAATGCCCTTTATTTAGTTATGAATATTAGTTTTTGTTTGTCTATATAATGTCGCTCTGAATGGTCTAATTGTATCAAAAGCCGCAATAATACAACATATCCTTTATGTTCCGAAAAGAAAAACGAAAAATTATCCTCAAAATCAAGAAGAAATACGGTATTGTTTATGTTTTAGTCGCAAAAAATGAATACAGACAACGAACAAAAAAAAAAAAAGTATATTGAAATGAGATTTTGGTTTTAATGCTTTAGTTTTATTTTTTTTGTTATTTTTTCATCGATTTCCTTGGTTGAATTTCTAATGTGTCACATTGTATCAATGTTGAATCAAAATGAACGCACGTAGTAAAACAAACGAGAAAAAATGTGTTTTCTTTTAGCAATCAACGATTTCATTTTTCTTCTGTGATTCTTTGTGTGTGTATATTTTTCATGTTTTTAGTTTTGTATGTTGTTCATGCTTAATTAAATTACATTGTAAGTTCCATAATCGCATTTACAATATCGTTGCTGTTATTCTTGAGGGCGCGAATAGCTCTTGCTCGGGCAACATTTGCCTGTGACATAACCAATTCAATATCCTTTTCATCAACGCCGGTCTCATCGACTTCTTCTTCGTCTTCTTCGGCAATTGGTGCAACAGTTGCATTTGTACCGGACGAATCGGCGCCAACGGTTGGTTCGGGTCCCTTGAATTTCTCGGCAGCAGCCAATTGAGCTTGTTGCGATAAATCTTCGATTTTAGCTTCACCGAACACAATGTATGTATCGCTATGCGGGTTTTTGTACACATCCGGGCTATTGATGACGAAGAGGATATTTTTTGATTTACGAATGGTGACTCGATTAACGCCAGACACGGGCTTCAATCCCAATTTCGACATAATCTTGCGAGCCTTCTTTTCACCACGTGATTGTTTTGCTTTTGACACTAAATCGATTTCTTCTTTACCGAGGTTGGCGGTAGTGTTTCCTAATTAACAAACGTTGGCAAACGAGAAGAGCAAAAAAGAAATTTCACTCATTTTAACACTGAACTCACACAATTTTTTTTTTTTTCAATTTTCGTATTATTATTAGTCGCTAGATATTTACCTGTATCTTCCAATTCAGGAATAGTGGTGTCTGAGTCATCATCGTCATCATCTTCGATGCGTGCTTCAGTTTCTTCAACCTTGGCGGGAGTTTCGTTTGTAATTTCCGTCAATTCTGGCATTTTGCTATATATATTTTATATATATTTGGCTGTAGACCGATTAAGAATGAAATACAAAAGTCATTATTAATTTTTAGTACACACAATAAATTTCGGCGATAATTCAGTTCATTTGAACATTCATGCAAGGCGATAAGATATCCGCAACCTCATGCGGTTTCTGTCTACCGAATATTCGTTTCGGAATTTTCTAGAAGAAAAATCAGTCAATGCATGACAATGATAAATGCCCCGAATAGCTTGAACATTTTCAAATAAATTCCATTTAAAAGAGAGAAAAAAAATTGATTTTGCAAGAGAAACATGCTAAATTCTGATTCTAAACAACATAACCTTAAATGGGCGAAAAGGTAAAAAAAGAACGATATACACATACATCGGTTCAAGGCTGTTTGTTATTTCATTCTATCCCATATATGTGTAGTCACATATGCAGAGAATGAGCACTCGTCAAAACCATGTTTACGATTTTAATGTTTTTGCAAGTAACATTTTTTTTTCTCGTTAAATTTTTGTCGGAATGCATTTCAACTCTTGAACATATATGTTGCATTTTAATTTGGATAATTCAATTATAATTTATATAAAAGTATTCATTTGCAAATGACAAATGACAATTTCAATTTCGAATTTTCTTTCGTTCGTCTCCTTTTGACAGGCAAACATTTGCGGCAAATCTCGTTTAGTACACTACAAAAAAAATCTGTTGTCTATTTATTTTTTGTTTCAATTTTCAATTCAAAATTTCACAGATTTTATACGATCATCGTAAAAAATATTTAATAAATTCGATTTTATGGAGATTTTATGCGAAAAATTCCGACAATAAATGATCAAATTATTTATGATTACACCAATTTTTCACGATAATTTACCTTTAAACGAATCGGACACGAGCTGCTATGACCAAAAACAAATGAAAAAGGTTTTGATATTCCTTGTGCTTCATGCATGTTGATTACCGATTGGCAGCATTTGCTGTCACATGGAATGTGCTCCATAAAATATATACGATATCGGTGGCGCCATCTGTTCGATGTCCGAAATTGAAAATTACATTTTTCAAAATGAAATTACTGCTTAACTACAGTTATTTTTGTTTTGTCATTAAATTTAATATTTGTTTTTAACTTTCAGATGAAAAAAAGTTTCTTGTAAGAAAAAAAAGGAATGCGGTTTAAGGTTAAATTGTTTGCGATGAAACTGTAATTTATCATTGAAAATAAAAATGAATCGATTCAAAGAAAATGGTTCAATAAATTGTGCATAAAATCTGTGTAAACGACAATAATGAAATGTGTGTTTGCGTGGAAATATTTGATTTCACATGAAATATTCATTAAATATTTACAGATTAATTTTTAATTGTATACTGTGACGTGATCAACACGTAGAATTGTGAATATCATGATGATTCATCGGTAAAGTTGAACGAAATTTCAATGCACAATTGCACCATAAATGAATCACTTTTTGTTTTTTCCTGTCATCGTTTGTTAGCTCACTTAAGTTTATGTCATTTTCTTAGAAACCAAAATCAATTAATTTTATAGTTGTTGTCCGTTTGTGGCCGCCAAAAAGTGAAAACATCAAAATCTTCCAATCAATTGGTTTGCCAATGGACTCAAAATTTAATTAAAATCCTTCAATGAACAAGCCAATAACAACCATATTTACTCATAATTAACTTTCTGTGAATGACAGAGTAAACGTTTTTTTCCGATTGTTTTCCAGTTGAGCCGAAGAAGATATTTCAATCCGCAGACAAATAACAATGAAGAAACCCACGCAATATGAAATTGTAGGATGGAGAAAATATTCCAATCGGACGTCATTAATAAACCGTTAAAATCATGCGCGTAATACGTTAAAAAAAATAAGTACAGCCTCAAAATACGATTTCAATGTTGAATGGTCATCGTATTTCAAGCGAAGACACACAAAACGTACGGAAAATTATGAACAATATGAAAAATAATGTGTTTTTTTCCCTTTTCACTTGATTTCGTCAATCAAATAAACACCATATTGAGCTCATGCCATGGCACTCAACAAAAAAAAAGGAAATACTGTATCGGATGTAGTGTGTAACAATGTGTGCACGCTTTTTGCTTTCATCCAATATGAATACGCTTTGCGCGAAGGTCCTAGCAACGAATGAAAGCCAGCTCTGGCATAGTGAAGAACATTTTTGACATAAAAGCATACTTGTGGCTAGCAGCAGTTCATTCAACAATTTGCCACGATTCAAGAAACACCATCAGAGACAATTGTCGGATCGGAGTACTTAGCTGTGTGTTAATCCAGTTTCTGTGTGCATCACGAATCGATCCTAATTCAATAAAAGCGACGGCATATTTTTGGCATTTATTTTTATCGACTCGGCAACATCGACGGTATTTCATTTATTTTCGACTGTTTTTTTGAAATAACGGGTTTTTATTTGAATTTCTTAACTTTGAGATCACATTTGGTCAAATTGCTAAACTTAAAAAAACAGCAAAACGGAATTTAATTAGATGATAGTATTTTTTCATCAATTTTGAGTGCAACATTCCTCAAAATACAATTGAATTGATCAGTGTTAAATCACTAATTGGGATAAAAACGGTGCAATTTCGTGTGGAATCCATCCAGAAAATACAATCCAGCTTTTTGGAAATAACTGCATATTTTGTAAGTACTCTTCTATAAATTCAATAGTCTTTAAGATATGCAATCCTTTTGGTGAAGACTCAAAAAGATAAAAAAAAAATAAATGTAAAAATGCATATGGTGATTGAATATTCATATGCAAAAATGCAAATAGTTTTTATTTCCGCAGAATTTCTTCATCAAATGTTGAAATGTAGAAGAAGCTGCAATATACCTTTACTCATAAATTTTAATTCAATCAAAAACTTTGTTTGAAAAAATAATGGGAAAAAAGTATTTTTGAAATCTGCTTGAATATAAATTAATATGCATCTTTTCTGCATTTAAATCAGTGTGTCCATAACATATAGAAATAGCACTAAATAGTGTCGATATCTATACTATATTGGTCCACTATATATGTAAGATATTCCGCAAGACACCGTAGCTCACGATAGAAGTGAGTGCGGACGGCAAACATGTTGACGCATACACACAGTTCTTTCTACTGCCGCATGGCAATTTGTGATTTTTTCCGTCTACACTGGCTTCGATCGTGCGATACGGTGCCGTGCGGCAATATCTTTCATATATAGTGGACCGATATAGTATAGATATCGACACTATTTAGTGATATTTCTATATATTATGGACACACTGATTTAAATCGAAATTCTATCTTTGCATATCATTCATCATCATAACGGTAACAAAATTAATAAAAAAAGTAAAAAAAAAATCGTGTGATTCATGACATTTGACTTTTCGAAATGATATTTCCAAAATTAGCATATTCATGCAGTACAATATTTGAGTTGTTGTCTCCCTGTCATCTCTTATACGTCTCAAAATCCTTTTCATTCTGATTAATTACCAAAAGATTCTCTTCATGAATGATTCAAAGTTGTTGTGCTCGTGTTGTCTTTTGAGTAGTGTCTAATTACAGTTTTGTTTGATGGTACACAATCAAGTGTAAGCTCATATCAAGTGACCATCATCGCCATGATACCTTCGCACAAACAATGCACACTGACACATTGAGTAATTATTATGCATGGAGGTAAGTCTTGAGATTATCGATACGATCGAAAGCCATTAGTCATAAAATATATCAACGAAACTGTAAATTTTCGGTTTACAAACACACGCATACACCCACGATCCATCTAGTTGGATTGCCAGCGTAAATCAGTTGCTCATTTGAATGTGTTGAAAAAAGCGATTGCATTTTGGATAAAATAAATTAATTGAATAAAATTTTGTATTAGATTAGATAGGAAGCGTATGGAATTGGATCATGCAAATTGTGTGCAACTATAGGCCGTAAAAAGGCCACTCAAAAAATCGCAGTAAATGTTCGATAAATATTTTCGGAAGGTGATATTACATGATATATATAAACAAGAATATTTAATGACGGAGGGAATTAATTAAATTATTATTAATTTGTGTAATTCAAGACATGGTTCTGAGCCATGGTCATTCATTTCATTTACTACTTGTTACACCTGGCCACATTTGCCAATTATTTTCTTCGAATTCCGAAAACGATCAACATACGTATCTCAATTTTATGGTCGAATGGGGCAAAAAAAATAGAAAGAGAAAACAGCAGAAGAAGAAGAAGAAGAAGAAAAGAGTGCGGCGCACACGACACCGAACTGAATAATGTTAATCGAAGAACTCTCAAAGGATTTGAGTGTTAATTCCACCCTCGTGTTGAAGCGAAACGCATATCTACACTGAAACAGCGTAACCACTGCCCGAAGTAGTATATTCGCGTACTCGTTCATTTCACTGTGTATTGTATATTTGCCATTCAGAGGCACTTTACTTTGCATTAATTAAAAGCAAATGGAAATGGTTTTTACTCTCTGTCTCTTACAGTGAAAAGTGGCAAGAATGTTTGCTCCGTTGTTTTGAACTGAAATCGACAATGTGAGACCCTCATTGTCGTCATTCATTTTAAAATCCAGAAATTTTGATGGTAATTTCTTCGTCTTTTTTTTGTTCCAAATTTCTTTTCACATTCTCAAAAATGAAGTTTTATACAAGATTTGATGAATTTCGTCTGACCCCTTGCATAACATTTTCTTCATTTAAAACCTAATAATAGACAAATCATATTAACAATACTGGGAAGCAGTGACTGACACGCACATATGTGTGCGATGATATATTTCCTTGGATTATGACGAAAGGCACATTTTTTTTATGTGAAAATTCTAATAAATTTATTCGGCAATGCAATTTAAACGCGTAAAATACGGTAATCGCATTAAAATAAACGCCATACAATAGATTAACGAGTAAATTTTCTTTCACGTGCATTGTCATAATTAAATGCGAATCAATGTAAACAAGGAAAAGAACGCACACATTGAACAATACTTAAGTTTGTATGGATGTATAAGTTTTGACACTTTTAAAACTTGTTGCACTAGCAGCAATAATATTTTGTCCAAAAACTTTTTCAGTGAATTCGACTATAATGTCACATTCCAAACAAATTTTTTTTATTCAAGGAGCCACGTAATAGCTTAAGTGGCGTAAGCTCAACCAAATTGGGTCATTCGATATATTTTCGCTTTATTTATTTGCATCGAGTGATACATATAGAGAATGTACGGAATAATTAATATTGATTCCATCATTGTGACTAGCCATCTTCAAGTGGATAAAATCCAGGAACATTGTTCAAATTTGAAAGAAACATTTGTCGGAATGAAGATGATGTGCGAAAAAGCACACGTTCGATACTCTTTACACGCATGCAACATAGAAAGATTTATCTTTTCCCAGCATACATTTTACCGACTGTATGCCGATATTTTAAGAGAATTAACGTCACTTTATTGGCCATTGTGATTTGAAGTATGCGCCAACTTATTTTCAATTTCTCGAACATGAAATACAACTACAATATACACCACATTTCTTTTGAAAGCGAAACCACAAAGTTCATTACATCTCCACATCTAAGCTGTCAGTTAAATGTCGAATTTAAAATAAACTAACAAATCTTTCACCGGAAATCACATTAAGCATAAAATCTGTGATGCACACACATGTTACGTAAGTAAATACATAGGTGATTTATGCGAGCACTGAACACCGAACGACACTCTATAATGTGTTAGTTTTGTGAAATGGGGTGTAAATCAAACACACACATATATTTTTATTTCTTCAAGTTGATATCGTTTACAATGTACTATATGTATGACTTTTTACGTACATTGTTAACCGAAAATGATCTGCTTGTCAAATGTATATCTATTCAATATGAATATGAAAAAAATGTGCTTCAAAGTGGTTTCAAATCAAATATTATTCGCTGATTTGATTATCGTTTGTGGCAAATTCTTCTTTGGAAATGGAAGCAATTGTTTTCTAAATTGATAAGAAACACACGGGTGATGTTAATCTCAATCAGGAATGCTTTGTGTCGAACAAAAATGCGGCAAATGTATTTATGAAAGTCGATGCTTAAGTTTGGCAGACCGCATAAAGATGGGCGTCATTGGATTCCTCTCTCGTTTATACACTCAACATGGGAATCCAAAAGTGGATGTTACATGTTAAAAGTTTTTCCCACGCATGTTTTGTGATAAAAACGTTTTAAACCCCAAAACAGCTTTTTGGTCGTCGTTTTTTCATTGCAAATTGGCTTGTTGCAACTTTATCCATAAAAACTGCAAAACAATGAATTTTCTATTAGACTTTCCAGTGAACAGCGACGTGTATGCATAAATTCATATGACTCACCAGTCATTGGATTTACGATTTTTTCTCTCTCTTTGTTCGTCCATTTTTTCTTTTACGCCAGCATCAAATGGCGGGAAAATTGCATGTCTCTGCCGGAGAGGATATATGTATATTACATATACGAAAGAAAAAAAAATTGATAAAGAACTCAATTACATTCTCTGTTGATTTTTGTGTTCTATTTCTTGTGTTCATTTCTTCATCTTTTTTTTCTCCTGTGCTTTACAGAGTTTATTATTAGATTAATTAATGTTATTATTGAGCGCTTGAAGTATCACCTTGGGCTTTGCCACACACGAAAGCAACATTTTTGCATACAGCAGTCCACACAGAATATGAAAAACGCATCATAAAAACATGAATTTAAATTACTTGTAAACCACATCGAATGTTAAATGTGCTGCTCATTTGAATTCATCGTCTTTTTGTTCGATGGCTGGAGCGCCGCTCTTTTTTGAAGAATGGTTAAGATGTGATCGCTCAAAGGCGTGCTTTTCCATTTTTTAGTAGGAGCATTTATTAATTATTTTCGTTTACATTTCAATGGTGGAAACAAACGACCGATACAGAGACAAACAGTCAAAGGCCAAGAAAGAGACTAACAGACAATGTGAGATAGAGATAGAGTTGAAAGACGCATTAAATTGCACCAGAGAAAACTGAATAAGATAAAATTGAAATTTCAATGAATAAAATAACCGGGCAAGCTATTCTTCTTGGCAGTCATTCATTGACTCTTTCTCTCTCTCTCTCAATCCCTTTCGGTTTTTGGTACATAACCGGAAAATATTCGGTTATCTTGCACTATATTATCCAAAAATTCACCAATGTTCTTTGTTTTCCAGACTCGTTTCGTTACATAAAACAAAAAATGGTTTGGAACTAAAGTATTATTTGGACAGTCGGAAAACGAAAGAGCTTTTTCTAAAATATCTCGAAAACATTTTAAAATCATTCTTTTACGTGCAATTTAAAGATATCTTGTTTTGTAAATAACATCAACCCGAATTAAATTGTCGTTTTTTGATGTGCATAATTTGTTCGTTTCTTATTCTTGATGCACAAAAAAGAAGCTTTACGATTGACATTATCATGTCACATTCAGGTTTCATAAGCTCATCATAGATTGTGACAAGGTAGCCAAGCAAAATTCAGCGGTACTCAATCCGAATAGCAAGGTGGCCCACAATCGAACGGATTGATATTTTGTGTTGCTATCATCACATGGGAGGTTTCATCATGAACTGATGATTCGAAAGCTGTTTTTATGACATTTGTAGTGAAAATTACAAGATTAGAAGCATAACAGAAAAACCGTAGGTGCCGTAAAATCGCGTAAAATGTGGCAATATTATGGAAATATGTTCATTCAATACAAGAAATTGCATATAATTTCAAATTCATATCTCTGCCACATTTGATGCGTCAGTGAACCTTGGATATTTAACAAAAAAAAAACGATGTACTTTCGCAGAAGCTTAAATTTTTGCGCGAAAGCGCTGACAGATGTTAATACATTTCGCGCAAATATGAATAAAATTTCGACATTCTCTTTCTTTCGCAAGCCATTGACAACGTAAAATAAAGGATCGAAATGTATAAATAAACAAACGTAACATTCAACGATGTCGTCCGGATGAATGGAAAATGGTTACGACTGTTGCGATTACTGTTTACATTTTGTAAATAATGAGTGAGCAACGGTAAGTTAGAAGGAGACCAAGGAGTCAATAAAATCATACGTAGGAAATGTTTGACGAATTATGATCAGCGAACGTGCGAACGAAGTGATGATGATGATGGCGGTGGTGGTGGTGTTGGATGAAGAGACTCTCGACATTATCATATCATATTTACCACCTTCACATCATCAACAAAGCGCTCCGCTACCTTGTGACCATTAATTTTATTCGGTCTGGGATGTGAAACAACAAAACATTTGTTAATGTATTCTCGAAAATAAAAGCTAATAAAAACAAACCCCCGTGTACAGTACACAAAATTGTGAAAGTGTTCATTCGACACGTTTCATGGCAGTCCTGTTTTGTTGTTTCGTGCATGACCGTCGATTCTCAAAAGTAAAGTTTTGTGAGGCGCACCACGTGTACTACATTGGATTTTAACCGGAATAATACGCGTTCGCATGCATTAAAATCCTTTATTGGATTGTTGACGAGTAGATTTTCGACAAAAAGTTTATTATTATTTTATCCATTTGGAGTTTTTTCTGCTCATCTGAGACACATCGACACACTTATTTCTCACTCACGCACTCAACAGTTATGGATAGACAGTTCAAATGTTACCATTCATTTAAATCCATCGACACTTCCCTTATTATTATTATTATTTGTTAAAAACATCATTTTGAACACATACAACAAATGATAATTTAATTTTATGCTAAAAATATCGAATCATGTTTACTGATCAAAAATCCCTTTTACAAGAAAATAATAATAATAAATAAAATGGAACATTTTCAATTATCCGAGCACAATGAAATTAATTTGGATTAATTAATATTTTATGTGCATTTTCCATTTCGAATTGAATGTGAGTATTGAGTGGGATGTATCATTTTGATCATTTGCATGTTAAAGTTATTTTGTTTGATTTTCTCTTTGTATTTTTGTGTGAGTATTCGCATGTGATTAATACAATTTTACAGCAGAACTAATTGAATTCATGAAATAGAAATTGATCGATGTCGTCATTGTGCGATTTCAGTTCGTCATGCAATATGCGCGACTTATTAAAGTGATTGCAATATAAATAACGCCCCTTTTTTTGCTCTGCATCGCTTTTGGATTAATCACAATGAAAATTGATCTAATTCACACGCTATCACTTTAAATTAAGGCTTAAAGTTTTATTTAATAATTACAGGAAACATGCACGCAGGCTATTTCAAGTGTGACCCTTGCACAATGAAACATTGAATTGCATCTTTATCGTCGACCAATTGTATCATCTGAACATGAACAAAGTTCAATACAAAATGAAATAAATACATTTGAAAAACAGCAGATGATGCATTCGCAATAATGTGTTACTAGTTATTGTATATTTTTGGCCTATTTGCGTTGAAGTTCATTTTTTTGATACGTTGAAACGTATGCAATTTGATGTTGTTGTTTCGTTCATTTTTTTTTTTTGCAGCGCGATTCAGTAAACATTATTTAACCTACACTCTAGCGGATGCATCAAATGGAAATTGGTTTTTCTGTCAAATTCAGCAACAAAATAACCAATTCAATTATCAACTCTCACCGCACACAAATACCATATCAATCACGTCCATTTTGCGTCGAAAAAAGTACGCGTGAGCTTTTCATTACTTTCTTGCGGCGATTCGTTTTTTTTTTTGGTATCGCCCGTTTCTTTCATTGTCATTCAATCATGCAAAAAAAAACTTTTTAATCACGAGTATCTTTCAATATGCCGAAAATCAAATTGAATTGCTTGTTTTTATTTGTTCATGACAGCCAAATGGCAAAATTGAAATAAGTGGCGTAGACACTTTTAATTTAAGGCATTTGATCAAACCGCAACATGTCAAAGGTTACATTTGAATTTTTAATTATATCGTTTTGCAGGCAATTTTCATAAAATCAAGAGCGTCAAAAGACCCAATACTAATTGTAGTCGATTATTTTTGATGCGAAATATTTATTCTATTTACATAAGAGGTTATAAATAAATAACGAAGTGTAATTTCAATAATATCGACTTTATGTGCGTGTATTTGATTTTCCATTATACCAATTGGAATTGAAAAGATATACGTGAAATTTTTGTTTGCCCTTTTTTTAATGCTACTCAGTCATCGATGTATCAATGCATCAATTGTTCGTTTCATTTCATTGAATTTAAATGATAATGTTTTTCCTCTTCTGTATTTATATTGGGAAAAAGAAAAATTCCTGTTGTTTATTTATCTCAATGCGATGGCATCGAACGAGAGATGGGCAAAGACAAAGTGAAAAAAAAAGAAGTGATACTACGTCATACAATAAATGTACAAAATCAATATTTGAATAAAATTGAAATTCATATTCATATTCGTTCCACACGAAAATCCAAAGTTGATCGTCATAGACAACAAAAACGATTGAATCATAAAAAAATTGTTTCCTACTTTACTGAAATGTATACTAACAATAAAATTGTCTATCTTTAAAACAAAACAAGGGAAAAAAAGCGAAAAAAAGCTACAAAGAAAACATAAACACAAGCAATAAATATTTCATGTGTCACACAATTCTCATTGTGACTTTGTAGTTGGCATGTGGTTGAGAGGGAGACATAGCGCGGCAGGGAAAATGTAAGAGACAATATTTTTCGTTTGGATTGTTACAATGATGAGAATGATCAGCGACAGAAGCAAAGACAAAGTGGCAAACAGATGGATAATATGCAATCAGAACAGAGACTGAAAAGCTCTACTCTTCGGCTAGTGTTTGTGTGTCAGGTACAAAAGGCGCAACATGTATAATCAGTTGCCATGCATGTCAAACTGAAAGGCAAATGGCACTGTTACATTTCAGATCAACAAAAACAAAACAAAAAAAAATCACAACAACAACAATAACAGTGAATGGAAGAATAGAAAGAAAGACGAGTAAATGATCCATTAGAGACATCATACACTTTTACATGTATCTATTTCACTTGTAAAATAAGTGTGTATGCAATGGATTCTCATTATTTTGTCATTCATATTTTTGTGCTCAGTGCTAAGACATACGTCATTCTCATCATAATCATTTACATTACATATTATCGCCCTTCTTTTTTTTCTTTCCTCCGGTCTCTTTAATGAGCTCAAAAATATATGACAATGGGTTTGATGTGGCATTGTGGTGAACTCATGTTTGCCTGTATCTTGGATACTTTTTACCGCACAAATTATTTATGGTGACAAAAATGATACTCGCTTCAAGATTTTCGTTGATTTGTACCATACCTCAACTTCAAACTTGCACATGCAACACCATCACCACATTTACCCCCCCCACACACACACGCAGAGAATTAAATACTTAGCAGCTTCACACAAAACTTAGTCTCGGCTTGCTAAACCGTCTATAATTTCCACCGAATTTCATCTTCAATGAACGTCAAACGTCAAAATATATTCATATTACAATAAGATCAATTCGAATGGCAGTAGCACCAGTCTCAAACTAATTTATCCGATAAATGCGGGGTGCGTGTATGAATTCCAAATGCAAAAAGTCAATGTGTCAAGACGATTTGTGGTCGAGGCACATCAATCAAGCAAATATAAATCAATTAAGCGCTCAACTAGAATTATGATTGTATGAGATTATTCTCGGAACCATTGTAATTGTATGGACATCATAATAATAATAGTAATGGATGGAAAGGAAAAGTTTTTTTTTCCTATTTACAAATTACCAACGAACCACCACTGCTGAACACTTGCACTAGTAGTGCACTCACTCTATACCTCTTTTACTTTATAACTCTTCAGAATAACTAACTAGGTGATACGGTATGATGAAAATCATGTCAATTATTTCATTCTCTGTATGCAACATTAATAATTTTGCTATATTCAAATGTTCCAATTTGCAGATATCTCTCCAATCTCTCGTCCGAATAGCAAACTCCTAAGGGTTGATACGTTCAAAATGGTATTCATCAATTCAGTGGGCTTTGTTGCTTTTACAGTGATTTTATGTGCAATCATGTGCAATGGAAAAAACTTATATGATGACATCGAGACGAGTGGGCCAGAAGGTAAGCAAGATCATTTTATTTGGATGGCATAGTGCCTTTCTAGAAGCAGAAGGGATTATTTATAATGCTTGGCAATTCTTCTTCTCTTTTTTTTTTGAGTGTATTGAAAGTTTCAACTGGACTTTCAAGTGAAAAATGAATTACGTAATTTGTTGTTGAGTATATAAATTTAACAAAATTATGTCATAGATGAATTGTGTGTGTCAGTGTTGATTGTAGATATCGCTATTCTCGAGAGAGAGAGGGAGAGAGAGAGAGAGAGAGAGAGAGAGAGAGAGAAAAAAAAAAGTGATAAAATATAATGATTGGTGACATCAAACGACTAAGCCCGTATGAACGTTTCTGAATAGAAAGTAGAAAAAGAAATAAAACTTCATTGTTCAAATGTTTCTTTTTTGTTTTAAAATGAAAGAAGAGCAAAACCGAGAATGAGCGCAAATTAAATGTCTCGCATATATTCATTTGAACGCAAAACAAACTTCCTATAGAGTGAATGATTTATTTTCAATTATGTGAGAGAATGAATGCGTCAGAGAAATATTGTCTTTAGCTTGAATCAATGTTGTCTTCGCTGAATCATATGGGAAAGTTTATGAATATTTCTCGTAAAAAATATTTCTTTTTTTATTCATTTCAATTCACATCAATGGCATTTGATAATGTTCGCAAACAGTTCCTTGTTTTTATGGTTTTCATTGGAAAAACAACCGAAACGAGGAGAAAAAAAAGGACATGTGTAAACAATGAATAAGTGAACATCGTTGACAATAATATAAGTGAAATGGGAAAATCAAATGTAGCTTTTGTTAGTTTGCTATCGAAAACATTTTTTTTAAAAAAAGGGAACATCATATCTTTTTTTTCTTTTCTCTCTCTCTCGCGTTTGATTTGATTTATCACGGTAAATATTTGCAGGTCTAGCTGAAGTGAAGCGTCCCGCATTTTATGCTGGCAGTCGATATGGTCGTTCGAATGGTGGACAATCGGGTAGTTTACGCATAACACCGCGACGTGATTTTCACTTTTTGCGATATGGCAAACGAGCTGACCACGATCTGGACATTGCGCCTATTCAGTGTTATGAACCGATTCGAGATTACGTGCTGACGTGTTCCTTCACTGGAGTCCGGGACTTTTATCGCTGTTGGAAAGGGTAAAGCTTGCCAGCACCAATTTCATTTTATGTTAACGTAACAAAACTCACAAATGTAAATATACATGTTCATAAAAACAAATACACACCGATATCATAATATATTTGAAAAAAAAAAAAAAAAAACAAATGCGTACGACCGCACTTCGACGCCCTCAATTAATGCAATTAAGTTGGAAAGCAGCATATGTATACATGAAAGTCAAATGATTGAAATATTGAAAAAGTTTTCCGTTGTTTTGTTATGACTATAAATAATGCATACGTGAAATCATAGAACCGAACAAATTGGTGCTTTGAAACTTGATTGCATTCGCAATAGCAGCAGCAGCGCAGCAAGAAGAAAAAAAAAGACGACGAACAAACAACAACAAAAAGTTCAAAAGACAAATCGATTTATTTCATGACACTGATTATGTGCCATGACCGTTTGGATTACGTCGTGATCATGTATTTCTTGTAATTTGCACGGTGACGTTCATTCTACAATTCTACGTACATGCTTGTATATATTCAACTTGTTGAGTTGAGCATGTCTAGCCAATTGCAAATATTCTAAACATCATTTTAAATGTGTGTTTAATAAAAATTGACCTTCTAATGATTGTGCATATATTTGTTTTCTCTTTTTAATTTCATGAATGGCTCACGTTTTGGATCTCAACAGACAAGAGAATAAATTTGATGCAATCGATCAGATTACATCAAATGCTGAGGATAAAACCAATCAACAGCAATTAATATAAATTGCTCCACCAAAATCAACAACATTTCCCCTTTTCATCAAGCTAAATTTTCATAAATAACCATTAAACGGAAAATAGAAAAACAACACACACACACACACACACACTTTATGGATAACAATGTAGAAAGATCAATCGGAACGGAAAATAACCGCTTAAATTGCCACTGATCAGAAAACGAATTTCATTTAGTTTTGGTTCATCATATCGGTTTGTTGCTCGCTGACGGAAGTGGCCACTATTTTGAACAAGGCTTTTGTGCAATATATGTACGAATGAATTGTTTCTGTTTTGCGGGAAGGAAGGTGGAGAAGTGTTTCTCTCATTCAAACATAGATTATGTGTGTATGTCTCTCTCTCTTTCTTTCTTTCTTTCTTTCGCTTTAACATTCTCTACCATCATCCATTTTCCGAATTTTTTTCCAATATTTAACTTCAATTAAATATCTTTTTATAATCACAATAAATACAATATTACACACACGCAATTAAAACGCACTTATAAATTCCAATCAATGTTGCAGCTAAATCGTATATTTATACAAGAGAAATTAATAATTGTATTTATAATTGTGCTGATTTTGATTCAAGAACATAAATTCCGCATTTTATGTGAAGCATAAGTTGTAATAATATGTGTATATAAATGTAAGTACGATGTGTTAAGCGTGTACTTTGTCTTTTTTTTTTTTGGTTTTTGGCTCTTTCACTTACCACTCGTGTAATTCGTTGCTCTGTTAGTCATATTTGTCTCTTCATTTTATCATTTCAATTATGTCGCTTCCAAGTTTGTACTTTGGCCGAATGAAATTGAAACCAAAACCTCGGTTGCAGAAAATGTTCAATTTCAGTGTCATGCAGCGTGACACTACGATTGAATTTCTATTTTATGCACACACAATATCGTCTAATTGCGTTCTATTTAAATTTATTATTGTCGCCCCAAAAATATATATTTATATATCTCTCGCATTCAAATCACCAAATCAAATTAAATCAATATCAATAAAAATTGCTTATTTATTAAGAAACAAAAAAAATATGATTGTAAAAATAAATCTCTATTTATGAATGTTATAAAAAAGGATGTTAATTGTAGACAAAGAAAATGAACAAAAATAAACAAATGGAACTAATTAAGTAAAGTGCAAATGTATTTTGGAGTTGAATAATGTCTTGGTGCTAACAAAATGATTCGAACTATTGACGAAAAATTTAATTTTTCAAAAGGAGATATGCGACCTTGCGTGTGTGAACTGTTAACCTTTAAATTGAGAAGGATGATACTCTACCGCTTTGATACTTACCATATTTATTAATGATCGAAATTAGTTGACGTGCATGGATACATGTGCTAATCCACAATCAAATGACGTCAATCAATCTATAAATTCATCTGATTAAGTGGTCATTTTCCAATTAATTCTTTTTAAATTTATAATTACAATTTCTTTTTTTTATTTATTCTTGTCGCTTGATTCTCTGAAAACAATTTACAATTTATTTTTTCTTTTCTAATTATGATGAACACAACTTTAAATTCAATAAAATTCTTCCCATCTAACAAAAAAAAATCAATTCAATTTACAGTTTTGCAGCTATAAAGCAAAAACACAAATAAAACTTATGAAAAAAATAAGCACTTTAAAAACAAAACAAAAAAAAACACACAAAAATTAATATAACAATAAGATTCGGCGATTATCAAGCTACTCTAGATTAGACTCATTTCGAAACATGGTAAATTCTAAACGTATATTTATTGTTAAATTGTGTCGAAATGACATTGCTGTCCTATGAAGTCTAATAACAAATCCCTTAAAGAAGAAGTCTCGTAGTTTGCTTTATTGTTTATATCTTTCGAATTCTTATACTAATGTAATTTACGATTATTTTTTATTGTTTTTGTTTTCTATTTGGTTATCGATTTGTTGACCTCTATGTGTCAATTACGAATTAATCTTTGATTTAAACATTTCATTTCTGTTTTATTGGATTATTAACAAACAAAAAATGGGCTTAAAAAAGAACATTTCACAGCCGTTGCAATATATATTTTACTAAATTATAAGTACCAAACCAAATAAAACCACCAATTGTTGTCCACAGAACGCGTGGCACAAAACCGCTGAAAATTCCGGAAATTCCCTTCTGTTTGTAAATCGATCGAAGTATTCGTATTGGATTTCGATGCTGAATATTATAGTCGGCATTTGATTCGAGATCGGCCAATTGAATTCGTGTCTTTGCAACGTCCAATGGAGTTGTAACAGCTGATGCAACAGCACCGGCAACCGATCCACAACACGCGGCCACAAATAATTTCAGATTTTCTTCGAGATTTTTCGTTGTAATCTCATTCAGTAGTTCCCACAATGGATATTGAATCATACTGAATGGTATGTCTCGCATAATTGTGATGCCATAACCACGATAAATGCCATTCCACAAGCCTTCTGAACGGAATGCTTGCATTAGTATATCGATGGCACGATACTGTATTTTACTCACTTGACGCTTTTGTTTAACAATTTCGATTGGTGTACGAATAAGTCCAGCAGTTATTTCGGCCAGCGATGCAGCTATCGAATTGATTAAAAATTTGACGAAAAATATCCAGGATGCTGAGTTTGTATTTGGATTTGCCGTACCATCTGTATTATATACGAATGATTCAATAAAAAAATAATTGACAAAGATTGGAATGAATCCATTGACGGCCGAATAAACGAGGTAAAATGTAGCAGCTATTGGAATGCTTGCCGCAATTACGGGCAAAATGCCATTGTATATTGATCGAAAACCACCGGCTTTCCAGAATCCATTTTCACTCTGCAGTCGCGTTTTACAAGTGTCAACGGGAAACAAAAATGTATCGACCGCCAATCCACAACAGCCGCCCGCAATGAACTCGATTAAAAATGGATGCTCTTGAAAAAAGGAGTATTCCACCGACTCCATATTATTTATATTATTATTATTATTATGTTTTGAGAATTGTTTTTGGTTTTTTATTCTCCCTTTTTTCTCTGTCTTGTGGATTTAAATATATATAATATGTTGAATCAAGGAAGCACACAACACAACTCTCAACGTTTTTGAATACACACTCGAATTTCAATATTTATACTGGCGTGTGCGCATTTACAAAACTATACCGCACGATAGGCGGCTATAAACATTAATTGTAACGTGTTGAATTGTCTATCGTTTCAATTAAAATTCGATGATTGAAATGAGTTAGCCGGCGACACACAATTATTTACTATTTTAATTCAATTGATGATTTTTCGAATCGCAGACGAATGAACGGAAAATGAGCAAAAAAAAAATCACCGAACTGTAACGGAGATATAGTCACATGCGGACAGTGTATACAATTCTATAGTGATTTGTACACTCATTTAATTTCAAATAACCGTCAGTCTGTAAAAATACCAATGTCGGTACACGCAATTGTTCACAAAGTTTTTCGTACTTTATTGTATTCGATATTAACCATTATCATTTAATTCAGTAAAACACATTCAGTTAAGGAATTTCCACACTCTCACGCACACACACGTTTTTTTTATCATATCTTCAAAATGAAAATCGAAAACATATTCCTATCAATAGTTCATAAAAACGCCGTATAATCAAATATTTGACCGCCAATATAGATCTGTTTTACTTGGTTTCATCGTTTTGTAATCAGTCTCCATACGTTTGCAATCAGAACAGACTTCAAATACACAACGGCGCATATTGTTTCTTTTTTTTATTGATAACAAATTCTCTGTGGATTGGTTTCCGTTGCACTCCTTTATCTCTATGGCTGTCTCTTTAAAATTTCGTATATATCTATATATATATCACGCAGCCGTTGTTGCGATGTTCGATGCATATACACACTACAGTGGGAGTTCACCCATATTCACGAATTCATTTCAGGCGCTTATTACAATCAACGAAAAAAAATCCGATTACGTTTTACACATTGATCCATCGATAATGTACTTGATTATGAGTTCATTGTCAGCTTTCATGTGATAACCATGTGTCTTGTTGACTTGATCATTTTTTATCGGTTAAATCAATAAAGTAAATGTGATTTGGGTCATCTGACGATATTTGAAAAGGGAGCCAGAATTTAAAAAAAGTCCTAAAGAATAGAACTATTTACACAAAAATTTGCACAATCGATTTCGAACGACGTGTGTTAACATCTGACAAATGTTCGTTAGTTTATATTTGCGAACGTGATGAGATACAAACAATGAATTCGCCTGAATTTTTTCACTTAAAAATGCAATTTTTCGAAATCAAGAAGAATATCTCAGTTAGTATGAATCTTTTAAAAATAACTCTGGTGAGCTGGTAAAACGATTTATTTGTATTAATAAACAAAAACACTCTGTACACGTTCTCTCTCACTCGTTGATACGAAAACAACGTGCTCAAAACAAAAATAAGAAGCGAAAAAAGAGGCAATACACAGAAAAACATTCATATGTCAATACTATGTGGAAATTGTGAATGTGTGCGTGCACTGTGCAAACTCATTTAACTGTCGAATAAATATGGCCCGATGAAGTCTCATCATTGTGTGAGCACACTACTGAGTTTGTGCAGTTCAGCACACTACACACAATCGTCAAACTGAATCGACATTCACGACAATAACGATGACGATTTGTTGTTGTCACCGTCAAATATCCACATTGCCTTATCAATTCCAACTTCCTTTTATTTTGGCATCGATTAAACGGGATCTGGTTTAATCAACACGATGATTTATACACGATTCTACTGGAATTAATTTCAAATCATTTTGAAAACGATAAGCATTGTGTGCGCATTAAATGTGAGTTCTTCGTTATCTGTGAATATTTATTAATCTTGTCAGCTGATTAATTGACCCAATGAGACTAGACGGATTTTCGATACGATTCGATTTATGCCAAGTAAAAAATATTGCACAAGTAAGCGATGAACGAATCTAATTCAAAATTATGTACGAAGGAGTATGAATGAATGATGCGACGCAATACAAAAAGCACATGGTCTTTGATCCAATTCACAAATTGAAAAGCACTTCTCATTTCTATATATATATAAAGAGGCTTACGTACGCAAGCTGACTTTTCCGCATGGAACCGAAATTTTGGGAACAAACAGAAATGATGGTCTATGTATGGTTGCAGTAACTTAAATTACCGTGAAAACGTGTGAATATTATTTTCTTATCAAAATAAATAATCATATTAAGTCTAAAGAAATTTCAATCCAAAAAATAGCCTGTTCAAAGTTTCACATCATTACAGTACCACAAAGGCAAGTCTTTCATACAAAAATGAATTTTTTTTTCGATTATTGTATGAAAAGTCTGTGAAAAATTGATTGCATCTTAAAACTAACATCAGATTCGGGTTTCTCGTGCCAAAAAACCCCCACTACACAAAGACAGCGTTAAAATTGAAAGAATATCATTTTAAGGCATTTTTCTCATAAGTGCCTCTTCACAGTCTAAGTTTTACATCGATCAATCAATGTCGTTGAAAATTTGACCGGATCTATTCCTCGTAACGCCCAATCATCCCGTAAAGTCAGATTTTGAATTTCATGTCTGAGCACGAAACCATCGTGTCACCAAAATGGTTGAAAAATGATCAAAAAAGTAAAATGTATGGATTGTGTCCATTCGGACCCAAAAAAATTACACCGGTCAACAGATATTGCTCAAAAACTAATCAGCACGTCTCCTAGTAGTCCCAAATCATCCTGCAAAGTCAGAATTTGAATTGAGTTTTTGGAAAAAGATTTATCGAGTTAACAAATTTTGGCAACACGCCACAGGACACAGGACACAGGTCACAGGTCACAGGTCACAGGACACAGGACACATCACACACAGCGACGCACATTAATATGCCCCAAAATCATCTCCAATCGTGTTTTCTACATTAAATATGCATAGAAAACATGTTTTGGGATGACTTTAATTTTTTGGCCTAATACAATACCTTCCCTACACTAGGTGTGCGGAAAAGTAATATATATATTGTAGCAATAGAAACGGTAACCATTGCGTAGATGCGATGTCTGTGTGTCTTTCATTGAATTGGAATGCAAATTAATGTGTGGTCGTGTCGTTGTTGTGTTTTCGGCCAATTTTGGTTCATCGTCTATACAACGATGATGCACATTCATTTAAATCGAAAAAATAGATAACATAAAATCGAAAAGCGTATGTAATTATAAATTTCGATATGCTTCGATTGGCAGGCGAACGAACGTTGCATTTCATATATGCACATGATGATGATGATGAGTGAGATAATCTCATTGCAACGAGCAAAAAATCGAACGTTGCATTTCATGAAATTGAATGAGTTGTATGTGTTTGTGTGTGAAAGTGAATGTGTAACACTCAGCTGAGCAGATGGAGCTAGTGAATGATGTTCCTGTTTGATTATAAATAAAATGTCAAAATTATTGATAAAACGAACAGACACGATTTGATAGGTTATGTTTGGATTGTATTTTGAATACAACAGTTTCAGTCACACCAAAAACTAATTATTACTTTCAATTCAAAATGACTGCATCATAATTGCATAAATTTGGTGTCGAAATTGAAATAATTTATTTCAATTCTTTATCGTTAAAAAAGCAGAAAGGTGTGTCAACGTTGCGGCAGAATGTCGCTTGAAATTGAAAATGACAAAATGTTGGCCAAAAACTATCTGTATCTGACATCGTTGATATCGGGCGGAATGGCAGGATTGGTGGTGGATGTCATGCTCTTTCCGATAGGTAGATATTATGTGCTTTGGCTCAAACTATTTCTTATAAATTTTCGTTTTTTTTTCTTCATCCAGACACTGTAAAGACTCGTCTTCAAAGTGAGAAACGTTTTTGGCGAGCCGGTGGATTTCGAGGTATTTACAATGGATTGAGTCCAGCTGCAGTTGGTTCAGTGCCATCGGCTGCACTTTTCTTTTGTACATACGAAAGCATGAAAAAGCTGCTGTCACCATATGCACACGGTCAACAAACGCATTTTGTTCATATGTCATCGGCTGCAATAGCCGAGGTGGTCGCTTGTTTGGTTCGGGTACCAGTTGAAATAGCCAAACAACGTCGTCAAGTACAAAGTAAACAGTTGAAAAATATAAGCGCCACAAAAATTCTAATACATGCCTATCAAACCGAAGGCATTTTTCGTGGATTATATCGAGGATTCGGTGCAACAATTCTTCGTGAAATTCCATTTTCATTCGTTCAATATCCATTATGGGAATACCTGAAACTACACTGGACAAGTGTAACACATTTACCATTGACTTTTGTATCGGTGGCTGTATGTGGTGCCATTGCTGGAGGAATTTCTGGTAAAATGATAGAACACTACAAATTAAGAAATACGCTCATTTATTTATTTAATTATTTTATATTTGTTTTATTTTCTCAAATATTACAGCTGGTATAACAACTCCATTGGATGTTGTAAAAACAAGAATTATGTTGGATACACGAAATGGTGTAAAGCGCAAAGGCATTCATGCAATTCTGCAAGGAATCTATCGAGAAAATGGTGTACGAGGTGTTTTTGCTGGATTCATACCACGTGTCATTTGGATCACCATCGGTGGTGCGATATTTTTTGGAAGTTATGACCTTACAACCAAAATCGTAACAAAACATCTGTTTTGATAATTGCAATGATGTTTAGTAATTTTTTTTAGACATTCGATACATTTGTATATATAAATAAATATAAACTAAGAAAAAGTACAAAACCAGAACAATATGGTCAATAAACTTTGGATATTCACTAGGGTGAGACGGATGTGTGATAATGTGTGGTGATGTAGTGTAGTGACTTTATTGACTTGAGCTCATTTTTCTAGCAATTTATTTTTAATCACCAGATCTTTTCCATCGTGTTCAATACATTCAAATGGCCATTTTCGATTGACACGACACACGGATCCACATTTTGTATTCTTACAGTTGGGACAGGGAAAATGGCAACCGGGACAAGTGTTATCTAAACAATCACAAACATCAGCATTCTTTGCGCGATATCTGCCTTTCTCGTCAAAAATTGTAACTGGACCACGCTGTATTTGAGCGGTTTCGGCATAACTTTTACGCGTTAATTTTCGCTTTTCACGATCGGATTTTTCGGGATCAAAATCACTCAGTTTTGAATCGGCAACCAACTGACGAATTCGACGATCAGCCATTCTGTCACCTAAACTTTTACTCATTTTGAATTTGAATACTTGTTCTATAATAAGCGTTAACGTTTAGTTTATCGTCCGGTTAAAAAAGAAACTAATGTTTATTTTGTAAATATTTGTTTGACGCTGTGTTAGTAATTACCATGGTCTGATGACATTTGTGATTATGTGCCAGTGTGTTGATAGAAAAAGACATTTTGCACCCATCAGAGGGCGCAAATGTTTATTTCAATCTCTCTATCTGTCGGATAATTATATTTTCTTGGAACGTATACAAAGCAATGAAAATGAAATTAGTACACGTTGAAAAAATGAGAAATTGAAAATGTTGAAAAAATATCTGCGAACATATTAGCTTTGTTCACTGTCTTCATTCTTCGGCATTATTTGAGTGTCATTCAATGACACTTATTTCGGGGTGCACTGTGATAGTAAAATTAAAAATGACGTTTTAAATTGCTTCTGATGTGGAATGCTATTTTGATTTAATTACAAAATAAAAATAAAATAATATTTTTCTCGCTTTAATTTTTATTTAATTGAATGAAGAATCCGATGTGATTTTGATTTTCGTATTTAAAACGTATTTTCGATTCAGACGTTTACCGAACGGAATTTCGAAAAATGAATGGCGCTAGTTGTGCAAACACAAAATGTAAATACGCATAAAAATGAAATGAAAAATTAACATGCGAAAAAGAAACGACGACAACACAATCGCACGCACACAATCACACCATACCAACGAAATGTACCGTAGTTGGAATATCGTTTACTTATACAAAATCTCTGTACTATCAACTGTGTGCTAAAACTCTCTCATCGTGAAAGTGCATCGCGTGAAGTGAATGTTGTTGCAATGTGAATGTATGCGTTGTATTTTTCCCTTTATACTTGCTTTATACTTTTCAGCCATATTGAATTTTAACTACATGATTTATATTTAATAATACAAAGTGACAACTGTCTTTGTGAGAAACATTTTCCATTTGATACTGTTTTCTATTTTATTTTTTTTATAAGAGATTTCGAATCGTTTGTCGATTTGAATAGCATTTGTTTTAAGTTAATTGCATTTGCGACAACATTGAACAATTGAAATTTTTCATTAAAATCATTTGTACATTTTTCCAAATCGTTGTATTATCCTGTTCGAAAGAGAAAAAATATAATAAAAATATATATGGCACTAATGCATAAACAATCGCAGTCCATAAAATGTGTGACGTTTGTGTGGAATTTCTAAGCCTCCTCGTTTCTTGTGAGTAAAGTTTTATGAATTTATCAACGAAATTGAATGCATCCATGGAATATTGACCGATAGTCAAGTGATAATTTTTATTTTGTGACACGATCGAATTTCGCAATATTTTTGACATCAACGAAAAATTGTTGAAAACCAACAACAATGTTAATGAGATGTGTTTGACCATAGTGTAAATGAAATTGTAACCAGTGTCAAACCAATTGTTATGATTTAAAAATTGCCTTAAATAAACCATTCCTGGAATCGACATAAAAATGTTCATTTGAATTGCGATTTCGTTCGTTTTTTTTTTCGAAAGTTCCGATTTTTTTTTAAATCAATCTGTCGCTCGATTGCATTGTTGTCAATTTTATGGTGCCGTTCAATTCTGCTTGTACAAAATAATTACGATGAATTTTTGTGAATTATTTAAACATTTTTTAGACGAATCGAGAGTAAGTTGCATTGGACCGAAGCAGCCAAATCTCAGCAAACATGAAGTTGAAATTATTTTCGGATACATACAAACCTGGCAACAACGGTAAATATGTTGTTCAATAAAGAAGATTTTTTTTGTTGTGTTTCTTCATTTACATGCAAATGATAACATAATGGTTTTGAAAAATGTTTTTTTAATTACAGACAATGCATGTGCTGTTATCGCGATATCAAAAATTTTGAACGATTTCAGTTGGTTGTACAATCGATGATCTGTTTGTCAATAGTTCAACTGAAAAATATCGAAAAACTAGTTGTAGATCATAATAATAGGATATCATCACATCCGTCGCCATCAACGTCACAAAATCAAAATGCTCTATCAGCAAAGTCAGTCAGGGTAAGTTTTTCGAAGACAACAACAATAATTACCATGAAAAATTGCGAATGTCATATGTATAACGGTGTTTTGTGTGTGTGTATTTTCATTGATAGCCTCCTTTGCTTGAGACACCGCCACACTTGAAGCCAATCTTATTGAATTTCAGACCTGAATTGGATAAAACTCAAAATGAGGCTGTATCGTGTGATAAGCATGTGAAAGTTAATAGTGGCGATAGTGGCGATAGCGGCGGAGCTACTAACAATGAATTGGTTAAATCGAATGCGGATGCTCCGGTGGCGGCGAGTAACGATGATGCTAATTTTACGGTGAATACAACAGACAACGATAAAAAAGACGACAACGGCGACCATGACACCAAAAATGCTGCTGATAGTAGCACAGCTAAAAAATCATCGACAAATGCAACAGACGACGAAGAACCAAGCGGCAGTGATACAGCAAAAAAGGCTGACAGTCAAAACACAGACAAAAATGAAACAAACACAAACAGCAGCAGTAGCAGTAGCAGTAACAGTAGCAATAGTACTTCATCGATTTTAGCAAAAATCAATGAAACATGGACATTGCCCGAATTTGAAAGACTGCTGATATTGCTTGCCAAAGCATTTCTATTAAATTTTCCGCTGTACATTGCGTACAAACATGCTGTGCAACGTTTAGACGAAATTTCACCACAAGATGCACAAAATTTGAGCATTTATTGCGATTTACATGAAAACGAAATGCCCATTTATTTATTGCGAAATGTAACACTATTCTGTACAGCACATGGTTTCAATCATTTGAGTGATTGCTTTGATGTGCCACACTTGCCCGTATCGACAGCGCACGCAATAACAGCCGTTGTGTCAAATTTAAAATTGTGGCTAAATTATCGTAGTATCGTTACGTTATTTGTACCGATTCGTTCAAAAATCTTGCAGTACATGTGCAAATTGGCCGATCAAGACTTACGATCACCAGCTACGAAATCAATGGCTGACTTCATGTGGACCGCTATCAAAGATCCATTGGACACACAAATCACATTCGACACCGATGGTCTGGCATTGGCATTCAAATACTTTACATCGACAACGCTTACAATGCGTTTGGCTGGTATGGCACAAATCAACGCACATATTAATTTATTCAACGATATTTGTACATCGGAAACGGTAGCTGAAGTTGAAATTGTCGGTCAGAAATTATCCGATTGGCTCATCGAAAATAAAATCATAAACCATTTGTTCGGTCCAAATTTGCATGTTGAAGTGATCAAACAATCACCAATTGTGTTACGTTTTTTAGCGGTTGAAAATCAAATCACCGAAGAGCATTTGAATTTGATTTGGCAAGCGGCTCAACTAAAACATTGCTCAAAAGCTATTTACGATGTGTTGCCACCACTAGTTAAAAATTTATCACTACAACCAGCGCTTCACATGTATTCATTGCTGTGCCACTTGGATCCAAAAGAACATACCGAACAAAGCATATTCACCGCATCAACGTTGATCAAAATGATTTGGTTGCGTGATGGATCGCGTCAACAAATTGTCGATATGCCCAGTTCGGCTGCATTGCTTGCGGCAAATGTTGGCTCTAGTTCAGAAAATAGCGTTAGCATCGATGGCAGCAATAGCGATGAAGAGCATCCAGACGATGATAGTTCAGATGGCCATAAAAGTGCGATTGATATTGAAGTTGGCTCTGACTCCGGACCCACACCATGCAAACAACCAAGACATAAAAACTGCTGCGAAGAAACTACTGATGGTATGGCATTCATATCTATTTATTTTTAAACACAATTAATTAATTTTTTATTTTTCCATTTACAGACAGTAGTAAAATCGAAGACATCACTGATGAAAATGAGGCTGAAAACTTTGATGCGGCGTAAGTTATATAATATTTAAATATATATAAATCATTCCTAAATTCCCTTTCTCTCTGAATTGAAAATAATTGAAATTTTTTTATTTTTGGGTCTTTTAAAGTATAAGCCGTATAAATCGTAGATTAGTAGCACCCCTAAATGCAAGTAGTAGTGAAGATGGAATTGGCGAACCAGATGCTCATGCTCGTAAAAAAATTCGTAAACGTCGTAAGATGCGTGCCGTCATTTCGGCAAAATCTCAGCTGCAAGGAATCGAAGCAATTTCAGATGGTGACACTGACGAAGCGGTTGATATAAATGACAGTGATGACTGTAGTGAATCACAGATCCAATCAGCGATGCTGGGTCATTTGCATGCAAAAGCGCCATTCATTAACACGATGGCCAATAATCATTTGATTGGTATGTTAAGTGGAGGTGAAAATGATGGTAGTTATTCATCGCCGTTAAGTCAAAAATCCGGTAAAAATATGGCCGATTTTGATGATGATGATTCACCGTGCGAAGAAGAGCTCGCACAATTAGCGGCAAGTACACATTGTCTGGCTGCATTTGCCGCATCATCACGAAATATGACACAAAATGTGTTGAACAATGCATTGACTGCCAAATCATCGAGAAATTCATCGAGAACTACAACCGAAAATGTTCGAACAAATCTAATGACTGCCAATGAAGTATCACAACCATGCAATATTCTCTTATGGGATTTGCTTATGGATGACAAAATCGTAAGTTTGAATTAAGTTTTATTTAAATTATTTTTTGTCGGGTGAATTATTTTCGAAAATAAAAAATTCGAGTGTTAATACTTATATTGTTATGACATATTAACAGGGTCAACTCGGCGAATCTATGGCCATTGAAACCGAAAAGGCTCTTCGAGCTCTATTGTGCTTCAATACAGAGAAAAATATTCGTACAAAATTCATTGAAAGTTGTTTGCAAAATTTAGCAGCAAATCGTAGTGTTGTGGTGAGTTTGAGACTTTTGCCCAATTTATTGGCATCGTTTCAACAATTTCGCGCCATTGATACGCATCAAGTGACAATGTGGGCAGAACGAAATCATAAAATGATGTATCATTTCTTCAATAATTTGAAAGTGTACGCAAATCTAGTAAAAACTCCACAAAATGTGTTGCCTTTAAATCAAAATGGCCAAACAATGTATTCGCATATGACGCAGGTGCAAGTTCGTTTAGATTTTCTCACATCAATATTCAGCACAATTGGTTCGCCAGAAAATTTCCGCCTGAGTTTGGATCAAGTTGATCAGCTATGGTCATGGTTGGCAAACGATTGTGAATGTTCTGATTGTTTATTTGCCTGGTTGCAAGGACAAGCGAAAAATTCCGAACAACATGCCCTCGGAATTGAGGCGCTCCAACATCTCTATTTGAAAAAATTGCCCGAATTAAGACCCGAAGATATATCAATGGTTGGCTTAGGTCTGATTCAAACGCTGTGCAGTTTGGCACGTGTCGCCGCTCATTATGATGCAACACCGTCAGACTTATCGCTGGACGCCGTTGGAATGGGTCATTTATGGAAAATTGCACTACGAGCAACAAATACAGATGTATCTCTAGCGGCCATTCAATACATCAACTCCTATTACATGGGCCAACAATTGAAAATGGAGAAAGAGTTTGTCGCCCATTGTATGAACCATTTAAAACAAGCTTCCGAAGATTTAAATAGGTAAATTTTTTAAAATAATTTCGATCAATAGAAAAAATAAAACTAATTTTGGTCTCCAATTTTCATGTGCAGTAATCGATGCCAAGAGAAGGCTTTGATGTGTGTGCAACGAGCTTTGATGTTATTGAATACACATTTGGACACGTTTCGTCGACGATATGCATATCATTTGCGACGTTGGGCGTTAGAAGGAAAGGGTTTTGGTACACATAGTGCACTACGAAACGATGCAATTGGCCCATCAATTCGAATAATTCTACAGCCAGGTGGTCTACCCGATAAATCGGTATTGCACATGCATACCACTGACTTGGTGGCCGATCTAAAAGCTGAAATTGCAAAATGGTGGGAAGCATTGCAAGGTGGCGCCAAATCATCTGGTGTTGCTGCACCGGTACTAGGATTTTTATTAAGCGAAGGACCATTGAGAATAATAACACAAGGTCAAGAGATCACATCTGATTACGATGAACGAACAATTGCCGATGTTGGTTTCAAAGACAATCAAATGGTTTATGTTTCATTGGGCGGTCGAGGTGGTAGCAGACGTCGCGAAACATTCGATCATCCATCATTGCAGGCGGCTCCGCCAAAGGAGTGCTTGCCAACTGTGCTGCTGCTGCAACCGGATTATTTTGAAGAGCTTTTTAATTTGATGCAAAAATTGGGTGATATGCGTATTCTTGGTAAGAATGGTTCAATGCTTCCATATACGAAGGCACAATTGTTGTCACGACGCGTTTGGGATATACTTGCGCTATTGCCAACCAATCCAGATATTTTGGAGAATTTTAAGCGTCTTGGGGACACACTTTTGAATAACGAACATAGTTTACAACATGAAAATGTGGGCGTTGTAAAATCCAGCCAAATGGCAGAATCATGTGAGGTTCGTGAACAAATACAAAAACATTTAGATCCAAAAAATTTGCAAAAATTCATGTATTCATTGCACATTGTTGAGAGTTTGGTGAAATCAAAAAACACTGGTTGTTGTTCCACCAACGAAGCCAATGCAAGAGGTTTACAAGTAAAATGCAAATCGAAACAGACCTCACAAAAGAGTAATAAGAATGCAGATTCGGTGCTAATCACAAATAAAACTGCCGAAGGCAATGAAAATGTGGATCCACAAGTGAATTGCCGTAAACCGGAGCCACAAAAAGACGAACTAATCAAAAGCAAAGAAATCGAAAGCATTGAAATTGATCGATCGATGGAAATGGCAACATCTTTACAAACATCATCATCAACAACGGCAACAACAACACCACCAATAGCGGCACCATCTGCCAATGAAGTAAATCGAAGTACAGTTGCGACCACACATCAATGGTTTAACGGTTTTATTGCAAACGGCGGCCTTCGACATTTATTTGATATTTTTCTATCAGGTGTTTTACAAAGTGATCATAGTACGGAAAATGAATGGCGGACAGATTGTTTGGCAAGCTTATTACGAACGCTGTGCCTTTTAGGTGTAGAAGAGCTGAGACCAGAAAATGTAAGTCCTTTTTTATTGACTGTGAAAAAAAAAATATGTATGCATTTATTTGGTTTTAATTTGATGTTTTCATATTCCCTGGGTGTAGAATTTACTAACCGTACCAGCTATAAAGGATTGTATGATGCAATTGATGTCAGCGAAAGCGACATTGCATCGATTGGCATCGATTTTAAGTGATGCGAGTCGACCACCGAATCCACATCAATTCAAAACTGGTTTTTGGGGCCGAGCCCAGGTTATACATTACGCAATGAATTTGCTCGTTTGTTTGGTGCATTCATCAGCACAAGCACGTGAATATTTATGGGTTGAGCCCGATATTTGTGCATGGTTACAACGTTTTATTCTTGACGATCCAGAGCCAGCGGTACGACGAGAAGCATGCGCTGCATTGTATCGAATTTGCTTGGGAAATTCGGCTGCATACGATTCACTGATGGGACCAGTACTATCGCGTTTGATCAGCTTTTTACCGGTTGCCGAGAAAATGGTATCGCAAAGGGGCAAATCACTTAAAAATTACTTATTAATTATTATTGATTGTTTTACGATTATTTTTCGATTAGTTTCCGATTACTTATCGATTATTTTAAATTTTATTCTTTTCTTTTGTGATTCTCCCCTTAGGTATCGCAAACAGTGAATCCACATTTGATTGCCGATGATGGGAAGGATCCATATGGTCCAGCATGCCGTGATTATTTTTGGCTGTTGTGTCGCTTAGTTGATACTTTAACACCAGAAAGTTTAGATGAACCATCATCAGCGATTATTGACATTGAAGCGCTGTGCCGTCAAGTGTCGAACAGCATTATTAATCGAAAAATCATCGAAACACGTTTCAGTGGTCAAGACGATGGTTTAGTTGGATTATTGAATTTAATGACGAATTTAATCAAATATGATCCACCGTTTAAGTTTAGTTCCGACGCTGAAATATTCATAACACAAGTGTTTGATTGCCTCTTTGATTTGCCATCGCCGCAAAATCGGCAAAAACCAAAATGCAAAACACAATCATCACGAGCTGCTGCTTATGATTTGTTAGCCGAATTGTGCCGAAATGCACCAAACAACTTTAAAATTTTGCATAGCAAATTACTGAAGCAACATCAACCCGGGCCACATTCACCATATCCATGGGATTATTGGCCACGTGATGACGGCCGCTCTGAATGCGGTTATATTGGTTTAACGAATCTCGGTGCTACATGCTATATGGCATCGTGCATTCAACATTTATTTATGATGCCACAAGCACGAGAGGCCATACTTACCGTTGATCCAAAACAGTCACTCAAACATGCAACAACACTTCAAGAATTACAACGAATGTTTGCCTATCTTATGGAATCAGAACGAAAATCGTATAATCCACGTTCATTTTGTCGCGTCTATCAAATGGATCATCAACCATTGAATACGGGCGAACAAAAAGATATGGCCGAATTTTTCATCGATATGGTATCCAAATTGGAAGAAATGACACCCGAATTGAAAACGCTAATCAAACGATTGTTTTGTGGTACATTGAGTAATAATGTAGTTTCACTTGATTGCGGTCATGTGAGTCGAACACAAGAAGAATTTTATACGGTTCGTTGTCAAGTGGCGCAAATGCGCGATTTACATGAATCATTGGCCGAAGTAACGGTTAAAGATACATTGGAAGGTGACAATATGTATACATGTGATCAATGTGGACGAAAGGTTCGTGCCGAAAAAAGAGCTTGCTTCAAGAAATTACCCGAAATATTGTGTTTCAATACAATGCGTTATAGTAAGTGTTGTTGTTACAAGATGAATTTATTCACGTATTGTCATAAAATTAATTTTGTTCGTTTTTCTCTCTCTCTCTCTATTTCAGCTTTTAATATGTTGACAATGCAAAAAGAGAAGGTAAATACACATTTTTCATTTCCAATGAAATTGGATATGTCCGGTTATGTGGAAAAGTCATTGTTGCCACAACAATATCAGGAATCAAAAACTGATCAAACCGAATCGACTAAACGAAATGACGAGAAATGCACAAATGAACAACAAGATATGGAGAAAATGGAAGTGGATGGTGCTGGTGCCAATGCTTCGGTTTTATGTTTGGATGATGGTTTAAACGACCAATACGAATACAGTTTGATTGGTGTGACTGTCCACACTGGCAATGCCGATGGTGGTCATTACTATAGTTTTATTAAAGAACGCAATGGTCCACATCCACATGGTCCGGATCGTTGGTTTTTGTTCAATGATGCTGAAGTAAAACAATTCGATCCATCTCAAATCGAAGCCGAATGCTTTGGCGGTGAAATGACGAGCAAAACATATGACACAGTAACGGAAAAATATTTAGATTTCAGTTTTGAAAAAACCAATTCGGCCTATATGCTATTCTATGAGCGTGTACCATCACATCAATCGTCAAATGAAGCACATTCAGATCATGGTTCGTTTGATGAGAATGTTAAAATTGATGATTCATACGAACAAGCATGTTGTTCAACAACAACGCCGGTGCAACCAACAACAGCTACCACTCCACCATCGATGAACAAAACACACGGTGATTTTAATAAAATGAACGAAACATTCGAGAATTCGGTGATATCGACAAGCTTAGACGAAAAAATCGACGAACCAACATCCACAATAAATCCACCACCATCACCACCAGCCACTGATTCAATAACAGAGGATTTAGCGGTAGAGCATAATAAATGTGATATAGATACTAAGAGTGGTAGTGATTGCAATGAAAATGCGGATAAAACAATCGATGCTAATAACAAAACAATAGCATTTGCTGCGTCAACAAGCTCAACGAAAAAGACGACGACTACGACGACCACAACACCGATAACAACACCATTCAGACATTTGCTGAACAAAGAACTCGAAGAATGGATTTGGGAAGACAATCGCTACTTTCTGCAGGATCGAAATATTTTCGAACATACGTATTTCAAGTAAGCAATATTTCTTAAGTGTAACTTCTCTCACATTACTACGAACTCATAAATTCAACAATGCACGTGTTATTTTTATTTCAATAGTTTTATGTGGCAAATATGCGGAAGTATTCCACAGTCATTATTGCACAAAACTGATGTTACATGTATAGCGGCTCAATTATCAGTATCGTTTTTTATTGAGACTTTTATTCATGCTAAGGAAAAGGTATAAATTGAAAGAAAAAAATAATGTCGAATATCTGGTCATCGTTGATTTTAACGATTATTATTTTATTTTTTTATTTTTGGTGCTTTGCCAATAGCCGACCATGGTTCTATGGGTCGAATTGTTAACGAAGCAATTCAATGGTAATCATTATAATATTAAACATTTTCGATTATTTTCCGATTACTTATCGATTATTTTAAATTTTATTCTTTTCTTTTGTGATTCTTCCCTTAGGTAATCAGGAAGCTTGTGAATGGTTTTTAACGCATATGTCAACGGAATTTTGGTGGCCGGTGCAAATTCTCATCAAATGTCCAAATCAAATGGTGCGACAAATGTTTCAGCGTTTAGTCATTCATGTAATACAACGATTGCGTCAATCCCACTGTAATTTGTATTTGAAATCGGAAACGGATGCCGAAGGTCGTGAAATTGTTGGCGATGCATCGTGTGTTACGCGATTTGTAAAATCGTTAATAACAATCATGGAACATGGTGCAAAAGCTCATTTACGTCATTTGTCTGAATTTTTTGGTTTGCTTTATGAATTCTCACGTATGGGTGAAGAGGAAACATTATTTTTGCTCAAAATCAATGTGATACGCAGTGTGGCCGACTTTTATTTGGGTCATAAAACACAAGATTGCGTAAGTTTTTTGCATTTCGATTGGACTTCATTGAAGACAAATATTTGTAACATTTTTTTTGTTGTTGCCTTTTTTCTTTATAGATTGATGTTGGTTCTGATAATGACGATAATTCATCGGATGAAACATTATCGATTGATAAAACAAGACCAGCGTCACTCGATAAAATGATAGCTTTAGTGGCAACATTGGTGGAACGTTCAAGGGGACCAGATCTTCGGCTTCAATTGTCTCCAAGGGATTATAATGCGATTGCTGGCGGCAAGGTAAACAATTTTAAACCAAAAACAGTCTATCACATCAATGTGCAGTTGTGCACACATTAAAATTAATCGTCGTTTTATTCTCTCTTGAAATGTGCAGGGATTTCCGTTTTTATACCAACAAATTAAGGATAACATAAATCCACATCAAACACGACATTTGATACATGCTTTGTGTCGATGGGACGAACGTTTGGCAAGTCAAATAATTTCAATGCTATTTACATCGGTTACACGGCACATTGAATTGTGCGGTCCATTTTTCAAATTGCTAACATTGTTAACGGAATCGTCGGGCGGACCATCGGGTTTGCCATGTTTTTCTCAATTGGTTTTGTCACGAGTTTGGGATGCTGCTGAATTTTGTCCACAATCAGCGCTCGATTGGTTAGCCGTACAAGCACCAAGAAATAAAATCGCACATGCATGGATTTTACAATCAGCCGAAAGCTGGGTTGAACAGTTCCTTCTAGCCCATAATAATGCCAAAGTGCGAAATGGTACGAAAGACACGTTTATTTTACGTTTAAAACGATTGTTAAGCAAATTAAAAAAATATATATATGAAAAAATCAATTTCGTTTTTCAGCTGCCGCTTATCTTCTGGTGTCGTTGGTTTCATCACAATCCTTCCGCACAAACTATCGTGCCGCTTCATTAAAATTACAAGTGCATACATCTCATCGTGATCTCAGTGACGAGGCTACGCTAATATTGCATACCATTTTGAATTTATTGCTCCGCTTACTGCGACCAGCCAGAGTTTATACCGATATATTGGTGCATGGACCAAGTAAATTGTCAGCCTATTTTGGCCTAATGACCTATTGTATGGTATCAAAAACCGAAAAACTTATGGTAAGCTCTAAAAATAACGAACGCATAGTTAGTAACAGTAAAGTGATGATCGTTTTTATTTTCGTTTTTTCTACTTTAGTTAACACCATACATTCGAACTCTATGGGATCTATTTCATCCACGTTTGTCAGAGCCAAGTGTTCCTGCTCACCATAATAAACAAGCTCTTCTTGCATTTTGGTATCATGCAACAAATGATTGCCCCGAAAATGCACAAGCCGTCGCAAATTGCCCCGAGATAACCCGAAATATTGCATTTAATTATATTTTGTAAGTAAAGCATCATTCAATTGAACACAGGTTGAAAAACTGGTTAATGACATCGAATGTCATTTCAACGCAACCATTGACCATTATTTATTTATTTATTTTTCTTTTGGCTCCAATCAAATCATATTGAAATTTTAATTGTAATTTTTATGAATTTTATCATTTCAGAGCTGATCATGATGATGTCGATATTGTAGCCTATAATCGTGCTATGTTACCTGCATATTATGGTTTGTTGCGTTTGTGTTGTCAACAAAGTAGATCGTTGACACGACAATTGGCCGCCCATCAAAATTTACAATGGGCATTCAAAAATATAACACCGCATCCAACGCAATATGCAATGGCCGTTGATGAGCTTTTTTCATTGATGAATCTATTTGCGGCTCGCCATCCAGACGATACTGAAGCTGAACAACGTGAAATTGCGACATTCCGTAGAACAACATTGTCTGCATACTTAACGGGTATCGATGCTCGCGTCTCATGGGGAACATTGATAGCAGCATTACGAATTTTGGTGGATAACGATGATGATCGATTGTTTGTTGTTTATAATGGTGGCATTGCAATGTGTTTTGAAGCATTGATAACCTTACATTCCATGTATCATGAAGCAACGGCATGTCATGTGTCGGGCGATTTGCAGGAATTGTTAACCGAATTGGCATTGCTTGTAAAAGCATTGCGAATAAATGCACGCGAACAGAAAAAACGACCGCCACAAAGTGCGCTCAAACATTTACCGGACGCTGTACGACGTTTGGCCACATTACTTAATACACACAATCCACCACAAATGCGTAGTTTGGCTTTGGACGTTCTCACCGAATTGGTACGAAATCCGAATCTCGAGGTGGTTGTCATTTTGTGTCCATTACTATTGACATGTCATATGCAAGCACAAGACTCACCAAATATTATCGGACCGATTGGACCATATTTTCCACGTCGTAGCAGTGTCAAAGCACAATACAATAACATAGTTAAAAATCATCCACGACCACCGCGTTCAATGAGTTCAATGGTTCAAATGAGCATACCTCAATCGCAAATCATACAACGTGGCATTGACAAAGAATTTGATTGTGGATTGGACGCATTCTATCGACCGTATCACGATTTCTTGGATGTTATGATGCGAATGGCTGTCAATATGAACACACTTAATGAATCATTGGTTAATCTTCATTGTTTGGCTGGTATCGAGGGAGCCACCATGCATTTTAACCTGTTTCCGAGATTTTGGGTTGGCATTTACAACAATAAAACTACACACAAGTACGTTGTGATTTGAGTTTTTTTTATTCAAAAATTTTAAAATATTTTTCTACAACATTTATTCAATAATAACAATTTATGGTTACAGATGGGTCGAATTACTAATATCGAATTCAAATCTCATCGATTACATGTACGCAATTTTACGTGAAAAACGTGTTTCACTCAATGATCCAGTCATATTGACATTCATTGAAATGTACTTCCCAAAGGTAAATAGCTGGATTTGAAACGAAAAAAAAAACTTAACCCGAGTGACTTATGATTAATCTAACTTGCAGGTTTCTCTTCTACATATCGATCGCTTGATTGAGTCCATATGCCAAACGTTACTTACAAAGGAAAATTATGAAGAGATTTGCGGTGATTTGCTTGCACTATGTGTAATTACTCAAAAAGGAGTTCGGATACCTTCATTCACATTACGTGAAATGAAACGATGCTTACAAGCATTTTATTCACGTTTCAAAGATAAACTATCGCCTTTAGACGGTATGCAAAGAGACATTATTTATTTCAATTTATATTTTTTATCAAACAATATCAAAATAAATCAATCTATGTTATCTTTGTACACACAGATGAAGATTCCACTCCGCCACCAATGAAAAAGCAACGAAAATCATCATCGTCGGACAGTGATTTCTATGAAACACAATCGTCGGCAAACAAAACAAACGAGAGCAAAAGTGATGATCAAACAACAGCGTCCACATCATTAACAACATCAACACCCTTATCTGATGAAAAAGACACATCGTTAAAATCCGAAAGCACCGAAAACACCGATGATCAACCGCAAGATGATGAAATGAATGGTAAAAAGATGGTCATCGAACAGCAACAACGGTCAAAACCAAATCTATCCACATCGCCAACGAGCTTATCAAATTCATCGTCGGTATCAACTGGATCATCGCCCGACTCGCATGCATTGGCAATAAACACTTCCACCGAACATGAGCAAAGTCTCGAAGAACGTAAAATATTGCGAAAAATTGATTATCATTTGATGGATATTTTTCAGCATTTGGAAGAATTGGAAATTGAGACTGCCGAATCTGAATCTGGTTCAAGTCGATATAATACAACACTACCGAAAAATAATTGCACCATCAGCGACACAAGTAACACTAGCGATAACATTACATCAACTAGTCACAAAATATCATCAACGGCAAGCTCAATTGCTGACGATGACATCGGAACTGAACCAGGTCCTGGCCCATCACAATAGCACACCACCTTCTTCTGCCGCAAAATATTGTCCATATCTAAGGAATACATAAAATAAATACACAAAATACGATTTTCAATGTAGGATGGATACAAAAATTGAAATATGAAAAAAAAGCAAACAAAACTTTTTTCCGCTTGAAAAAAATACAACACAATGAAAACCAAACAAACAGAAATATAACTGAACTATTGAATCTTGATTTAAAAGGAAAAGAATAGAAAAAATGGACGGAGGCCGATAAATAAGACAAAAAACAACAACAAAACATAACACACAAAGTAAGCGATAAACGGAAATGGTAAAAAAAAACATAAACATAAGAATAAAAACTTTGTTCATTGTTTCTCTTTTTAAAAAAACACAAAATGTTGATTATTGTCAAAAGTATATCTATCGATATTATTTATTTTTTTCTTTGAAAATGCAAATTATATTTTCTTTTGAATTGATTACTGCGAATAAAATTATAACTTGAATAAATGTTTATTCTTTCGAATTTTAAATAAAATAAGACGTGCGCATTCTCTCTCTTTATCTATTTTCTCTTTTGCAAATACTGTAGTCATAATTTTGGTGGTAATAATAATGAAGGTTAAATAGTTCTTTTTTTTTAAATAACGTTGACCAATTCTTTCTCTCCTGTTTTTTCACGAATGATAATTTAAATTGACGGGTTTTTTATATTTTTTTGTCTTCAAATATTAATAATATTAGTGGGCCTAAATTAGTTCAGATATACTCGCTTAATTTTAATTGTTTTTTTTTTTAGAAAATGTATGATTTATAGATCCAAATGTTAAATGAATGCTTGTTCGGCAGAAAGATGATCGGTAAATGGTTTAACCAATGCACTTGTGGCGAAACAGAACAATAATCCGAAAAATATTGATATCGGTAAAGCTGGTAGCGCCTTACGACAAATAGCAAGCAATAACAGTGTCAGGCATAAACCCTAAGAAGAAAAATGGATATTACAGAGAAATTATTGTTGCTCTCTCGTTCAAATAATGGACTTCAAACTATACTTACAATCAAAATTGCAACGAAACATGCAATAGTTGTATTCCAATCACCATAACTTGATGCTTTGCCAACAAGAACCGAATAGAAGATAAAATCGCCCAATCCAAGCTTAATGCCACCTGCAATGAAAATCCATTTTAAATATAATTCAAAAAAAATTCTCTTAAATGTTTGCCGCAAGTAGACATACGTTCTTCGGCCTCCAATTCTGGATGTGGTTGTGCTTGTGGCGCTGCAACCGTACGATATTCAGTCGGACGATTTGGATTGCTTGCAATATTGGCTTGAACTTCAACTTGACGTTGTCGTGAACGTTCTTCACTGGTTGATGTCCATTCTTGGGAGAATCCAGCATCTAAAATAGTCAAATCAAATGAGATGAGCATTTTTTTTTTAAATATTGACAATAGTCTTTCCCTTCTCTACGAATCCCAAGCGAGACTGAGTGCCTAATATTTTTGAATATGATCTTTTGAAATAAATGTGTTTTTTGGTGAATTTGCTTACTACTCGTTCCATTCTCTTTAAACGTGACCATTTGAAAATCCGTACCTTCTGCAGATGAAGCTGTACGTTCCGATTGACGTCTTCTGCTCTCGTTTCTTTCACCAGTTTCAGCATCCGTTGATTCAGTTGTGGTCATAATCGAATAAGCAACCGTTGCTAATAAAATAAAAGTCAATTAAAATCACCGTCAATACACCAATAATGCGCTCATTTGACTATAGTCATACTTACAGGAATAAATTAATGCTGGAAAAATTTGTTCATTACGTTCTTGTGCTGTTTCAACGAGCACACGAAGTGGACCCTTTGGCGATAGTACGGCAATCAAATCTGAATTGTGAAAAAAAATCCCATAAATTAATTTTATGCTTTGAGCAAAATGTCGAGAGAAAAAAACGAACCCCAAATTGAAATCACAGCCAAAACAACCCATGTTGTTACTTCAGGTAAATATTTTATGAAAACTAACGCCATCAATGCAGCTACAAATATTAAATATGCTTGTTGTAGCCGGAGTGGTCCTTGCCAATGAATTGACATCATTCCACAGACTCCAAAGTTCCACATTATCATCAGTGCTGTAATGTAATCCATTGGAATATTATATGCTCTGAGGAGCTCTCTGTTTAAATGACAAAACAAACATTGAAATGTTATTATATAAAAAGTCACTCAACTCAAATTGAATAAACATGTGGCATTAAAATGAACTCACTCTATATACAGATAGCTGAAAATGAATAGTAATAGAAAGGAAGAAAGCATAAGCCATCCGTGAATGATTTTGTAGCAACGTTTTTTGTACAAAAAAATCAATAAGATGGTCATAATGACGATGAACGTCATTAAAATCAGTGAATTGAATAGTGCATCCCGAATTTTCATGCCAGTATCCGGATGTAGTTCATGAAATGGTGTGTAAATCCTAAAACAATTTAAAATGAGAACGTCAAATAAAATTGTTCATTGCTTGAAAGGAAAGAAACACTCACAAATACACATCTTTTGTATTGTAGAAGTTAACCGAATTGATTGTGGCTACAACGACCAGCATACACAATGAAACTGGTGCAAATAATTTGATCACATGCTGAGCACCGTATTTAAGGCCTTCTTCTTCTTCGTCAACAGGTTCTGGATGGCTTGGACCACCTTGATGGCGATCACCACTGTGTCCACTGTTTCCACTTCGGCCATCGCGTATTACTACCTCCTCACTTTCATTAACAACATTCGGTTGTCTTTCATCCATTCCCTAAAATTTGTGCAGAAAAAACATTTATAATCACTTTCTCTGTAATTTTTTTTTTCGTTTCAAAAATGTCGATAAAGTTGCACTTACGCCATATGTTGTTTCCGGCTGACGCCTACTAGTTGATTTTGGATTTTTGCGAGGACTCTTATCACTAGATCCGCCTTCATCTAAAACCTTATTATTTCGATCTTTTCTTGACACATATGATTCTCCAACTATGGCGTCCATCAAACAATTCTGGTAATTCTAAATTCGTAGTAATTTTCAAAACTAAACTTAGCACAGATTCGGCACAGGATAACCAAATCTATCCCGTCACAATCGATTGAATGGGGGAAATGAATCAGCCTTCAAATGGAATAGTTATCAAGTTGTAGTGGTTTTTTTTTGTGTGTTGCTGAATCTACAAATGTCTATAAGTCATTAGTTTACTCACAATAGGGAAAATAATACAAATGTCATACGTAACAAAAAAGCGACGGACATTTTACGTAAATATGATTTTACGAAATACGAAATACACACAAACAAACAAACATACAACGGTCAACTTGATTGAATGTGAACAATAAAATAAATGAACACTTGATGATATTTTTTTTTGCTCAAAAATAGTTTATTTGTACTTTGATAAATGAAATAATAATAATTTACAATTGAAATGAGACAATTAATTTAGTAAACATTTAGTAGCCAAAATCGAATCCATTCTTTAAATTAGTTTTTATATTCGTTTTTGGTGATATTGTGCATAATTTGTCGTAAAGGTCATCGATGCGATCTCGATATTTGCTTTCAATGAAATTGGTGCGATCTCGTATTGATTTGATGCGATTTTCTGTGTCTTTAGTTTGTTCTGAATTTTGTTTTAAGGCCTCGTCAATTTTTTCCATGATACTACCAATATTCTCCTTGCCTCGGCTCGAATCTCGTATCAATTGCTCTTGTTTCAATGCCACTTCGGTGCGTAGTTCGACTTTCTTACGCAAAACATCAATTTCGGTTGCCTGTTTTCGAATTATTGAATTTGCATTACAGATATCTTCGGTGGCCATTTTGAGGCCGTCCTTTTTTATTTGGCATATATTCCGTTCGGCTTCCAATTCGGCCAGCAATTCTTGCTTTTGTTTTTTGTGTGTCATAATTTTTTGTTCGAGATCGTTCACTTGCTGACGCAAATCGGCAATCGTTTTATCATACTTTTGTACTGTATTTTGTTGATTCAGTCGTTCGGCATTCAATTGATCCAATTGCTGATTGAGACTTGTTATTGTGTTTAAGGCTTTTTTACCATCGCCTCGCAATTTGGCCGTTTGCTTTTGTTCAATTTGTAATTGTTCGTTGAGTGTGTAGTTTCCCTTCATCAATGTTTCATTTCGTACCTTAAATGCGTTTATTTGCTTCTCAAACTCTTGTGTTTGATAGTTTTTGGCATCGTTGAGCTCTTTAATTTCGATTTCCAATCGAGTCAATTGCTCTTTGCATCGGTCTTTTAATGCTTTCTCTTGTTCATTTAAATTATGTTTTAGGCCATTTATAATGCCATTCAATAGATCAATTTGATCATCTTTTTGGGCCAGCTCCAATTGTAGATTATTATTTTTCTGCAATATTATTCGATTTTCTTCTTGTGAATATGCATAAGTTTGATTAATTTGGAATAAAATTACTTCGTATGGTGCCGATTCGATGGGTAAACTAATGTGTTCCAAATTTTTTAATGTGCCTTTTTCATAAAATTGTAATCGAAATCGTTGTCCGTTGGTCGCTTCAAATCCATTATTCATCATTGTTAGCAGCACGTTCATTTGCTTTTGACGACACTTTTCAACCATTTCCGTGATGTGATTTACAAACGATTCAAATGTAACGTAAAGCGATTGTTCAATTTTAAAATGTTCAAATTTTGTGTTATCAATCGTACAAATAAAAACGGACGTATTATCACGTACACTGCTCAATCGAATTTGAATTAAATTCATTGTTTTATGTTTTTCAATGCAAAAATTGTAGTGTTCATGTGTGTTGGCATGCATTTTATCCGTTGTTAAAAGCAATTCAATCGGTAAACTGTCACATTTATACACCAAATATTTAGATGCTTTCATTTTTGGATCGATGAAAAATCGGTAATCCATTTTATAAATTTTTTAAATTACAATCAATTAATTACTAATAAATTCAGTGGTAATTTTATAAAAAAAAACGTAAACACACTTTTTTTCGGGTGGCTTAGCGTCAACTTGTCGATCGTATTGTTTGTTATATGGCTTGGATGTTTGAAATAATGAAAACACATTCGAAATGTCAAACTGAATCAAAATTCGAAATGTCAAATATATTTATAGGTTGTGGTCAAATTTCTGTATTTTTGCTCAGTCAAAAAAATCTACCATAAATATAAAAACAGTTTGGAAAATTTGTGTTTTATTTTAATATTTTCCGAATTGAAAAGATGTCAATAATTGCCGCATTTTCAAAGTAAGTGAATTCCTGACATTTTTTCGTTATGATTTCAAACAATAATTGAATGATTTTCTTTAGGTTATGTGTTAGCAATGCAATCAAAACTATACACAGATGCTCCCAACAACAGTTCCATATGACACCAATTGTGTACGCTGAACCAATGAAAAAGCGGAAACGTTTGGACCCGGCCATCATCAAGAGTCGTATTGATCGAAGAAAGAGAAAGATCGAAAAGGCAATTCGTCGGCTGCAGAAAAATAGCCGACAACTCAAACCAATCGAAGAGGTTGAGAAACCAAAGGCCCTGGTAAAAATTGAGGATCAAATGTAATCATCTTCATTCACTGAGTCTTCAGTAGTTTTATTTTCAAATTCTTAAATTCAATTTGATTTATTGCAGTGCTCGTAAGCGTCCACCAATCCAATTGAACGATGAACAAAGGGATTATAGAGCTCTACTTCAAAAGGATTGGACACGATACAAGCGGCAGCAAAACCTTGAATTGAATCAGATTTGCAAGCAAATTTTCGAAAGTCAAAACAAAGCTCTACAAGAACTTCGACTTGAATCGGAGGTATTGTATCAAGCGGCCATTCAACCTGATGAAAATCTACTACCAGTAACTCTTAAAGGACCTGTAAATACGCCACCAATCAAAAATTATGACTCACCAGCTGAGTATCGTTTCATTCGAATTTTGCTTATCATAAAAAAATCTACATTTCATTTTATTGATTGATTTTGTGCGCGTGTGTTCTCTTTTTTTTTTTTGCTCTCTTTTTACAGGACGGAGAATACAAGGACGTTAGCAAAAAGTGGGATTGATGTGGTTTTATGATATTCTATGTAGATGAGATGGGCATACACGAAAATGCGAAAAAAAACTTATGAAATATAAATTAATAGAAAAAATCTGAAAAAAACGTCTTTTCTTCCATCAGAACCACTATTTATAACTTTTTTGCTGAACATGCAAAACCTTGTAAAAAGTGGCCAAGCAAAAAAAAAGATTCAAGAAGACGTCAACTCATATTTTGGTATCCTATTCTTAAAATCGCCCGATGAATAAATTAATTCTACTTCATTAAATTTCCCTTCGCATTGCTCTTGAGCAGTATGTTCGCAACAAGTTGTCTGATATTCAACCCCCTCATTTGATGCATAATTAAATATTCTGCGATGAGAAAAAAATATGGAACGGGTTGTTAACGAAATAAGTGACCATGAAATTCAGTGCTATATAAAGGGATGTTCAACCATCGACTCGGCCACAGTTCTCAACAAACGGTCTCTTAGATTATTCGAATTTCTTGTTGAATTCCATTCACAATCAAATAATGATTTCTTCGTATAAGTTATTAATTTTTATCATATCTTGCATTTGTGTTTTAAATGGAGCATTATGCTTCATGTGAGTTGTGAATTTTTCATCGTTTTTTTTACTCTTTTGAAGAAATAAATTTAAATTTCCGAACAAAATGCAAAATTAGATATATTACGCTTGGAAAAGTTTTGTTCACTTTTGAGAATTTTTTTGAGCAATTCCGTGAAATTGAAATTTTAATAACATAATAATTTGTCATTTTTCTGCATTTTCACTCAAAAGACTAAATTATGGATGCAGTCAAACTGCAGAGACACATATTTACTCAAAATTATAGTTTTACTGCACTGTTACTAAATTTGAAAAAAAAGGTGTAATATCTCTGCAGTGTGTCTCTATGCATAATTTGAGATTTTGAAGTGAAACGGCATAAAAATTTAAAATTATGGCTTTGAAATTTCAATATTACGGAATTGCCCAAAAATTTCACAAAAGTGAACAAAATTTCACTAGCTTATAAATGAAAATAAAAATAAGATAAAATTGGATATGAGAGCCTGAAACCCAAAACAAGTTATAAAAATTCTTTTCGGAATGTATTTTAAATGAAAAAGGCGATAGAAAAAAACTGAGAATTAAAACAGAATATAAATTCAGTTAGCGACAAAACAAACAAGCGATATGTTATATTTTGACTCTCAGTTTTTATTCGTCTCATGTTTTGACGAAAGCAAATATAAATATATTTATCGGTTCCAAATAAAAAGATATACATTTTCAGTGCTAAAATGAAGCGAATAAAAACTGAGAGTTAAAATCAAGCGTTCAGAAAGACATACATTTATGCGAGCAATTGAATGATGCTTGCATCATTTGATGCGCATCGCTAGTGCTTTCGTTGTGCGTTCGGAGCACTTCGTGCGCTGCCGAAGATCCGAATGTATGGCAACAGCACAATCGATGCGCATCAAATGATGCAAGCATCATTCAATCGCTCGCATAAATGTATGTCTTTCTGAACGCTTGGTTAAAATACAATATACAGAATTGAGAGTAAAAACAGCAAATCGATATATGCTACTTTTGCACTCAGTATTCTATGTGACGGCCTTAGAAGAAAACTATAACATACAGAACATGCTGCAAATAATACTAATACAATTTTATGCGAGCAAAAACCAAATATATAAAGATACAGCGCAAAAGGCAAAAGTAAAACCAGCCTACTTACATAAGAAACACATGTAAGTAGGCTGGTTTTGCATCTGCCTTTTGCGCTGTCTCTTTATATATTTGGTTTTTGCTCACATAAAATTTGTATTAGTATTATTTGCAGCATGTTCTGTATGTTATTGTTTTCTTCTAAGGCCGTCATGTGTTGTTTTAACTCTCAACTCTCTATATTCTCGTTTTGTGCTCAATAATTTCTTATGCTCTTTTTCCGAAAAGAATTTTTATAATTTGTTTTGGGTTTCAGGCTCTCATATGACGGTTATATTTAAAAAATGTTCTTCATTGAAAACTAAATTTTCGCTGGCTATTGATAATGATTTACATTTATTAATGAATATAAATGAAAACGGTGTTTTTTTTTTCAGTCCTCCATGGTTACTTAAGGAATGTTCACATTTACCTGAGCCTGAAAATCCGGAGATCGAGTGTAAATATGGCTACGAAAAGAATGCCTGTGATAAATATTATTGCCTGAAAGGCCCCAATGAATCATGCACAGAAGAGGCTCGTATTAAAGAGCATTGTGGTGCCCATTTACGTTGTGTATGTGGTATTTGTGATGGATGTCGCGATGGAAAGTGTGGAAAACCAATGTGCCCAAGAAAATCGGCGGGAAAACGAGTGTCATCAAAACCCGTATGGTTTCCAGATATTTATCAACCACAGCAACAAGACGAAAATCGCCGATTACCACAACGACAACAGTCGATGCCACCGAGTTTTTACAATTTCAAGAATTCCGTTGACCGTCTTCAATACTATCCATTTAATAATAATTATGAATACTTAAACAATGATGATTAGAAAAATGCAAACAAAAAGAAAAATCTGTGTTGAAAAAGTGATGTCATTACTTACGTACATTTTCTATCTCAAATAAATATATTTAATAGCCAAATAATTAATCAAATTAAAAATAAACAGACCAAAAATCATTTAGATAAAAAAAAAGAAGTTCATAGATTCAACAAGAGAGTGATTTACCTTTGTTTACCAATTGCTTTAATACTCTATCAAATACAGTTTTTCATGTTGTGTTTCAAGTCAAGCGAATCATATGATTCAGAAAAAGAAGTGCGTTTTATTTTTCGGTTCATCAATGAAAAATTTCCATTTATTCATTTTTTCATTTCTCAAAAGAAAAATAGCAAACTTTTTCTTTTTTTTTTCTTTTTCGCTTGGTTTATTCGCTCACATTCAATAATATTTGCATTAGAAAAACAATCTTCTTTGGAGCGCAAATTGTACAATTTCTGTTTTTCAACAACGTTATAAATCGTACATGGGTTTATAAAAATCAAAATAAAAACAATATTGCAATCAATCACATTGATAGCACCTAAAGAAAGAAATATCACAGAGTCGAAAATGTAGCAAGTCGAGGAAAAGTTGTGTTGTTTCGTAAAGCAGACATAAAACTTCGTACATTCCATCAATTTCATGCTTCAACAATTAACTCTCAACATTTTACATAAAGTATTTTGTTTCAGATGTTTGAGTTCGAGAGATTTTTGGTTTTTTCTCATTTTGTATGTATTTCTTTTGCAATTCTGTCGTTTTTGCAAAGTATTTCCAAATATATTTATATAAATATATATATATCAGTGTATGCAGCAAAACATGAACAATAAATGAAAGTATATTTTCTCAACATTTAAGAGAAACAAAAAAACACCCCCCATTGACGACATTTAAATTATGTAGAGATTGGCTTTTTAAAGCTGATTTCGTTTGGATTATGTGCATTGAAATTGATGTTTGGGTTGATTACGATTCGTCAAATTGAGAATCTTTTAAGTTTTCGCTGAAAAATCCATATAAAATGGCCAGAAAAAAAAATGAAATATCGCTGATCCAGTCCGGATCCAAATGCTCCGCTGACGTTGAGAATGGTAGTCACAAGGCTCCGTTGACGTTGCCTAGTGCACAAGGCACCGTTGCCGATGAGCCAGAACGCCGATCACACAAGGCACCGTTGACGCTGTTTACCATGGAGTTCCATCCCTGAAAGCTCCGCTGTCGATGTTTACAATATCCAAACGCACCGTTGACGCTGTTCACATAATCCCATGCACCGTAGACGCTGTTTTCCATTCCATAAGGCTCCGATGTCGATGTTTGCTATATCCCAAGCACCGTCGTCGCTGTTTTCAATAACCACCACTAATTTCTAGATTTTTATATCAAAAATGTGTAGATGATGATTCCACCGTTGATCAATGTGCAAAGTACAGGAAACAGATAAGATATTCGTTGCATTGGAGCGAATGTATTTTGAATAATGTTTGTGTTATAAATAAAAGCGTAAATTTTCCCCAGTGTGAAATGGATTGTGTCGAACATTTGTTGCGATCGTTGATTGAAGATTTTGACTTATGATGTAACATTTTAAGTGTATAAGTACAGTGGTGAGCAGTTGATTGATGTCATGATATTTGTGTTGTGAATATTTATATTCTTGACTTTGCTAATAGTTAGGATTTCGTTGTTTTAAAAACGAAACATTCGCTCCATTTCAAGAAATTGTTTGCATCGAATTTTCGTCAATTTTTTTGATCAACTTGTTTATGATCTGGATGAGTAGCCCCTCAAAATAGAAAACCGCAAGCATTCGATTGGTGATTGTATTACACGAAAAGGAAGAACAGATGATTTTTTGATGATATCGAGAATAGAAAAAGGCCCCAAGGAAGTAAACACTACGCCGCACAATAGAAATGATGTGTGGGTGGAATGATGTCTAGTGCGAGTTTCAAATAATTCAGCCACGCGGATCAGTAAAATCAACCCCAAAGATTCTGCATCGTGGCAGCATACACACATAATACACATGAAGACAAGACTATATCAGTTGGAAGAGTTTGCTCATTTGAACTGCATTCGGAGAATGTGTTATTGTTTGTTGCTTTCGTAATTCCAATCAAATTAAAATCTGAAATGAGTCTAAAAGATGGTTTCGTATGCACGGAATTCGAAAAGTTTCGTTTTACCATCCCAATATACACAGAACAATTAATACAGTCGAAGACGTCAGCAATCATGGATTGCATTGTTGATGACATAAATGAGTGCCAGTTGTTGAGTAAAAAAAAAACCCCAAAAGTTGCCTGTGTTCGATATGGCCAATACGTATTCCGTCTAAATAAGTTTCATTTCATTTATGTGGCTGCATTATCTCTATTAGATTTAGACAAAAATATAGAAAGGGCGTTCGATTGAACGTTAAATTAGCAATACCCGAGTAACGGGTTATTGTTTTGCATGATGCCAGCTAAATACTACAATATGCGACTAATTGAAAATGAATATTGTTTTGTTTTGTTTTGATAACCGGTTAATTGTTGATGGTAGACAAATCTGCGATGATTCTGTGTCTGTTTGAACACTTCGGATGTGCAGAGAATATGAATTTAAATATCGAAACGATCTAGGCGCTGTGTACAGAATCACTCTTCATTCAACCATTTGTTTCGGTTTCAGCATATGTTAAATGTACAGATGCTCTCTCGGTGGCAAGATGATTCTCTCTATCTATATGCGGCTATATCATTTTATATTCTCACACTAATTAAAAAGAAATTCTGCTCAGAAAAGAAACCGTTAGTGATTTATCGGCAGCGCCGAAGCGAAGCCAGTTGATTTAACAACAAATGGTATAACAAAATGAAAATATTATGTGTTTTAAATTCGGATTTGCACATCAAATACCTGAGTATTCATGAATTGGATCGGTAACGTCCAAATTTTACCATGAAACTCGTTCAACACACTGGCGCCGACACGCTCGACTTAGTCTGACTAGATGGTTTCACATTTTGTTTACTTTTCAAAATTTCAATTTCAAATTAACTTAATTGTTAACAATCATTACAATATTCGATATGTTATACATTTGGCATTTTGTACAGTACAGTATTGCATTGGAATTTTACAATTTCATTTTTTTTTTTCATTTGAATAAGCCTCCGTTGGGCATTGAGTAAAGGTTTTTTCTTTTTCTTTTTCTTTTTCTTTTTTAAATACAAAATTTCATAATTTAAGTATTTTTGCTTTAATTAGCGGGACACAAGACAACGAACATCCATTTTGGTTGACCATGCTTTTAGAGATTTCAACACAAGTTATGCCATGTAGATTTTTGTGAATAAGAGATCCTGTAACCGAAATACAATTTTTTACGACAAATGAATTGAAAGTGGTTTTTAGCTTACGCTTTTTGATACAAATTGATTTTTGTAAAAAGAAACAGATGGTTGACCGCCCGAATGAAATATCAAAGAATTGTAAATTGTATCGTAGAATCGCCTGCTATATGTGTAAATACATTTTCATGTTGATGAATCACACAATTTATGTGTCACGAACTAGAACAATAACATTCACTAATTTTTCATGTGCCAGAAAAAAAAAATAAATCAGAAGAGAAACTGTTCGATTAGTTTAAAGAGATTGCCCATGGCATGGGCATTAAATGTTTAAAGCTGAAAGTGATTCTAATAAGAGAAAAAAAAAAATACATGCACTTGAACACAAAATAGAAAACGATCACTTGCGCTAATGTGTTTCAGTCCGAAAACATAGCCACTATATTGCAGAGTATTAAGCGCACACACGCACAGAGTCTCAGTATTTTCGTAGCAGCCAATTGGATTTGAGAATGATTTTCATTATTTTTTCGCACCGAAGTTGTCTCGAACTTAAGTTATCCTATAGAGTAATTCCTAATGAATAGACGAAGACTTTTGTTTATGAATTTAAGTAATCCGTTGTCGTCGGTACAACACACGGATTCATTTTACAAATGTTCAACAAATTATAATGCTACTTATCGACTCAAACACACAGTTTTTCGATTATTATTATTTTTTATCTTTGGCCATTTACATGTGCTGACTCTGGGCACTGGTGCGTTGACCGATTCACTCATTGGCTGTACGTGCATCAATCGATTCGATTCCGCTGTCATTGTTTATCGTGTACAATAGAATAAATATTCTCTGCAAAAAACTATGAATGGAACACAATTTTCACCCCGGTTATGGTTGTGATGGGGTGTTATTTCAGAAAACGATTTTCATTTTTCATAAATTCAAACAATAAAACCTTATAGAAAATATACATAAAACTTGATCTCATCATGCCTTTGCACCGGGATTCACTTGTTGTGTTAAGTCTTGAAATGTTTATTACACACATCGTTGTAAAATGGATAATTGATTGCAGGAAAGACCAAAACCGATTTGGGAGCTATCCTGAGCCTGAGCAACAATTTATGTTCTCGCAAACAGCAATTCTCACACGTCTAGATGAAGAAGAAACAGCAATTGAATGAATAAATTGGAACAGCTATTCGATGCTGCTATAAATTGTGTTTTGTTCAATTTTGGAACGATTTATATATATAGATAGATAGGTAAGATGATTTTTGTATGCAGAATAACTGAGAACATCACTTATCCTTGAAGTGGACCCCAAACTCAATCTCTTTATACGGTATCAGACTAATTGTCAAGCTGCTTTCACGTGATATGGATGCGATGCATTGCAATGAAACGATTCACCCTCGATTCTGTTGCAGTCATCGACTTTAACGTGCTGTATGTAAGTGTGTGTGTGTGTGTATGTCATTTATCTAATAGCTGCTAAAGAATATAATAGACTCATTAGTGTGGGGGGAGGTCGCGTTTCAACGGAAACGGACTTTCGGGTAGAAAAGTGATTTAAAATTGATTGAATGGTATTTTTTTTCGCAACTTATCAGTACGTCGACGTTGAGAACGTCTCAGTTTCTTTGTTATAGTAGATTATACATTTCAGTTATGACTCAGTTCAGTTCACGTTCACGTTCTGGTCTATATGTGTGTGTTTTGTGATGATTAATTGGTGTCAGCACTATGTGATTCATGTGACCTAACAATATATCTGCGATGCCCGCGCTACTGCCACATTGTTTCTCTATTAAATGGTAACACATTCAAAGAAGAAGGAGAAACAAAAACAAGAAGAAAAAAGAAGAAGAATGGTAAAAGACGTCACGGCCGTCAGCAAACGATGTCATTGCGATTGAGATATCGTACAGTCGATGAATAGCTATAATTATTGTAACCAAAATCGTTTCCAGATCGTTCATACAAAGCGCCAGAAAATGTTTTCTGTGTTTCATTTTTCACACGCAAGCACGCACGTTCGCTTAATTTTGTCATGCTATTTTTCTTAGACATTCTTCTATAAAAGATAAAGTTTATGGGATTTATGATGTTCAAAATGTTCAAAGGTGACCTGTGTGTTATAGTCATGGGTGTATGTTTAAGAACCATGTCTGTTTGTGAGTAGACTGTTTTAGTGAGACCGTTTAATGAGAGGCCAATTTCGATAGCAAGTACACACGGATGAGCTTCCACGCTCCATGCGCATTAGCTGTGTATCTGGATGCAAACGAACGAGCCAGAAGTCGTCGACGCTCCAATCCATCTCCACAAGCTAACTGCTAAGCACTCTCTCTCTCTCTCTTCGTCTGATGGTAGACAGAATAGAAGAACACACAACGATTGGAAAAATCGAGAATCGAACCCACACGAAATTTCAGCTGCTTAATTCGCGAACACATCAACTTTTCCCTCATTTCAACTGCACACCATTTCTGAATGAGACCGAAACACGCTCAACTAAACTTGCCACATTTCATTTTCGAACCCATCGAAAATATGCATGATATTGATTGACCAAGAAGTAGTACTGAAAGATATACATAGGAAAAATGGTTAGTTTTGATTATGCTCCGCTGTAGAAAGAAATGAAAGATATAATGTATTTTATACATAAAAAACATTTGTTTTACATTTATTTTAATGCTAAATAGGTTTTTTGATAATTTTTTACAATTTGGTTGTAGGATTCAATATGAATCAATAGTTCAATGTCAAATTTTTTTCTTGCATAGAAAAAAAAATTAAGTCTCAGTTCAAATGTTAAATTATTAAAAAAAAATAATTGATAATTAAATTGTGAAAATTAAATTATTCAAATAAAAAACATTTCATCCTGTAGGTGAATAAATATGCATTAAATTAAAAGTGATCACTACAAACCAATTTAAATTTTTAGCTGGATATGAGACGAACCAAAGCGTTCATGCCCGGGACGTCAAATGAGTGCGTCACTTTTCACATACTGATTTCGTACTGTAAATGAAAAATCTAGCATAGTATATTTGCCATATCACAATTTAAACGAAAAGAAATTTAGAATTATACGGAAATTCTATAAGTTTGCAAAAACAAGACCCTAAATGTGAAATTAATTTCATCTTGTTCGAACAAAAGGCAAAAAATAGCTATTTTCTTTCTCTTCATTTCTTTGTTTAACTAATTGGCTAAATGAAATCTGCGTTTCTCTATCATTTCTTTGTGGATTTGTTTGATGTGAGGTTGTGGATAAAAGGAAGGATTTCTTTGTCCGACGACTGCTTTTGATTTTCTGTATATTTCCTATATGTGTGTGCGCGTATCACGTTATTGGTTTTTTCTTCTCCCTCTCCCTCTCTTTCTCTCTCTCCCTCTCTCTCTTTATCGCACTATCGATGTTTTAATTTGGCTCAAACTATTTATAAATTCATCTAATTCACTCAATTCACTATTCCACATTTCGCTAACTTCTCGCTTATGCTTTTCCTCTTCCTCGGCTGATTTTGGTTCACTTTGTTGACTAATTTCTAAATTTAGTTTGGCCCATTTCAATGCACGTTCCTGTTGTTTGATACGCATTTCTCGTTCAGCGCTTATTAAGGCCGTTGTCAAAATGGCCGCCACACGTAAATCTTGACTACGTCGCTTGCGACGCATTTCCATCTTCTTACATTTCACTTTTCCAATCCAGTCGAATAATGAAAAAGCACGGCCCTTTCGTACATCGTAATTTGAAATAATATGTGTTGAAACCATTTTTGTAAACTTTGTATTTTCAAAAAATTATGTGGTAACTAATTTGCGATCGAAAAAAAAATTTCAAAATGGCGACCGTCTACGTTTAACCTTGGGTTAATATGTATTGCGATATTAAATTTTCTTTGTGTGTGTGTGTGTGAAAAAAATGTCTTTTAAAATGTCTATTGTGGTGAAGGGATTTTTCTTTTACTAAATAAATAGATATTTACACCAAAAACACACCTGAATTTGTGAATTCGTTGGATTCAGTTTGTAACTTTTTAATTTTCTTTGTCTGAAACTGCTGTGGACGACAAAAGCTTTCACTTTGAGTACTGTTCAACGTTTTAGCACTTTTTACAACGATGATGTGCACTCAACGAATCACAAAAACTGAATGATTTCATCATGGCCGACCTACTCCTATTTATACCATACGATACATTCTAGAAGTTTACCTATGTGTGCGATAGAGTATAGCACTAATACATCGACATCGTGTGTGATTCATCATTGCATATGAAATACCAGATATTTTTATCATTGAAATTTACACTGAAGTCAACAACTCATTTTGATTTTTTACTAATGTTTTTTTGTTTGTCGAAGATTTGTTTGTCTCGTTTTTTAAATATATTTCCATAGATATCGATAGAAGGAGACTTTTTCTCTGGTTACTTCCATTGAATTTATTTTTTCTTTGTTCGTACTCATGTACTTTGTGCAAATGTAGTTGTATTTGTCGAGACATACGTACATATTTATTTTTCTTTACAGAAAAAAAGACTTTCAAATAGTCTTATATTGTTAATATCCATGAACTCGGTCAAATACCAGTCATTTGCACAATGAACCAATATGAATAATACAATATAATACATTTTGGTAGGAAAATGCAAAATGATGCTGTTGTTTATTTCGAAAATGTCTATAATAATTGCTATTATTGAATCGATCTTACATCATCATAAAATAGATCGAGATGTTTCCTGTATATGCAGCAGACAAACAACTTATGAAACCAAATAAATGCGAATTACCCTAAAATGGAAGGAGTAGTCCACGATTTATTTGAAATTAGATAACATTGTCATGTAGGAGGCGTTAAATTATAAAGTGAAACTTGTATATGTTGAATTATTTGTCTGCAAAACATGACCTTCATTTTAATTTTGAATCTGTTATTATACATTTTCATATTGGCCTCAGTTTTTCCTTGGCCAACTTTATACTGAAAACAATACTATGTCTTGGGCAACAAAGATTACAAACTCTGACTTTTTTAGAAAAAATTGTTCGATTTTCAATATGATATAACAAAATGCGACTCATTTTTTATATTTTCATCATAAACATCGACTTTTATCGTTCATACTTGTATATACTGTTTTATTTTTCATACGTGGTATAGCAAAAGTTGAATTATTTCAAAATATTTTGTAATCTTACGAGATGAGCAATACATTTTTTTTTAATAAACATCTGAAAGTTTCATTGTTCATGCGTGATTCACAGATGACGATAAATACATTTATATACATGCATTGGTGTTAGTGCGATAACATTTTTTTGTGTGAACGAAAAATTTTCTAGATTTTCTAGCACATTTAGTCACGTAGACATCTTTCAATTAGTTAAAAGCACTTTCAATGGCGACATCTATTGAGCGATCTGTAAACGAGTGCGATGTGTACAAATTAACGCACATTTGACTATGAGACGAATCAGTTACCATGACTGTAACAAAACTAAACATGTAATTAAGTAATTTTTACCATTATATTAGAATCGTTATCAGGAAATGATATTTCAACGCCCTTCAGCAATTTTCGGGCTCTAATCGATGTTGTTTTTAAAAGACATCTCCATGGGACTGTGGACCGGGGTAGTTCAACAAATAAAATTGTTTGAAAACTACGAAAGTCGAGATGTTACTTCTGCGATTATGCAATTTGATAATTGTTTTTCTTAATTTATTGTTTAGTTTATTAATGGAACTTCCAAAAAAAATCGGTAGCTGCCAATTTTTTTTATTATACAATTTTTTATTTTCTTTTTAAATCATTTATTTTCGACATCAAGTTACTATTGTAGATATATCAGTTCAGTTCGACATTTGAATTTATCCCATCGCTTTTTGCATAAAGAATTTCTGAAAATAAAATGAAATTTTGAATGAATTGTATTTTTTGCTAAATGGATACTAAATAAATCATTAAAAAAATTCTTTTGGTATGTATTTCATTGATTCTTCTATAGAAAAAAATGGCATTCAATCAAAACTCCCTTGCACACATTCCTGGACATATTTCGAAATATAATAATATGAACATTTGTCATTGGTGACAACTTTAGGATTGAATTATTCTCAGACATTATAAAGAGATACTTTCAGCCAGATGAATCAGCTCAGCCAGATATCGTCAGGAGCTGAAATGGAGTGAAAACAATAAAAGTGATTGTTATAGTGATTATAGCAATGTAAGTGTAATTATAACCATAACAATCACTTCTATTGTTTCCACTCAATTTCAGCTGCTGACGATATCTGGCTGAGCTGATTCATCTGGCTGAAAATATCTCATTATAATGTCTGATTATTCTTTCAACAATATTTTCTTTTGTCTTACAAAACAATCCATTGTTGTTAGCCACGAATAAAACATAGAAATTACAATTTACGAACCTTCAAAGGTGGCACCTGTTGAGTGATCTGTAATCCAATGCTGCGTGCCAATACAACCGGACTCAAATCTGTGCTGTATAACTGCTGCAAACCATGTACACCTAACATGATCGGTACATTTAATTTTAAGCGTTGTTGTTCATATTCGCACAAGTGGTTTAAATCATTTAGTGCAAATCCATTGTATGTTGCTTTGGCCAAAGTTTCGGTTAAACATTTAACATCACCAAAGCCTAGATTTAATCCCATACCGGCCAACGGATGTATGCGATGAGCTGCGTCTCTAAAATATTTTTTGCAAAAGCCAAAAAATCAATAAATTCGAAGTCTTCATATAATTCATTTTTGAATTAAAAAAAAAAATATTTACCCTATGAGAGCAACACCGCGACCAACATAGCTGCTGGCATGACCGAAGCCAAGTGGGAAACCAGCCCTAGATTTTCCATATAATCCAGTTATTTGTGGTGGTAATTGTCGTACAACCGATGAATTCGTATTCAGAATTGTTCGCACCGCACCCATTGCCATTTCAACGACCGAATTTTTCTCGTATTTTTGCAACTTTTGTCATAATAGAAATTTGATTGACCAAATTTATTAATTGAATGGAATTTATGTTTAAAAAAATACTTACGAATGCATTATTAACGGCATCAATAAAATCGGCTTCGTCCAACTGCATCAGATGTTTGAAGTGTTTGGCATAGGTGCTCCATACGATCGAACTAAGATTTTCCGAAAGTGGAAGAAGAGCAATAACACTATTTGGTAAAAAACGTTGCCATGCCACGAAGTTATCATCACATTCGCCCAATTCAACCGTTGCAATCAAACCCATTTGATTGTAGCTGAGTGCAAAGTGATTTGCATTCATTTGTTTTCGAACCATCGAATTAGCTCCATCAGCTCCAACCTTCGAAAAAAAATACAAGAAAATCAATTGAACACACATATGTCTCGCTCGTATGCAAGGTCAATAACGAGATTAATTTGCGGAAAAAAATGTGGCAGGCGTGCCAAGCATCACCAGTATGTGAAATGGTGATGATTGACACAGTCAATATGGCACGAAAATGATTCAAAGGAACTGAATGATTTCTGTGAAAACCACATTGACGATCAGAAATATCAATACGAGAGAGAGAGAGAGAGAGAGAGAGAGAGAGAGAGAGAGAGAGAGAGCAAAAGGGGAACCAATTCAAATTTTCACTGAACTTGCTTAAATTTCACGCAGATGACAGTATGCTATTTTCACACCAAAAAAATTGTTAAACGCTATAAAATTGAGCGTGGATAAACAACAGCTTCAATTCATTTTGAATAAAACAAACATTCCATACAAATGTGAAAATGAGAAGAAACAAAATTAAGCGATCATATGCAGCGCACTTAATTCCTTCGCCGTTTTCCACTTCACATTTGATCACTGGATTCGTGAATTCAAATTTATATTTCAAACGGACACAAAGTGTGAAACCCCAAGTACCATACACACAATTTTTGTTTAGATTGTTATTCAGCATTGTTTACATGGTAAGAGAGAAACAGTTTTTTCATAAAGAAAACAGCATTTGTGAGCGATTCACTTGATTTCAGAAATTACTTCATACATTTTAAATTTAATCATTTTCTATTTTCACGCAAATGGGACAGCTGGTCAGATTTCTGCAGAAACAAATTTATAATATGAACAACATTTTCTGCGCTAAACTGTTGCAAATTGAGTGCGAAAATTAATTTCTGCATTCTATCCGTTTGTGCTGTTGATGTTTTTTCTTCTTCTTCAGATAAGTAAGACTCGTGAATGGCGCAATTCACCTAAAGCCTGTAACTATTACCAGTTGTTTGTTTTAAATTCCAACCAATTTTCCGACCAACATAAACAATCACATATATCACTTCATTGACACCTCTCCTTCAAATATATAAATTTGCGGCTTGAAGCATTTCATTCATTTACAAATTAACTGATCATTGAAATTCGAGAAATTCAAACAGTTTACAGTATTCTTTTGGATAGATAGATATTCTTAAACGATAGTTGTGAATAGAGAAAAAATAACTGTATCATCAGTTTTTTGTTTAGTCTTCACTAAATTTCGTAGTTTTTTCGATTTGATAAAAACCACGCCAGTACTCAGAAAGATTCTATGTTGTTAGTGGAAAATCGGCGACAATTATAAATTCTACAGGATTATTTTTTTTCTATTTTTACTGATTGGTGCTGGTTCACGTTCGAGTATTTAGTGAATGATCGTTTTTTTTATTCATTTGGCTATTTTCGAATATTTAATGTTTATATTTCAATAAAAAAAAAAACGGACGGAACTGCTCAATATTGTTGATATTTAAGAAATTTAAAAGAAAAATCGACGATCATTAGTGAATTTGTGTTCTTTCCGTAGGCAGTGAATCAGACGTGTCGTCTTGTTTTATGAATTTGATAAAATGGATAGTGTTCGACTCTCTGTCATAGTAAGTGGCAAGTGATGTATTAATAATTTTTTGTTCAAAATCACCGATTAATTTCACTTTTTGGTGATTCTCTCATTAAAAAATTAGGAAAGTAGTATGTGTCACACCCACAATTGTGATATTTTGAATGACACAAAAGACGAAATATTGATGGTTGACAATGATAATGAATTGGATTGTGTTGACGATGAAGATGATGACAAACGAAGCATTTCAAGTGAGAGCACGTGCTGTGGCAATATAAAAACTGAAACATTAAAACATCTTAATAATGCTCAACAACAATCGTGTGACTTTGAAATATGGCGACTGTTTCAGGTGGATGATCATAATATGAAAGATATTCCAAATTCAGATGCCATTTTAAACATTCTAGCATCGACCGATTTGGATGGTAATGACACAAACAATTTCGAAATAAATGAAATTTTAAATCATATTTTTGTATTGTTGATTACAGGAGAAGATTTCGTAATTGCGCCAGATGATGTAAACAATGCATTGTTGGTGTCAATCTTGATGGGCAGACGTAATTTTGTACAACGATTTTTAAATGATTTCAATGCGGATGTGAATTGTATGGATAACAAAGGTCGCAGCGCGTTACATTTGGCCTGCTCGACTGGCAATGTGTGCATTGTAAAATTGTTGATAAATCGCGGTGCGTTAGTAAATCGATGGGATCATGCAATGAAAATAACGCCATTACATTGTGCATGTAATGCATGTAGTGTCGAATGTGTAAAATGTTTGATCAATAACAAAGCCCATGTGAATGCAGGCATTGAAAAACGATCCGCTTTACATATTGCTGTGGAAAAAAATTCAATAACATGCGTGGAATTTTTATTAAAAAATGGCGCCAATCCGAATACACCACAAGTTTATACAGAAACACCGTTGCATACAGCAGCCGCATTGGGAAATATTCAATGTATGAAATTACTGTTGGCCTATGGGGCTGATGTTCGTTCACAATTTGGTAAAAAACGAATGACCGCACTGCATTTGGCCGCACAAGACGATTACACGGATTGTGTGAAAATGCTTTTGGAGCATGGTGCCAATGTAAATGCCAAAAATGTTGATGGTAAAACACCATTGCACTTGGCATGTTTGTCACAATGTGCCGAAACGGTGGAAATTTTAATTGCGAATGGTGCCGATGTAAATGAAACATATTCCGATGGTCGCACGGCATTGCATGCTGCCATTGTCAAGGAGTCCAAATGCTTGGAATGCACACGGAATCTACTTCTTGCTGATGCAGATGTTAATCGAGCCGATAACTATGGATACACCCCTCTGCATATCGCCGCACTCAATGAATCGAGTGCGTGTGCCTTTTTACTCATCGGTAGGTAATTGGATGCTTTGATATCGTATACGATTTTTTTTTATGAATTAAAAGTTAAAAGCAATGAAAATGTCCGTTATTTTCAGAGCATGGAGCCGATATAACAGCTCGAACGGGTGGTGGCATTACCGCTCTGTCGTTTATTGTGCGACGTACACCTGAAGTAATACCAAAATTTTTGTCCAAATTTGATGCATCGATTAAAGTCAACGAACATGAAATTGGCGACGTTGATTGTGAAATCAAAATGGATTTTCGACTATTGGTGCCGAATCCAAAACATGGCGAAACCGATTTAATGTTGGCATTCATTGAAGTGGGCAAAAAGCGTATTTTAAAGCATCCATTGTGTGAAACGTTTCTGTTTTTGAAATGGCATCGAATCCGAAAATTCTTTTTATTCAGCTTACTGTATCATGCGCTGTTTGTTATGCTATTTTCCATTTTAATCATTGGAGTATATGAGAAGGAATGCCCTGGTAATCATGCTATATTCGGTTATTCAGCCGAACCAGAAACTGAAAAAGACTGTGAGGCACCGTACTATGTAAAACCAGTTGGATATATTGTAATTATAATGAACTTCTTATTACTTGCGAAAGAATTTTTTCAAATGGCACATGGTTTCATGTTATACGTTAAATATTGGGAAAATTGGGTACAAATGCTCATTATACTTGGTGTATTTGTGTGCGCGGTGAGACAAAATAATTTATCAAGATGAACATAATTTCAATTAAAATTGATTGATTTGTATTTTTCAGACTCCGGCCACTGTACGCGAGGATGATTTGAAAAAAGTACCAGATGGTCAATATCATGTGGCGGCCATTGTAATATTTCTGGTGTGGTTGGAATTGATGATGATTGTTGGCCGATTTCCAATATTTGGCTTATATGTGCAAATGTTTACCAAAGTCGCGGTCAATTTTGCAAAATTTCTACTCGCATATTGTTGCCTATTGATTGCATTTGGTTTGAGTTTTGGCGTCCTATTCAATTCGTATCCAGCATTTAAATCAATTTATTGGACCATGTTGAAGACTATAACAATGATGTCCGGCGAATTAGAATTTGAAGATATTTTTTACGCAAAAGACTATCCAATTCAATTTCCCGTCACATCGCATTTAATGTTTTTTGCTTTTGTTGTACTTGTAACAATTATTTTAACAAATCTCTTAGTCGGTTTAGCTGTTAGCGATATACAAGCGCTACAAGAGTCGGCCGGTTTGGATCGTCTAACGCGTCAAGTGGAATTGATCGCAAGATTGGAAAGTCTTTTCTTTTCGAAATTATTTCGTTCGGCACCGCCGAAAATAATCCGAATGTGTCAGCAAAGTGCACTCTTGCGAGCATCACGATATCATTTACAATTCAGTTTTCGTCCAAATGATCCAAGAGATCGACGTTTACCCAAAGAACTGGCATTTAATATTTATAAATTGGTGGCCGAACGTCGTGATCGAAATGTGAGCATAAAACGACGAAAGCGAGAACAAAATATCGCATATTTTGCCGATACACTTAATAAACAGTGTGGTGAACCATTTATACGAAATCATTGGGCAAAAGATCGCGTTCGTATGAAGAGTCAACGTCGACCGAACAGTGTGAATACCAATCAACCACAAACCATCGAATGTATATCATCCAATTTTATTGAGATTGATAAAAAAGTATGCGCCATCATAACGCAAATTAACGAATTAACTAATAAATTGGATAATATACAATCAATTTCAAGTAAGAAGATTGATGACATTTCCAAGGAGATTGGCATTTTGAAAGTCAATACTCAAACACATTATAAATAAATATTTGAAAAACAAAAACAAAATGTAAATAAATAAACACAATAAATCGATATTTACCAATAGTTCTGCGCTAAAGTCTTCACCGCTGGCCAATTGTACTTTGCCGTATGTTGAGCCATCTTGTTCCAAAATGACCTTATCAATTTTAGCATCATTTCTTATGGTAATGTTATTGTATGGTTGCAATTCCTTTAAAATTGAGTGAACGAGCACGTCATTCTCAACAACATAGGCAACATCACCGATGAAATTGTCGTGATTGAATGTGATCAAAGCATCAGAGCATGCATCCCAAACCTAAAGCACAACAGGTTTTCAATGACAATTTTTTTGGTGGTATCTAAACGTGAATTCACCTGCATTTGTTTGACGGGTCGAATTCGAATCGATTTGATGGTATCCCATGCGCCGATATATTTCATTAACTCAACTGTATTGTGATTTATAGAATAAACTCGATTGCTGTACACATTCTCGTTGTATCCCTTAAATGACGGCGATGCATCTAACAATAACACTTTTTTTTCGGATAATTTTGGATTTTTCGCTGCAAATAAATGAAATGAGATTAGAAACTTGAAAAAAGGGTATTCGTTTGACGTGACTTACCAATTGCACCGGCTAATGAAATACCAGTCGCTCCGCCGCCAACAATAATAATATCGAAGTGTCCATTTTTACCAAAATTCGAATGATTTTGTTCCGTAAATTGTGAACAATTTCGAACACCAGTCAAAACTGAAGGTTTACTCAGCGTCCGAATACAATATTTCAATGAACAAAACATTTTCACATATACTGAACCATGAAAAAATGTTTCTATCGGCTGTCAAAGCAATCAGCTGTTTTTCAAAATAAATTTTTAGCAACACCGCACTCTGGTGGCCATTAGTAGTAGCACGGACACACATTTAAATTCAATTTTTCTTCATTTAAAATGTGATGTTTTACCAAATATATTTTCTACTGAGGAAAAAAAAAAACAAATGGAAATTCGTTTGTGAACAATCTTTGATTGATACAAAACCAAATTTACTTTTTGGACACATTACGATGGTATGTGTCGATATAATGAAATGCAAATATTGGCAAACTCTTGAAGTATTGAGTTTCATTCAAACTAAATGAACCAAATATTTTTGTTATGAATAACGCAAACCGCATTTGTGCCGATTTTTCGTAAATATTCACTTGAATGGTGTCAGAATTGAGTGAGGGAGCAAAATTATAGGATAAACAAGTCTTCTATGGCTTCATTCAACGCATTCACCTAAACTGAAATAAGTTCTACTTCTCTATTTCAGCCCGTTGGTAGCAATGCGAGTGGAACAATTACAAAACTCGTAAAGAGATTAAAACACAACAAATTCGGTCATAATACAATATTATGTTTATTTAGAATGTTACTTATTTCTTTTTATGTTCGTTCTTTCTCATTCAATTCACTTTAGTTGGTGTGAGTGTCTCTTTCGTAGGACTTCTTCTTGGCCCGAAAGTGTAAACAGTTATTTCCATACTTTTGTTTTGCAGGCTGATAAGTTGCACAGGCGAATTAAGTAAACACACGAAAAAAAAGAAGAAATTCAAATATATCAAACGATAGAAATCTATGGCACGAGCCGATATTTATGATTCAGTTCGATTTGGCTTGTTAGTGTAAACAGTCACTTAAATAGTGTGTTTGTGGCAGATCAAATATTTTTTTCTGGCAAATTGTAAATTTTGTGACCGTCGCAGTTTCGTATTATTTTTTGACCATAAAAATGAGTGATGCACCAGGTGATGGCCCAACTGAACAGGCCGTGAACGCTGTCGAAGCTTATGAAGCCAATAAAGCATCCAAATGCATTCGTGTGCTAACTGTCTGTGCGTATTTGATTTGTGTATCATTGGCCGCAATCGTACTATCGACATATTATATATTCATATGGGAGCCAAAACGACAAGATCCATCAATAAACACATCCTCACATGGATCTGGCGGTCCGCATCGAAAGCATTAATTAATCATTGCATTCTCCTTCATATTTTATTATTTCTACACTTGATTTTAATCAAAAAGTGACGATTTTTGTAAGTACCTAATAAAATAATAAAAACATAGCCAATAATATTTGACCAACAAAATTTTAACAAATATAATGAGAGACATTTGGTCGTCCTTTTTGCAAATTCATTTTTTCCATGGATAAATCTGAAATAAAATACGATTGGGAGATCGTAATACGATATTTAGATTGATTGATTTCGATATCGAATTTTTGGAATAATATTTTTGACGTAAATGTTTTATAATAATTCACACTCGTACACGATAATTTATCGTCGATAAATGCTTGATTTTGAAGCTTATGCATGTGCAGTCAAATTTACAACGAATACGGTCAATTTAGAACAGAAAATTATAAAAATGATGACCGCATACCACTAATTAACTTAATAGCCGCATCTTCATTTGATTTAACCACATATTTTTTTGTGTGCTTGTACAAAAAAGTAAACGATTCGGTTGTATACTCAGATATATCGAAAGTAATAAGTTCAATAATATTAGTCGAAAACAAAAAAGTCAACGAAGTAAGTATACTTGCCAAATAGTGTATTAGTACATTACATTCACGTACGATTAAATGCTGTTCTTGACAATGCGTCGTCGTTCGACACATTCCCCTTTTTCGACACCACATCTATCCAGTCTACACATTTTCCACTTGCGGCAATCCAATCAAATGGCGAATAGCATACTATAACAATAATCCTTAGTTCTTTTTTTGCATAGAACATTTTCTCTTGCCTTTTGGTTGGCGTTGAAAGCGTGAAAACGGTGTATGCGTGCATTAGAATTTATTTAGTGAATTGCCTGTGTTTTGATTAGTGTGACATGATGGTATTTGAACATATCAAAAATTTACTCAAATTTTGAATTGTATAAAACAAATTTGCACCATTTTCTCTACCTTGAAAGATCTCGAACAAAATAAAAATCGATTTAAAAAATTGTTTCCTTTTTTTTGAAAAGCAGAAAATTCAATACGAGAGAAAAGGTTATTCAAATCGAAAAAGTATCGTGCCTTCCTTTGTTTTCACACATATTCAAGTGAGAAGTTTTTTTTCGTCACCTAAATATTGCTCGCGGCTATTTTAATGAAAAATCGATTTAATTTTCAAGAATTTACTCGTTTTTCTGATACCTTCTGCCGAATCCGTTTGTTTTGCCTGTGAATTGTGATATTTGCAGCATATTCAAATGAAAAGGAAAAGCTTTAACTGCATACTGACACCATTCCATATTTCAATCAATCGTTTTGTTCAGTAGAAAAAACGTCTTGCAGCACCTTGTTGTTTGAAGCATTGTGCTTTTTAGGTCATTGGAATTCACAACTGAAACTTATAAAACCTAATTTCGTTTTTATTGCAAATAAAAAAACGCTGTGAAAATTACTTTTGTCGTTCTACTTGAAATTCGATTTTTTTCGTTGTTTTGTTTTTTTTTTATCGAAAGATCTTCAACTATAAATGTGAAAGTAATTGGGCAGATTGACAGGAAGAACCTAACGCTGACGACGACCATATAGGGTCAACGAAAAAAAAAATAGATTCCATCGGACAACAAATCGATGGAAACATATCAAACAAAAAACCAAAAAAATTGCACAAAACCACTGAAAATGACAAGCATCGAAGAAACAATACAGTTGGCGCGACTACAACAAGCGGCTAATTCATCATCACTATACGAACGTAAACCAAATCAAAAAGCATTAAAAGTGCTTACGGTGGCCGCGTACATACTTTTTGTTTCGATGGCTGCAATCATCCTATCATTTTACTATGTCTTCATTTGGGATCCAACAACGAAAACAATGGCTCCACGTCCAACAACCAATTGCGGTAAATTAACTTAAGTTAGCGAAGTTATTGGCACTTATAACTTTTGAATTCTTTTGTTTTTACAGAAACTGCGAAAAAAATTGTCATTCCAGAGAGTATTGCCATTAAATTGGCAAACACATCCGAAGTATCAGCTGAATACTTTTTCCGTGATATCTATCGACGATATCAAATGTATCAAAAACAAGAGCGTCGTGATCGTCAAAAATTACCGAAACGAATGCGAGTGAAGAAGCCACCAAATACCGAATTGGTGTCAATTCGAGACCAAAAAATAATCGATTCAATTCGATCGACAATTCCAACAAATGAAATGAGTTCGATAGCAAGAAGTACAGCGAACCCATTGGATAGCACGCCATCATCGAATTCAAAGCATAGCATTATCGAAGAACAAAGTTATGCGGATGACGAAGATTTGGAGAACGGTTTAGAAGCCAGCGGTCTGAATCGAATAAGAAACGAGACGTCGAACGCTTACAATTTGGATGACATAAATGAAGCTGATAATTGATTTCCTCCACCATTCAGCACCGTATTGACAACGTTCCATGCACAAGACGATAAACTTTATTTCGCTAATATATGAATGAAAAAAAAAATAGTTTTAAACAAAGATAAACAAAAGGAATCACAGTGGAATTTTGTCGATTGTCAATTGTGGATTTTTGTTCTAAGTTTTAAGTGAAAATTGGTCCAAAATTGGTCCAATGATATGGTCTATTATTTATGAATTTCACTCAATGACTATACATATATATATATTTGTTTTTCAAAGAGAATTTCTATTTATTTATTATTTTTATTTTGCAAAAAATCAAATCATCTACTATATGTTTTACTGAATTCGTTGAAAATTGATTAATAAAAATGAAAGTTTAATAAAAATTTTACATTTATTTCAATAGATGAAATATATCTTAAAATTATTGGCGAGCTATGAAATGCGCAGCTATTGCTCCTAAAAATTGCAAATAATCTTGGAATTCAATTAGCAATAATGTTATAAATTTCATAAATAAAAACTTTTAACAAATTTAGCCAATTCTCATTATTCTCCAGTCATGAATACATGCGTTGTTTTACTTGATTGCGCGATTTCATTGGCTTGCACCGAACCGACAATTGCAGCCACTTGAAGCAGGTCATATTTTGTGTATAAAACGGTTACACTCATTGAATTTTCAATGCCATCTCGTGCATTTTGGTTAGCCTCTTGCATAAGATTTATCATTTCGGAATAGAAATGTGGCCATGTTGATGGCTGATACATGATTAAGTGACGAATTCCCTTGATACGTGTGCGCCGGAAAAAATGTGCACGTTCTGAATACAACATAAAATGTGCACCACTGTGGAAAAACATCGATCTGGCCCGATCAATTTTGGCATCCTACAGAAAAGTAAACAAAATATTAAAATATGGCAATTTTTTGAAAGAAAAAATCCCAACAAATGATTTGTACCTTTGTATATTCGCAAATTTGTGTAAAATTCATGGTTTCCTTCTTAAAGTAATTCCGAATGCGAACAAAATCAAAATAGCTTGGAATGAAAATCAAGCAATGAGCCTTTGAAGCAGCTTTAAATTGTGGCAATATGGTGTTGATAAAATATTCGAATCGTTGATCGAACGAAGACTGAATCGATGATACATCAATGCGATGAAAAATTTGTGGAATTGGAACTGCAACGTGTTTAATTGAACCGTTTTCGATGGGATTCATCAAACGCACCTTGCCACGATAATTTGAACAGCGTGTATTGAACAATGATCGAAATTCGGCCAGTTCATGTGATGAAAATAGTAACGTTTGACGATAGAAACGTGACCAGCCATTCAAACACCATGGTCGAACTCGTGAGAAGTCGGTATTGCGTGCCGATTGCGGTTGTAAATGCAGATGATCCAAAACATGCAACAAATGGTCCCAATTTTGTGCCAAAAATATGTCGGCTTGATCCAAAATTAACATTTCAATCGATGCCAAAAAGTCATAGTCTCGTTCTTTGTCGCCCGGTGCGCCAACAACCATTCGCAATCCAAGTGGTGACACAATCAAAATATCCGATGAATAAAAGTCCGAATAAAGTTTTATCGATTTTCGGGTGAATGTGACGCCCAATCGAAATGTGTCATCCGAATTTCCAGCAAATGTTTGTTCATAGTCTTCTGGTTTTGGATTTTTCTTTGGAAAATGTAACGTTTCACCGCCATATTCAGTGATGAAACGTTTATAGTGCATAACTTGTTTGCTGCCACTCTCTTTATCGGTATCAGGGTATAGAAGCGATATTAATATGTTTACAATGCGCAATGCTGCTTCACGAAATGGCACCACAATCAATACTTTTGTTCGAAATAGTCCCTGATCGCGATATTTATCCGGAATAATAGCGGCCGATTTGGAATCGGTCGACGCCAACATCTTCAATTTTAAATTGTGATTTAGAACTTTTGTTCGTGTTTTCATGATGTGATTTAGCGCATGTAGTGTGTAAATAAAACGAATCTCTTCGCCATTGGCATGACTTCGTTGCGAATAAAATAAATCTTGATAATTGTTCATTATGGAAAAAAGTTCACATTGAAGTTTTGTAAAGGATTTATCGTCACCATCGTTATTCACATTGCACTTATTTGCTGCCACCACATTCGGCCGCAATTGAACTTTAATCCCAGCCGCTTCCAAATCAAAATTCTGATCGTCGATTAGGGTTGGAATTGTTCCTTCAGTTGCGTAAATAGTGTCGTCATCTAGTAATGTTTTCTTCTTTTTCTTTGTCGGTTGATTGGAATCGGTGTCATGGGCCACAGTTGGTATTTCAATTTGAATTCGATTTAATGTTGGCCAATTTAAAATCTCTTTTTTCGAATGGTGCGTATCGTTCATGCATTCCAACAATTTCGGACTTAAATCGTAGCCCAAATGAAGGTCGAATTTGTCGGTATTTGAAATATCGGGCACTTTTTCATCATCGCTATCCACATCTTCTTCTTCTTCTCCAAGCTCAGATTCACTCTCTTCGCCATCGTCTGAATCGTTTCCATCTTCGATCGAATCATCGAAATGGCCTTTACTTTTAAATTCTTCTGGTCGAAGTATACTTTGGCTGGTATCGTGTGGCATTTCGTCGTCATCATTCGATGCATCGCTATCATCATTTCCATCGGATGCACTATTTTCTTCTTCCGATGATCGATATTTTCGTCCGCGTGGCTGCGACTGTTCTTCGAACTTAAAAATATCATCGTTCGTTTCATTTAAATTGGTTTCATGTTCCGATTCCTCTTCGTCCACTGATTCTTCACTTTCAATGAGATTATCGGCATTGGTTTTATAGCCACCAGCAGCTTGAAATGTCGACATTAATTGTTCGAGCGACGTACCTTCTTCATTGCTATCCTCATCCGAATCACTCTCTTTGCCATCGGCATTCAATAATGGATTACTTGATGCATGTTTCTCACGAAAATCCTTTTCCAATTGCTGCTGTCTTCGTAAAGCTTCTTCACTCTCCTGATTTCGGCGAATGAATTTGTATTTTTTCGTCTCTTTGCTCGCAAATTCGGTTGATTTTTTTCCACTTTTCACTTTATTTCCACCAAATTTTTTCCCTTTATTCGTATAGCTTTTGCCATATTTGGCACGAAATTTTTGACGAGGCATTTTATTTTTTCCACAAAATCGTTCGTTCTTCCCCGCAAACCGGCGACCACAATAAATAACAATATCAACAAATATTCAATCATACAACGTGCGATACACCTTGCGATACGTTTTCTACGCATATATTGTACTGTCAAAGTGCTTCTCCCTATCGGTATCATCGGTAGAATGTCTGTATGTCTATTGACAGTTTAACATTGAACATTGGTTATGTTTGATATTCAATTGTTTTTAATGTATAATATAGAAGTTTGATCATTCAATGTTCAGTTCTTTCAACAAGAAAGTCAACGAAGAGAATGTCGTTTTTTCGAATTTATTGGCTTCGACGACTGATTCGAAGATATAGCACTCCCATCCCATACCGGAAAGCTATTAACTATAGAGAAAAATTGAGTGTTATTTATGCATTTTGCAGCATGAATATGCTTTGTTATATGGGTAAGTGGGAGAAAAAGTTTTGGAAACCGATTTGGAAAACCGACAATAATAAACATACATTTGATTTGAACATAGTTTATCAGTACTCGAAGGGAAAATTGTCAAAGGAAGAATATGGTATTGAACCCACAATAATGGATCAGTTACCCTCATCTACACAATTTGCCATAAACCTTGGAGTTGAAAAAGCTAAAATTTATCGAAAAGGCAAAATCGAGAATTTTAATATAGAAGATTATGCATATGTTAAAGAAGAAATGGCTAAGAAAAATATAAAAGATGATGCCGATGATGAGGACAATGTAGCTTAATTACGTTATCTGTGCTTATAAATATTATTCAATAAATGTAAATGAAATTAGTTCGATTAGAAGATTAAAAAATGCTTTGGTTTCATTGCGGATTATGAATAAATAAATTTAGATATGACAAATATGGACATTCTCTTCTGTTTGTCTACTCATCACGGAAATTAATTGAAAATAAAGAATTGGTTGAACAATTAAATTAAAAACGAATTCAAATAAAAGTGGTTTTTGCATTGATGATTTTAAAGTTTTTTTCTTTAAATATATATATATATTTTGATTGAATAAGCATGTAATGTACTTAATTAACAAGAATATTGCTACTATCACAAATGACATTTTTAACTATTTAAAATTGAGCCGAAGACATTTTTAAAATGTTAAACAAATGTTTTGCAAAGCTTAGAAATTGATGTTTTCGTCTTCACTGTTCCTCGTTTTTGATTGTTTCGCCCAAAATATTGAGCTGTATAGCATCAATTCAATAAAAAATTTCTCTTCTTCTTAAAAACAAAATACTCAAATCAAGGTTTGGAATCGTGTGTATTGTATTTGTGTGTACTTTAAATCTATGATTTCCGTTCCGGATGTTGATGATTATTGTCCAGCTCTTGAATTTGTGCTCGTTCACTATCTTGTTGCATTTTTTGTTCTTCCTGTAGTCGTCGTCTTATTTCGTTGTTCAATAATTGCCTGCCGAATCGAATGCATCATCGATAAACATTAAACTGAATGAAATAATTGAATTGAATGAAATATTACCGATATGCTTCATAACGTGATATAAGCATCTCCATTTCTTGTTTAAACATGCGAAACATCATGCTGTCAAAGCACTCCAACTCGGATAACTTGAACATATCCCATTTCAATTTGTGATCGGTAGCTGGATCGGCTATGAACATATAACGAATACGAAAACAATCGTTAATTCGGTAATTCTTTAACTTTGATTATTTTTCATTTGATTTACCGTCAACGTAAATAAGAAGCCATGCTGGAATTTCTTCCAGCAAATAAGGATTGGCCGGCACTAAGGCACTGTGCGGTGTAAATTGTGTGTGAGTTGGCCCCGGTATAATACGATCTGGCTTTGCACGATCGCTTGTTGTATACAAATAGCATGAGGTATAGCATGGATGATTGTATTGTGCTTGTCGTGTGATGTGACTAAAATGTAATTAATAATAAGAATATTTATGAACAAAATGAAAAAAAAAAAAACCATCGAATAAAATAAACATACTTAACGTAGTAGATTCCATATTGTGGTGAATCGATGCATTGCCAACCAACCGGTAAACCTTCTCGTTCTAGGGGATGAGACCAATGTGTTGTTTTTGCATTGTGATCGATATAATATTTGCGACCGCGTAATGTGTAATCAACGGACCAACCGGGCGGTAATGGTAATTCTTCGTCTTGTATTTGGGCCGATGAGCTTGGATGCTGTATTGATTGTGATGTATTTGTTGATTTCTAATGCCAAATCACATTGAATTAAGATTATTTTCCACTGTATTCCACACATACAACAAAAATAAATGCTATATCTTACCCAATTGGCCATATCGTAGGCTGACGATCGAACATTTGAGTATAATGGCATATCGTTTGCCATAATATTTGAGTAAATGTTATTTTGTTGATGTTGAATCAATTCTGACGAGTTAGTGCTGTGCGGATAATTTGAGCTAATTGAAGATTGATTGCGCAATGGTTGATGTGAGCCATGATGTGAGCTTCCCGGTTCGGATGGATACAATGACATCAAACTTGAATTTGTGTTGCTGTAAATTGGTGACTCTGATCGTGCGATTTGCTGTTGATTTTCATAAATTGGCGAATTGTCGAGCAAGTAATTGGTCGTCTTTGGTAATGAGCTTGATGATAATGGTGTGACCACATGTCTTGCCTGGAGATCTTTACGTGCTGTTGAGTACTGCTTTGTAAATGGTGAAGAATCGGCTAAATTATTTCCCGAATATGTTTGCATCAAACCAAAATGATTTTCGAATGTGTGCTGATGATTTTGGTTCATTGAATAGTTTCGTTGAAATTTTGATAGGTCATATTGTGAGAATGGTGAATCTGGTTGTCGCATTTGATCGATTTGATCGATATCTACATAATTTCCATGGCTATTATTTAAATTAAGATTTAAATTCATGTGATTCGATGTATTCAATAAAACACCGCTTGCTGATTGTGATGATATCTTTCGACTTGGCGTATTTTCCATATCACTTGATGGGCTAAAGTGTAACGATGACCCAATATTTCGGTTCATCTCAGTCGATGTGTTAACAAATCTACAGTTAGTTTTATGTTTGTCATGTCAAGCAGAAAGAAGAAGAAGAAGAAAAAGGAAAAAGTCGTGTGTCAGTGGCATTCATTGAGAATTGCATAGGCGTACTCACTTTGGTGTGTATTTTCCTTCATGGCCCAAACTAGACTTTTTAACATTAATTTTTCCATTGTTACCGAATTTCTGGCTGGTCGCTTGAATAATATTATCATCGGTATTTATGTTTGTATCTTTGTCACCGCCAATTTGTTGACTATTCCGACGATTTTTCGACTTATTTTTATTTGCATCGATCGTCCATACATTTATAACTGCATTTATACAAAGCAAAAATGTTGGAAAAATAAATAAAACACAAATAATTGCATTAATTCTCACTCGGTATTTCTGGTGGTGTTTCCTTTTTGACATATTTGCCCACAACGCCTTCTTTTATGGTTTTGTCTTTGCTTTTTCGCGATAACATTTCTCTCTCGCTCACTGGCTTTCACATGCACACAAATCAATTTGTCCAATCTGGCTTGTGATGTCGCTTGATTATATCATTCTTCAATGTACACATTTAACAAATTGACTCTTCTACCACCAAGGTTTGGCAAGTGTATTACATTGATCGATGATTTGATCGTTTTGACAAATGAAAAGCAAAACAATACAAACCGAATGTACAATAAATAAAACAAAATTATAAACAGAAACGACTTTCCAGCTGCTATGAATGTCATATATGATTAAAAAAAATGAAAAAAATCAGCGAATTTGATGTGAATTTAAGCACCATTATGACGTTAAAATATGACATTCAAATGTTTAGATTGAATGTCGATGCATGAAAGGGAAAAGACTCAACTCGAATATGAATGGATGCGTTCAATGGACAAATCGCATATTGCGCTCTTGTTTCATTAATTGAAATTCAATTAGAATTTTTATGATTTTTTTTTTGCCAATCCAGATGAAAATTACCACTTTATTGATCTTATTGTCCATTTTCAGGAAAAGAAAGAAACAAAAATAGCGCGCAATTTTAATAATGTTAAACATAATAATAAATGTTGAAAATTTTCGATTAAATCAATTTGAACTTTTTTGACATTTTTATTTTTCAAAACTAATGATTCCATTATTTTTCCACATTCAAACTCAAGATTATTTAAACAGAACCAAAACAATTGATGTTGGAGAAAATTGGCAGAGTTTGAAGTAGTAACAACAAAGGAAACACGAATCGGTTTTAAACGGTCGCAATTCTGTTGAAATAAGCGAGAAAGAGAAAAGGCCTTTTGTTTGACACGTATTGACAGTGCCAGCCACACTTCACAAATAAACACACATTTCTATCACTCGATTAGAAGTTTGTGTCGGGCCAATCGGAAAATTTAGATATAGATTTCCAATTTACATTTTAAGTAAAAGTAATTTCACTAGAGAAAAATAAAATGGTTTTGCTTAGCAACAAAGGCGTGAGTATATATTTGTTATTTGTCTGATATTGTGTTGGTGAAGGGAAACAGTTAAAATTGAACATAGCATTCGATGATTTGGTATACTAAACTGTTTTTAACTAAAGTTTCTAGCTCAATTAGTCCTGTTGATCCACAATGCAAATAGTAAATCGGTACCGTTCACATTGACATTCAAACGATGTAAGTATTTCCTCGATTACTTTGTATATTTGAATCGATTTCAAAGTTCTGTTGCGGCATTCCAACTTATTTTGGATGTATATTGTTGTTGTTCTTAATAGATGATGGTAACGATCGACCAAAACCACGCGAAGGCCGACCTCCATTACCACTTCCAGACGAATACAAATGCTTGATCCGCGCAAAATCATCATCAAAAAAACTATCAACAGTCGTATCACAAGATGATGTGCCCAAAATAATGGAAGAATATAGTAAAATCTTGAAAAATGGCATGGACAATCTGAAAAAAGTGAAACGGAATAGAAACAAAACGAAAGCAGCTCAAGGCTTATAAGATATATGCATAAATATCTAACGCAACTAACACGCTCTTTATCACAAAACAACATTTTTCTCTTCTGTTAGGGATGTGAAAATTTATTTTCATTTTTAAGTTAAACACACATAAACAATCAAGAATGTGAAACCAACAACCGAACACATAATTAGAATCGATTTACTCTCTTTTTTTAGCTCGATTTTCATTTAATTTACCGAATTCCATAAACTTGTTTAAAATACGAATAAATTCTTGTATAAATAAAATATATACAATCAATTTATATACATTTTATGAATTCAAAATCGCATTGTTTTTGCATTTCATTTTTGAAAATTGGGCGCACTTCAATTTGCATTAGTGTATTATCAATTTTAGCGAATCAGAGCTATTATATGCACCACGGTAATAGTAAGTGTATTATATTCACTTGCGGCACTTTCTCGCTCTTGAACGAATCGATTTAAACTTTAACGGATTGGTTAAATAATATATTATCGCAAAAAAATACATTTACTTTCCAGCATTCGATTATTTGTCAACAATATTGCACATTTGTACACTGACATTTGTCAATTGGTGTGTTTTATTTGCATTAACTTGTAAAATATAAATAATAAATAGTTTAGAAGACGGAATCCAACACATAAATGAATTCCAATTGAAAGCCAATTATTTGCAGCTGTTCAAGAAAAGGATTGGATAAATAATATTGTATTTGACAGTGTTATCAAGTATTTTTGCTTAATTACACGCATTGCATGTGTTCATTTTCAATTATTCTTTTTTTATCTTTACATAGTAATACATTTATTTTCATCACAAAGCAATAGCAGCGCACATAAAATCTATAGTATCATTAAATCGACATCGATGTTCATGAAAAATATATATTGATGTTTGGTTGTTTCAATAAGATGTTCACCGGTAGGTCGGTATTTATTTAAAAAAAATTAATTTAGGATCGTAAGGCTTGCAAACGTGTTTGCATCTCAGTAAGATCTTCTTCGTCATCTTCTTCTTCCTCTTCCGGTTCTGCCACTCTACTCGTGCTAGGCTCATCTCTACTTTTACTCGGTTCGGCTGGTGTTGTTGGCGGTGGCTCCAATACGCCAAGTTTGCCCTCAGTTATCTCATATAGAACCTGTAAATTCAAAAAGAAAGAAGAAATCTACGATGTATAAAACATATCTTTTAGCATCTAGAAAAAAAGCATACCTTATCGACTTCTGATTGAACTTCTTCTTCCAATTCTTCAGTGTCTTCAATTGATTCCATGGTTTCATCGAGCATCTCTTCAATGATGCCAGCTTTCATCATTTCTTTTGACATTTCTTGCATGACTCCGGCTATTTCGGTAACACGAATCAAATTTTGCATTGCTGACATCACTTCGGTCGATTTCGATAGAGCGCCAGCCACACGAAGAGTTGCCAATTGATTTTTCATTTGTAATTGCACCGAATTTAAATGGGCTTTTGTCGTATAAATTCGATTCGTTGCTTTGCGCGATCGAACAATTTCTCTTGCCAAAATGGTACAAGTGTCTTTGTCACCTTTAGCAGCCGCCTGCTTTAATGTTCGCTTCACTTTATCCTCTTCATTTTTTATTGCACGCACTTGACGATCCAATTGATTTCCTTCTTTACGAATTTTATGACACCATTCATTAACCTACGAAAAACATTTTTTTTAAATTGAAGATTCAACGATGATCAAGAAATCCTTGAAAATCCGAAATATATACATGGTTTTATTGAATCGATTTGCATTGTTGAACACAAATTCATGGCCATTCAGTTGGTCATGCAATTTGATCGTTTCAATCAATCAAATTTATAGGTAGTTTTAATAAATTAAAAGAGAATTTTCTCTTTATTTTGGTTTTAAATATAATTAAATTGTGCTTACTTGTTCTTTGGGATCGCGTTGATGTGATTTTCCGAACAGACCCATTGTATTCCAATAGAAAATATTGTGTTTTTTTTTGTATAAAAATAGGAGGTGAAATTGAAATTAAGAGAAATGTTTGTTATTTTTTAATATTTAAAAGTGTTGTGTTTTGCCTCGCACAAAATTAAGCAAACAAATAAATTCTGAGCAATGACGCATCGTTCGCTATATATGTACAAAATATAGAACTTTGTACACAAATATGAAATATGTATGTATAAACGCTGAATTATGTCATCGGATCCCTATCGGAAAACCAAATGAAATGTGTGTTTTTGAAACGAAGATGTTATTCGACGCACAATATTGATATTATTGTTTTATCTGTCGATATAATTTTGTGATTGTTCTAATTTCAACACACTTAAAAACGACGCAAAAACTTAGATATTTATATTCAATACAATTTGTCTGATGCAATTTATCGTCTAATCTGTGACGAACAAAAATTTCATGTTATCAAACTGTCAAAAATCATATGGCGGTTGTTTCTCTCTCACTCTCTCTCTCTTTCATCTTATAAATCCAGAAATTACATGACATTTCAAATACAAATATTGCAATACAAAATCTTACAGGTCGCTAGAGCGTTTCACATTTCGTTTAATGAAAGAAAGAAAACGAATTTTATCGTATTCCCGTGTTATTTTCAATTGATTTCTCATGTCAATTTGTTGTCGAATTGAAGTAAAGACTGCATAACCAAAACGATAGTGAAAATGAGTGGATGAAGAAAAAAGTATTTAGCATATAGTTTTTGTTGTGGTTCATCATTAAAAACACTTAAAACTGATAAGTGACTGTTTTGTTTTATCAACAACGACCAAATACGCAAGTGATTGCATTCGGCGGTGAATTCATTTGCATCAATTGAATATTCTATCATGCCAGATATAAAAGTGACGCCACTTGGAGCCGGCCAAGATGTCGGACGCAGTTGTTTGCTATTGTCAATGGGTGGTAAAAATATAATGTTGGATTGTGGTATGCACATGGGCTATAATGATGAACGACGTTTTCCTGATTTTTCATACATTGTGCCAGAAGGTCCGATCACCGGCAGTATTGATTGTGTCATTATTTCACATTTTCACTTGGATCATTGTGGTGCATTGCCGTACATGTCAGAAATGGTTGGTTATACTGGACCAATTTATATGACACATCCAACAAAAGCAATTGCACCCATTTTGCTTGAGGATATGCGTAAAATAGCGGTCGAACGTAAAGGTGAATCAAACTTTTTTACCACACAAATGATCAAAGATTGCATGAAAAAGGTGATCGCTGTCACACTGCATCAGAGTGTAATGGTTGACAATGATATCGAGATAAAAGCATATTATGCCGGTCATGTGTTGGGTGCGGCCATGTTTTGGATTCGAGTTGGTACACAATCTGTTGTCTATACAGGTGATTACAATATGACACCCGATCGTCATTTGGGAGCTGCATGGATTGACAAATGTAAACCAGATCTATTGATTACCGAGAGCACATATGCAACAACAATTCGTGATTCGAAACGTTGTCGAGAACGTGATTTCTTGAAAAAAGTGCACGAATGTGTGGCCAAAGGTGGTAAAGTATTGATTCCGGTATTTGCATTGGGTCGAGCTCAAGAATTGTGTATTTTATTGGAAACATACTGGGATCGCATGAATTTAAAGTATCCGATTTATTTTGCTGTTGGACTCACGGAAAAGGCAAACAACTATTACAAAATGTTTATCACATGGACAAATCAAAAGATTCGCAAAACATTTGTGCAACGCAATATGTTTGATTTCAAACACATTAAACCATTCGACAAAGGTTATATTGATAATCCCGGTGCAATGGTGGTATTTGCAACGCCTGGCATGCTGCATGCCGGTCTTTCATTACAAATTTTCAAAAAATGGGCACCATACGAACAAAACATGGTCATAATGCCGGGCTACTGTGTTCAAGGTACCGTCGGTCATAAGATTTTGAACGGAGCGAAAAAAGTGGAATTTGAAAATCGTCAAATGGTTGATGTTAAAATGTCAGTTGAATACATGAGCTTCAGTGCACATGCCGATGCAAAAGGAATTATGCAATTGATTCAATATTGCGAACCGAAAAATGTAATGCTTGTACATGGTGAAGCCGCCAAAATGGAATTTCTTACCAAAAAGATCAAAGAAGAATTCTCGATTGATTGTTTTATGCCAGCAAATGGCGAGACGTGTCGTATTAATACACCCGTTAAAATTCCGGTCGACGCATCATTATCATTGCTCAAAGCTGAAGCCCGCGCATACAATGCACAACCACCAGATCCAAAACGAAGTCGACTACTGCACGGTGTGTTGGTTATGAAAGACAATCGTGTTTCGCTCATGGAACTCAACGAAGTATGCAAAGAGGTTGGACTTAACAGACACATATTTCGGTAAATATATTTAACAAATAAATTTTTTGCTTCTTTTTAAATAGTAAATTCTTTCTTTATTTTAGATTTACATCAAAAATTAAAATCGATGATCCAGGTAAGCACCTTGATGTTTTTGTGAATTCCATTTGATCGAATGCCGAAGATTTCCCAAAAAATATTTTGTGAAGAAATCTTCCGGAATTCAATTTTATAACATTTTGACATTTATATTTTCAACAATTTTCTATATTTTGCAGGACCTTCAACCAGCACTAGTAAAAGACTATACGCATTGTTACAGGAGAAATTGACTGGATGGACAGTTACAATGTCCGATAAATGTGAAATAGCTGTTGCATCCGTACAGCTTGTCGTTGAATCCGATCCAAAGGGAGTTCACAAAAATATTCTACTCTCGTGGAATAATCAAGACGAAGATTTGGGATCCTACATTCTCAATTTACTACAAAGCATGGGCTAGCATCCATTTACTCTGTCCGTTTATTGCATTTAATTTTTTTTTCTACACACAATTTAACAATTGTTACATTCTAGAGACTTGAAATTTGTTTTTTTTTTCGAAATCAAGAGAATTAAATAGAATTAAACTAAAGAAAATTTATTTTATTTTAAAAACGAAAAAAAACAATCAGAAACAATCGAACAACATATATATGAAGAAGTCGATCCAATGAAGGATAAAGTTTATTTGAAACTTGTTCATTATTGTTATTCTCACTAATAACAACGGATTCTTAAAATAGAAGAAATAAATGTTCAAATCATCCACACTATGCCATCTAACCTTCAAAAATTTCATTCAACATTTGAATGAAGGAGATTGGACGAGACGAAAGTTTACCACACAGAACGGTTGCATATCAAAGCAGATATTAATCATAAAACCATTCATTCTCATAAATATCGTTTGTATTATTTCTTTTGTATTTTCTATTTTAATTTTACATAGAAAAGTGTCCCTTTCAGAAAATGAGCGCGTATTAATTCAAAAAAAAAAAAAAAAAAAAAAAAAAAATGAAACAGATGAAAGATGTTTGACATTTCTATGTTTTCATTTTGGAACTACAGAGGGCACTGCAGTATATGAAACAGCTGTGTATGTTCATTTTTTATTAATATACTTTCTTCAAGTTCGCACTAAACAATAACGTTTTGGGAAATATTTGTGTTTGTAGAGTGTTGTGTCTCATGGTGATCAGTTGATAGCATTATATTTCTATATAAACAACGTGAATTTCGAAAGAACCATATGAATTTGATCATTGCATTGCAAGGTATATGATGAAAATATTCAATTTTCATCTATTACGTATGTAATGGCAACTCATTCCGACGATGAGAGTTTTGGTGCACCAGAAAATTTTCACATCACAACTGAAAACGATGATGATGGTAGCCATTGGAGTGGTTGCCAAATAAAATGTCCACTGTGTAATTATTCGCGAAAATATTTTAGTTGTCATAAATGCATTAGCAAGGGCAATTTCGTACATTCATCGCATCATCTCGCTGAACGGTAAGTATAATAACAAAGAGAAATAGATTTTCATTCGCCACCGTATACAGCGTGAGAACATCACAACAACTACGATAACATGCCAACAATGACAGAAACACACTAGAAGAAACAATATATATACATACAAACATTCTCTTTGTGTCAACAAAGAAAGCATGTTGTTATTTTAACATTTTTTTTGTTTTCATGTTAATGAACAACAAAACTTTTATCGAATATAAAGCAATCATAATTTCAAGGTCCTATAAAACCTTTCGTTTTACAATTGCTTTATTTCATTTTCATTTTTTATCGTACATTTTTTGTATTAATTGAGAGAAAAAATGTTGGTCGAATGTGTTTATTAATTGAGTTTGTTTGTTTAAATTTTCGTCCCTTCAAACAAATTAGATTCGTTGAAAAACAGATGAAATATGAGAACTTGAAGTCGGTTCATCGTGCTCAACAGACTGCATGTCTTCACTTGCTGCATAAACGGAAACTGGCCGAAGATTTGCAGTTTGCAATCAAGCAGAAAAAAGAGAATATACTATTGTTGAAGAAATTGATAAGCGAACGTTCTTCCGGAACGAAAACACTGACGGAAAAATGTGAAACGATACGGTTGGAAAATGCAAAAGTCCGTAAACAAATTCCACAATATGTGAAAACATGTCAACAATTTGGTGATTATATTGAAAAAACGGAAGAACGAAATGCAAAAAAGGTTGCAGAACGAACAAAATTGTTTGAAGAGTTGAAACAATGTCGCATTCAAAACATTCAAAAATTGATAAAGTTTATATTCCCATTATCGCAACGAATATCAAAGGGAGAAACATCAACAGCAATTAGCACAAATACAAGCTCAAAATCGAGCCCAGTTGAATACAATGTGACAAACATTGATGCACGCAAAAATGTCAACGATATGAATGCAGCCGATTCGGGCACAATTGTTTCAGCCGAAACACTAAATGCATTAGCTGAAGCAACGCACACCACATACATTCGTGGCCGATGGGTCCAAGATAGCCATGGTGAACTACAACATGTTATCATTGAACCATCACTTCCAGGTATATTCAATTTATTATCCACTATCCGTTGGATCGATTTTTTTTTTTAAATTAAAATAAATGTATTTCATTAGATAATGGCGATTATTCAGCGTACAATGATTGGGTCGCAACTACAATAAAGGATGGTGTACCAAATCCACCTGGTGCCAGCGAAGCAATGACCAGTTCAAATGCTGCTTATCGCATCAGTGCTGCCTTGACATACACAACACAATTGGTTCATTTATTGAGCTACTATTTGGATGTTAGATTGCCGTTCAGAATAAATTATAGGTTTGTATTGACAGCAAATTTTTAATTTTTTTTTTTTTTGGTAAATTTTAATAATAAAACAATTTCTTTTTTAAATTCTGGTCAACAGTGATTTTTGTAAAAAAGAATTGAATGAACAATCATTTTCACGAAAAGTCGCCCGTTTGAATACAAACATTTTATATTTATGTTACACACAACATGTAAAATTGAATACATTGTGGCCGAATCATACGCTTGAAAATATATCAATGTTGTTGAATTTGGACATTAGTGATTTGGGTCGAATTGGTCCAGTTGATGTAAACAATGGTTTCATTGGCAAACAAAATATTCAATTAATGCAGAATTTAAATGCTGGAAATACGGACTCTGGTTCAGATGATGAAGGTAACCAAACATTCGCTGACATAGCAATTCTTCAATTCGATTATAAAATACAATCAATTTTAATTAAATCATTTAAACAGATGACGGTGCTTTACCGACCGAATGGGAAGCTGTTTCACATCCACATCATCATCCGCCGGATCTGGCATTGCCATCGATTTCACAAAATCCACAGCAAACAGCTAGTGTTGCTGGCGGCTTTGTCTCAAGCGCTGTACAATCCATATGGCGAGTTTTAACTACGGGAAAATAGTTGAATCACGGAAAATCCGCCAATGATCATATTCAGCGATAATTATTTACAATAATTAAATAAGATTATTTTTTAACTGATTTTTCGTTTGTTCAATCGTTTTTAGCAGTTTTGATGCTAACGCAAATTTTTGAAGGGATAAATTAAATAATTCATTAAATCTCTATTTGAAACAAAAAACAAAAATAAGTCCTATTTCGTGTCGGTAACAATGATTTTGCCATTTCACTCAAACATATTCGGAGCAAAAACATATATGTTCTTTCAACTGAGAATCATCATTTTCGTACAATTAAAATATATTTTTTTCTATGTCGTTTTATTCCTTTTGTACTTCACTTAAATAAGAATTGAATTATAACAAATTTATATATTTTACCTATTATTCATCAGCTTTAGATTTACGTTAATTTAACTGAATGTTTTGCACTAGTTTCCCGAAATGTTGATGTTCATTTGTACAAAAAGAAAGAAAATTTTTATGATATTTGAAGAAGAAAACTCGACTCCAGAATCTAAAAGTAAATGTGTAAATTAGAATAGCATTCTGATAACATCCCTGATAAGTGAAAAATGTGAAAATAAAACAAGAGAATTATTTTTTTACGATAATAATATTGAGTTTATTGTAGCACTTTTAATGTAATTACCTGTCGTTTTGTTTAAATTTTTTTTTCTTTTCTGTCTGTTCATATTTATTTCTCTCAAAGACGATTTAACATTGTCGCTCTGTATCTGTCTAAATTGATTCTAATTTAACATTTTACATATCAATTCAATATTTTTTTTAAATTCTCATATACTAAAGTTCTATCAGTTACTTCTTTTGTCATCTCCGTTTATATAATCGGCGATAATCGGTTGTCAAATATTTCCGCATTTTTTTTATTATTTATGTGAAATCAATCATAAATTTTATGATTTTTAGCAGTAATAACACAGTAATGGACAATTTTTTTTCTAAATTAAAGCAAATGTACGTATGTGGGGGAAAAAGAGATGTTACGGGATAATATATTAGATGTATAGAGAGAGTATGTATGTTGACTCTCAATGTGCACGATTTCATAGTGCAAAGATCCATAATTTTTATGTTTACAATTGATTTTTTTTCCTCCATGATGAACAACTATTCCAAACTTTTTTTGCATCGTTTTTTTTTAGTTTTGTATTTTATATTTGTTGAGTACAATATGAAATGACTAATATTTTATAGTTTTGCTTCACAAATATGCACACATTCAATTGACTCAATGGTATCTTATGTGTCGGTGAATTCATCACCAACGAGTGATGTGTGTGAAATCATCAGAAGTGCTGTTAATGGTGATGATGTGGTGCATTAAATGCTCTTGACATGGAAAACGCTGAAATTTGTTGACTATAGAATTATAATTTTTTTATTTATTTCTCTGTTTGGTTGTTGTTGTTTAGTTTTTTTTTTTAAATTTACTGTCAATATAATATTGTTCATATGCGCTGACTGACAATGAAATATTCCAAAGAAGATGCAAAAATATTTGATTTCTTATCTTTCTAATCACATCGAAAAGAACTTTGTTGCATAATAATGGTTGAATATACTAATTTACAGATTTAAGATGGGATTAACAGCAACGAGTGAGATCAATCAAACGGTTTTTTTTATTCAAGATTAAATCGTTGATTCAAAGTACAGCAGAATTAATAAACCGAAAAATTATTTGTGAATTTGTTTGTCTTGTTGAAATTGTTTATATGTGTGAAATCGATTGTTATAGAATAGAAAGAATTTTAATTATCTAATACTAGCTCATTTATTCAACTACAATATCAATGTGTATGAATATTTTTCAATATATCCTCTCTTTTTTTACTTGTTTGCGGGTGATGAACCTTGTGGTGAATGGATTATGTTTTGTGATAAAAGAGAAAGAGAGAGAGAAAATGAATGGAACAAATGATTGATGAATTCTTCTTCATCTTTTTTTTCTTCTGTTCTTTGTTACTTTTTAATAGATGTGGAAGCGTCCACAATTTCTCATGAAACCGATTTCATTTAGATCGTATGATTTGCAATTTATGCACTCGAGTGTGTGTGTGTGTGTGTGTGTCTGTGAATACGTGTAGTTTTTAAAATATGTTCGGGACAATGTGAATTCGTAGATGAGAATGAGACGTGTGAGGTGTGGTATGTGAGATTTAAAAACAATTTGATGAAATGTGAGTTGAGATTTTACTTCAATCGGAAATAATGTGGGAACGCTTTCCTTTTCACTTTTTTGGCGCAAGAATTTATGACGTTCAAATTATCTCCGGATAATCACACAGCCTTTTTTTATAAAGTTTAATTTTTTTTTGTTCTTATAAATATATGAGACTCGTTTGGATGCTTTTCATTTCGTTTTGGTTTTTTCTATAGCAAATTTTAGTGATGTGTGTGTGTGTGTTATTCAGGGGTATTAGCGAATCATTTTTTTTCATACAATGCGTGCACGTACGTAAATGAAGCAATGAACGAAGATCATATCAGTGTTTAGTTTCAAAGCACTGCAACAACATGTATCGTAATTTGCAAATAAAACAATAAGGCAGCAATGAGAAACAAAGAAACATTTTTTTTTTCAATTGAACCCTCGGTTCAAATTGCAAAGGAAATATGTTCAGGTCTTTGGGATTCGGTCCGAAAGATATTTTGCCGCAATTGAGATCTCGAAAAAATCACAATTGTATTGTGTGTATACAGCTGCTAAGGCTGTCTGTAATCGCTAAAATGTGCGCAACTAAAAACCTGTCCAGATGAACGGTATGGTACTTTATTTGGTGTTTTCTTTCTCATAACAACAGTTGAATGAAAAAAAAAAAATGTTTTTTTTTTGCTTTTCATAACAGGAATTTTTAATTGTTTATTGGTTTTATTCATTTTACTTTTGACGATAGTTTATAATAATTTGCTTCATAGTTTTAAAAGCAAACAATGATTTTTTTTTCTTCTTCTTCAGATTTCTTTTCACTTAATACTTACTATCTGTACAACGAATAACACGATAATCAAATACAATTTATCCCATTTTTTTATCTACATTCTGCTCATTTAATACACAAACTTTAAATTCCAAATAAATTTATCGCTATAATGTTAATATTTTTTTTCTTGTTGTTGTAAATTTATTTAGTTTATTTTTTTGTGTTCGATTTTTCATCAAAAAATTTGTCTCAATTTGTAATTGCGAGGTTCGGATTTCTTGACTCGTGAACGGCATTAAATTTGATTCCATCTTCATTTCATTAAATTTCTGTAAGTTGTTTTTTCTTTGTTTTGAACGTTTTTATTTTGTGTGTACACATATCAACTGTCAATTGACTCGCTTCGCTTATATAGTTTGGTTTTCGAGATAGTCGAGGATTATAATATGCGGCTGCTTGTGTTCGTTTTGTGTTCAGAAATCCTTGCCTGCATGCAAATTTAACACTATCACACAATCTCACAATTAATTAGACACCATAATTAGTTGAAATAATCCTTTTAATTTCACGGTTTTGTTTGCTGTTTTCATTGTAAATAGTTCTAGTTTTTATTTATTTATTTTCTTTCTCTCTTCATTTTATTCGTTTCGATTAAATTTAAGTTCGAATTTTGTTTTTTCTTCATTCTTTTAAATTTAGTTTGTTTATGATTTCACATTATCCATTCCCGGCATTAAACTTTAAAAAAAGGAGAAACTGTTGTTGTTGATGTCAAGTTGCCAACCTATGATTTGAACTATTTTTCATCTTATTTAATTGAACATTTTGATTTCATATCATATCATTCTATTTTCCTTCTTTTTTTCTAAATTTCGAAAACCAAAAATGGACCAATTTCAAATGATTTAGAGCGCTATGAAATTTCAACGTAAGAATAGTACATTTTTTTTCTCTTTAGTCACTGCGCGACATTTTCAAAACTTCTTTAACACGAAATAGATGTTTTTTTCCCCTAAAAAGCTTTTGAAATGGATAGTTGTAGCTAGAGGTGTTTTCACACATAAAATTGTGTTCGTTCATACAACGAACATTTCAACCTATTTCGAACGTTTGAATGTTCGTTCTTTCGAAACATTGATTTCGCACAAACGAACGAACAAAAATTGCAGACATTAGGTTTGAGCTATGGATATAGCGGCTGCTATTTCATAGGCGCTATTCATAGGCGCTATTCATAGGCACTATTTATCTCGTTTTAATGCATTTATGCATATTGTGCGTTATTTTCTACATCTCTCTCCTACTCACATTCAAATGTACAAAAGAATAGTAGGCTATGATATTCCTACTCGGTGTTACACACAGCACACGAATTAAATAGCGCCTATGAATAACGGCTATGAAATAGCAGCCCCTATATCCATAGCTCAAACCTAATGTCTGAAAAATTGTCGTTATTGGTATGCACCTCTAGTCATAGCTAAAAAAACGTAATGAGAGACTTTATATATGATCTATATGTAAGGATAATTCGTTGATTTTGAAATGTTTTGCTACAAAAAAGTTTAGTCAGTGTTATTTGTTTTTTTTTTCTCTTCATTTGCTGTATTACTAGGACGAAAAAGAACCATCGTCAGCAATGTGATTGGAATCACAATTTGCTAGATATTTGGCTGTGAAGCTTTTTATTTCATCGCGATGGTGAACGATCCGAGTTTTTTTTTATTGCTTGAATTTTGAGTTTGTTTTCATAAACGGATATGTTGGCTTAAATCAACATTCAAGCAAAAATAAACAAAACGGGCCGATCGTCAATTGACAAAAAGATTTGGCTTAGTTGACGGCTCGATTATCAGCTCTTCAAACAAAACGACTTTGAATACATTTGTTTGTTTTTCTTTTGCGTTATCTTAATTATTAAATAAAACATTTTTTTTTTCATAGCTACAAAATTACTAATTATTTGATTCATTTCGAAAAAAAATTATTTGAATCGTGTAATAAACTTTAATTTGTATTTTTTTTTTTTGTTTTTGTCATCTTCCTAAAAAAAATGTTGTGAAGAGTCAAAGAGCAAAAATGTTCAAGGCCGTTTAATATAATTGTTTGCTACTGATTCAAACATGAACTCGAAAGAAATGAACAAAGTTTCAATATATGCATCATTTCCGCAATTGTTACGGAAGAAAATGCGTTCGATCTGAAACCAGAAATAGAAAACAACTGCTTTTCTCTCACTATAATTTCACACAAATCATTGTGTCGAACAAGAAAATGTGGTTTAATTTTGTTAAAATCATCGTTTGACTAAACAAATGTATCTTATCGTGTCATTGGTGCGTTTGGGTGCATGGATGAAGTACATTCGAAAATTCCACCCAAAATCAGCAATAATTTAAATCATTTAATTTCTATAATAAATGGCACTTATAAGCTTTATGTATCTCATAATTATTATTATCGTTTTCATTATTATTGTAGTAAGTAAAACTAAACGCTCATACGTTTCTATAACTCATAACTAAATATTCTTTGTATGTGTGTGTGTTTGTGTGTATATATGTTCATTCATTTGAATGCGCTTCTCTTAATTCGCCATTAAACTACCGTTAATTGTAGAAATCGCAGTGTATTCGTCCATTTCATCGCAAAATTTGTTCTAATTT